CCATACTCAGTCAGTATGCTTAATTTATTTTATTTAAATAACTAATTAAGTATTGTATGCTTGATAACTAAGTAAATTATGGAGTAAAGTTAAAAAGGAAAAGAACTAGAGTGATTTGGCTAAGGGAACTCCTCAGGATTTAAAGAAGAAAAATGGAATAATTAATTTTTGTTTTTTGATACATTTATTTGAAACAAAATACATCGAATCTTGCAATTACTTTACAGAAAAATCCACATAGAATTAATAAATTTGCCATTTCTATTGAATTATATTATGATAAAATAATTTCTATTATTCATGTAACTATTACATAATCTTGAAAAATCTAATGTGAATTGAATAACACACACAAAATACATTTTTCAATAAAAGTATTATTAGGAGTAGAAGGAAGTAAATATAAGATTTGCTAATTTTAAGTTTTTGGAAAGATAAGCGCTTTCTTTCTTGTCAACTTTTGTAGCAAACACCTTTAAATGTTTTCCTGAAAAAGCGTTGTTTTACTTATTCTCTTATTAATTTTGGTTAAGTATACATACTTATCACCTCACCATATTGATTCAACTTGATGTAATACTTATTAAAATATTCTTTATTTATTTTATAATAATTAAAGAATATAAATAATTGCAATATCAATAATTACATTATTATGATAATGATCTAATGATGACAGGAATAATTACAATAATGAATTCAAAAATTAAGAAGGCAAGTTCTAGTTCAGATTGGAGAGTTCTTGTTCAGACTTTAAATCATTGCCATGATGATGACCTACATGGGTTGAAACGTAGTCAAATCAATAAACACTTTTTTTGACTGTTCATCCTGACCATTTTTCATTTACAATTTACAATTTCAACAATAAACTATACATCCATTTCTAAAATAGAAAAAATAAAGTCAAGAGTACTTAAATATCTTCAGTCCTAGAACCACGCTTTGATAATGACCTACATGTATGGGTTGAAATGTTGGCACAAATAAAAAAATGTTAAGACTGCGCCCTGAATAATTATCACCCATGATATGTAGAACAGTCAACTTCCTTCAATAATTAAAAAAATAAATACTTTCAATAGTTTTTTTGTTTTTTTGTTTCAATATCAATATATGACTGACTCCAACCAGATATTTGAATTAGTAACATTATAGACAAAAGGTACTGCCAGTGTGACCTAACTAGGAAACTGGATCACTCAACAACGGGAATAGTTCTTCATTGCTTCAGACAAATAAGGCTTCCCAACAGAAGTTTAACAAGAAAGAGAAAGAGACAATAGATACATCCATCTTCATACTCTGTCCAACCACCAATAATATAGGAGGAAACCTCATGAGGAATGTTTTAGTTTTTAATAGGACTGTAAGACTCAATGGAAATAATATCAGGGCCTAGTATCCTATTCATCAACCTCTCTTTACCATTAAACACTTAATGTCCAGGTTCCTGTTCATACAGGAACTTTTAAATTGGACATTGGAAGATTTATGAATTATTTTTACAGAAGAGGTCTTAAATCTTTAGATGGGTGTAATTTAACATGAAAAAGCTCAATTGAGAAGAGCATTCTGTGCTGTATGGTTACTCTAGGGGTATTTCATGATTTGCATTAATGTTCTGGAATATTACACTTCCTTGGACACCCACAATGAATTAATTTTGTATGAATGAGTAAAATATTTAACTTCATTATTTTGATCGCTTTTGCGAGGAATGCAAATAAGTTTCATGGATGTCATTCATGCCAGATGGGGAATATTCCAAATCACATCCATTAAACTTGTTTATAGCCTGATTGTATATAGGTATGCATGTTATTTTTTTTTCCTTAGTTTTAATTTTCTTATTTTTTAGGTTATTTTATTTTATTGTCTATTGTATATACTTTTGATTATTATTTTGTTCTATTTATTTTATTTTTTTTGTACATATGGTGTGAATGTCATCCTACCTCACTATAACCAATGTCCAACAGACAGATTGTTATAATACTCAATAAAGAAATTTAAAAAAAAAAAAAAAAAAAATATCTTGTGTAAGCTTATTTAATTTGTTTCTATATTTTTAATATATTTTCAATTTTTAATTAATTTTTTTTTAATCTTTTATTTGTCTTTTTTTATATTATTTGAGCCATTTGTTTTTAAAATGGCCTAAGTCCATTTATACTTAAATTGAGATATTTAAGGGTTTGCATAACAAAATGCTTAAAACTATGATAAAACACTAAAGATTATGTACAGTAGGAAAAATTATAATTATACCCTTTTGAAAAATAAAATAATAAAAAATACATTGAGTTCTTCTTTAAAATGAGGTGTGTTTCTGCTAACAAAGAAAAGACAAAGCTGACAATATAAAATATCAGTGTCTTTAAATAATGATTAATATGTAAACTCATCATTGTCAAATGCTACAGGTACAGATTTAATTATATACCAATAAAAAATAATAATAAAAAAAACAAAAACAGATGCGGTCAGTGGCATTAAGAGCCGGATGATATTGTAATATCCCTAGTGAAGTTCATAGTATAGAATAGTACTATTGTTTGATGATGACTAGAAATGTATAATATCGAAAGTTTAGCAAGTATCTGACTGTTTTTGGGATAGGAATTGGAATAGGAGGGATTTGAATGTAGGTATGGAGGTGGAATGCTGAATTTTGATAGGTAGAGAATTAATCATAATTAATAAAATTATCAAACGTTGTCTTATAGAAAAAAGTATAAGTGGACTAAGACCCTTTTTAAAGTGAACGGATCAATTTTTAAACTAGCTCTGAAAACTTATGTCTCCAAAATTATCGTATTTACTCAGAGTATAAGTAATCTCAAATGTTTTATTGATAAATAACTTGAAGACGTGAATGTAACCACCCGGTCACCCGGAAATAATTGACAAATGGACTTAGGCCACTTTCAAAATAAATGGCCCATTCAATTCAAAACTTGTCTTTTAAAATTAGGTATAACTATCATTTTTTTAAATTATTTATTTTTAAAATTGAATTATTTTTTTTATACACAAAATATAAATTGAAAAAACAAAGGTGGTGCATAATTTTTTCCACTGAATCAATATCAAAGTCACTTTGGATGGTATTTTATTTCATTCTTCCAACAATTAAGTTCTTCTACTGATAATATATTTTCATTCTTCATTTCTGAATCATCATGAGTCCATGGTTGTTCAAAGAGATTTGAATCAGGATTCTTGAGATGTGTTTCAAGAACAGAGACAATTGCATTGTAGCCTTTCCTGTATGAAAACTTTCGGATCATTAGTCGAATTTTAATGTGTATTTCACTCTTCCAGAATAATCAGTTCAAATTCTAGTTTTTTCCATATAATTGATCAACCATTTGATCCACAGTCATTACATTTGCTAACAAGTGCTTTAACGATACCCAATAAACTCTTAGTCTTACTAAATAATAAACTCAGGAGAAACTCAATCTTTTTTAAGTATATAAAATGTTTCTTTTCTTCAAATCCATATTTTATTAGTATTCACTGAAGGTCCAGCCAGGTTGCTTTCTTTTTTGCTCATTAATTTCTTATGTTACTTTTTACAAATATATTTTTTATTTTTCTTAATATTTTAAACTTATATTTTCTACCCTCTTAAAGACAATATTACAGGATTTGGGATTTTAGTATTGATCTGCACTGATTGGTTGATAAATTTCTTCTTCTTGATACCTATTGATTATACACTGCAAAGTAGAGACTAGTAACCCAGTCTCTGCACTAATTTTTGTGAACTTATATTCAGTCTGCTAAAATAAATCACTTTCAATTTCTCTTCCAAAGAAGTATTTTCTTTGGTTCTAGTTATTATATTATAGTTAACTGCTTTCAAATTTTGATTGTATTTGAAAGATAAACTGAAACAACTTGAACTGGTAGAGAGGATTAAGAATAAAATAAGCAAAACCACTACAGTATAACTAATTTAGAACTTTCAGAATTCATTTTAGTATTACAGTAAAAAAGTCAAAGTTAAGAAATTTAGTTACAACTTTTGTTTAAATTTTTGAGGAACATAGTGATTTATGTCACCAAGGATTTTCGCTTGGGACTGTGCAGAATTTTTGTCTTTTCCAGCAAGTATGCTTCACAATGCATTTAATTTATAAGAAATATTAACTTACTAACCATATATGGATGTAGTCGTCATACAACCAAATCATCTTAAAACAAATAGCAAAAACTGCTAATAACGACTACCCCATTCAAATATTCACAGACACTCCCAAATCCAGAAGATAAAACCTTGTTAATCACCATATCCACAAAATTTAGTACTCGTACTGATGAACTTCTTACCATTATTAAACCCACATTTCACAATAAATATAAATATATAAAATTTAATATATTCATTTTTACAGATCTAGCTTTTTGTAAATAATTAAAAGTAAACCTCCATAAATAAAATCTTACACATCATCCCTAATAAAATAAAATGTATAAACAGGTACACAAAGAGATAAAGCACCAAGAGAAAAGATTTATTATGAAATGTATCTAACTGAGACCTAACCTGAATACAAATGTAATCTCTTTAAGACTTTGAATTGACAAGCAAGTTATAGTACAAATAGTAATGCTGGGAACAACCCACGGATATTAGTACAATCAAATATCCCAATCTCATGAAAACTGAAAAGAATTGAAATTGTGAAGATTGGAAATAAAATTTCACTACATCGTTTTAAGATATTGGAAATATACAAAATAAAAATAATGGTTAATACAAAGCCCTATATTTCTTTGAAAATAGGGTAGACAATTATCACAAGCTTGGAAGAAGGCATAACTCAAATTTTTGTGGTCGAACATGAATGTAAATAAATAAAATACCTGATACCATAAAAATAAAGAAGTTGATATTAAGATTTATCGATTCAGATAAGCAGCAACGTATGGAGATTTTTTGACCAGAAGTTGGGTAAAAGAGGATAAAATTTAATAAATGAAGCATATAACAAAAAATAGTTTATTACTGAAAACATTAAACAATAATATAGGTAAAACCCAAACTTAGTTATGAAAAATTTCATTACAGCCACATTGATATCAATACACGAATAATTTTTAATATCTCAATTAAACTACTTCCCATTTATTAAAGTACAAATTCCACTAAACATACATATCACATTTCTTTTCAATACAAGTGGCCAGTTTACCACACTCTTAAAGAAGTTTTAAATAAATAATAAAGATATAAAATTTACACAAATAAAACCAGCATGGTGCATAACAAAAACACATACAGTTCATTTCCTCATAGTGATAGCCATAATTAAATATAAATATTTTCATAACTTGTAAATGAGCACATCATTGTTGACAGTTGTGTGTGAAACACAGTTTTCAAATTCAACAAATAGACACTGTACTCATGATATGTACATATACATAGTATATAAATATCATGATGAAAGTTATTCCTAAAATCAATATTTTGTTACATTTCATTTGTATAAAAAGGCATATTATTTCATTTTAAATCTGTTTTGTAAAATTATTACATGTTACATCAGCAAGTTTGAAAAATCAGTTACTTGAGAAAAGCTACCCATTTCCCCATCAAAAATTTTAGATAAAATAGCAGCTATAAAAAAAATCATAAATATATAAGAAAGAGGATTAGTGTCTAAAATTTCATAATAAACAGTATTTTAGATAGATACATCCATTGAAAAGATTATCGACAATTTTAAACCCACTACTATTAATCGCTGGTAATCATTAAACAGAAATTTAATCAGTACTTAATTGTACATAAAGCTTACTATCACAATTCTGTAATGCCAGGGGCGTTTAAAGTTATATGTATGTAATACATTAATCTAGATACAAAAAAGATAATCACTAATAAAATCATTGGTTAAGGGCCAAGATAAGGAGAAACATCAGTCCAATATTCAGGAACTTTCTCAATTTTAATGAGTTCAGTATACCCCTGCTTTTCTCCAACTTCCTTGAAGTAATTACATGGCCGAGGGCCAAGTCCTTCAATTTCAGACATGTATGGAGGTGCCAAAACATCGACAAATGCAGCTCCACCATCTATTGCTTGAATTTCATGGATGTTACCTTTGCTTGGAGTAAGCAGTACAGCTGGATCTTTTTCAGTCACTATTCTCTCTGGTTCTTTCACAGTCAATACCCTATCTAATCTAATAGTAGAAGAATCTTCTGTTAGCGAAAAGTTTCGAATTACTACTTTCCCGCATACCACTTTACATATCCCATGCATCAAAGGGTGATCATGGAGAGGAAGTTTGCTCTCTGGCCTCAGAACAAACATGTTAATTGTATACTTAGGATGTTCTAAAATCTCTACATAAGTAACAGGAGCTGAATGAGGGCCATTTAGGAGGCTTTTGTCCAACTTAACATCATCAGCAGTAAGCTTATCCATGGCAGCCAACAATTTCTTCAATTTTCCTTCAAAAATTTCGCCCTTATGAGGGCTATGGGAAAAAGCTTGAAATACACGTTCTTTGACATGTTCCATTGTGGACAAAAACTTAAATGATGCACGCATGGAATTATTTATAAACAAATGTCATTTAAATTAATAAAATGATAAAATTAGATTGCATAAATTTTTTTTTAAAACTTGAACAACCCAATTAAGAAAATAAAACCACTTGGAGAAGGTTAGGGTACTAACTTAATTCCCAAAGAGGATAACAAAGTTTACTTCTGGGGAATCAGCTGCGACTAAAGTTTTTTTTCTTTATCAGCTATTATCTACGGATTATATATCATATACATCTATTATAGACGGATATTGACACAGAAACAATTATTATTAGTATAGTTTATGTTTATAACGAATTACAATTTATTATTCCCGAACACAGTTAATTTCAATTTAATATTAACAACTCAAATTTGAATTTTTAAGTAGAACTGATGTAATTGGATTAAATTTTAATTTAAAACATTTCGTTTGTACCATGATAAAGTTAAGAATATGAGCTTGTTTAACATTGATCATTCGTTACTTTAACACGGTGCAGACGAATTGCTTTTAATTCAAATTTAATCCAATTATATCAGTACTAGTTATAAATAAAGAAATTAGTGTCACAACAAATAAATAAATAAATAATATAATGCAATCCCGCATTTTTATTAATGTTTATGAATATAAAATTAAAAAATGCTTTTATTAGATTTTCAAATGGGTAGACGAGCGATTTAAGGCGCCAGCAAAGATTTTATATATGAAATGTTCAAATCCTGTTTGCGTGAATTAATAACACAAACGCACAAAATAAATGAAAATAAGGTAATGATTTCGATGAGGCCCGCAGGCTTATTATCATTACCAAAAATAATTAATAAAACATAAAAATAATTAAATGCAGGCAGGTCCCCTACTCGACTACTTAAACAACTACGGCGCGGGTTCGATTCCCGCATGGAGAGGGTTACGTCCCCACCCTGATATTCATAGGGAGGTGAGCGACTCCTGTGTCTTAAACCGTAGCTCCTGGTCCTCCTGGTTGGTACAGGGCTGATAATCCCCGACTTCATAAAAAACTTCTTGGAAGAATGAAGCAAAAGATTGCCAACCACCCTGCAAGAAAGTTTCTGATGAAGAGGTAGTGAAATGTGATCGTGTCCGGTTAGTAAACCACGTGTTCACTGGATATCTCGAAGTAGAGAGAACAAAACGATTACTACTGTCGCCTATAACAGCCCCAAGCTGCTGAAGAAGACTGATGACTAAAAAAGTCGAAGTCAACAGGTGTAGGAGAAAAAAAATGTTTTCACAAAAATTATGTTCACATCCCGATTTTAACTATCATTATTTTATTATAATTATTTGTTTAACAATAAGAAAAACCGTTTTACACTTACTCTTTTTAGAGATGTTTAATGGAAAGGTAAAATTAAATACATGTATCAATAGTTTATAAATATATTTTCATAAGAAAGAGTTTTAATTGTGTATTTCATAAATTAATTTGTTTATAAAATTATAATACTTACGAGCTAAAGAAATTAAGATGACCTTAAACAAATAGCTTACCTAAAAAATCGGACCCCTACAAGTTAAGATATTTTCCAACACAAAGGAGTTCAACTGGAACAATTCAACCGACTTCCCGATAGGGAGGAAAAAAAACTGTTAGTAATTTATTTTTTACGTAGATTGAATAATAGCTGTGATAGTATTTAAATATGTAATTACAATAGATAAATATCTATATATTTCTTCTTTTTTTTTTCTTTTTTTTTTTTATTTTCCTACCTATACTAGGTAAGGAAGTTGCGATTGGTTCAAATTTCCGATGTGTGATATTCGATGGATCTTTACGTTTCAGAGCTCCCTGAGTCGAAAAACACATGTACAGCCTTTTTTTTCTTCTCCCGGCCTTACCTTATAGGCAATACGAGTTGTAGCAGCAGAGATTCTTCTATATGCGTATGCCATTGCTGGCAGTATAGGTCTATTTAATTAAAATTTTGTTAACAAAATTATTTATGAGTTATAGACTTGTTTGTGTGCACAAGCCCACACTTTTCTTTTTCTCCATTCTTCCACCTGAAACCGGTCCTCGAAGCAGCTCCAGCTTGTCTTAACTCCCTTCTCTTCTTCCCAGATTAAAATGTTTAGGGCCTTCAGCATCTTTCCACCTGTATACGAATTCTCTATAATGTGGGTAATTCTCTCTGCTGATTAACTGGGAGAACATGCTCCATGTCAGTGTATATATCCTCGTCTCTCTCAGGAGCTTAGCTCTTAGTGTCTCATAGGCAATACATTCAACGACCACATGTTCGGCAGTCTCCGGAACGTAACAGTTGGGGGGATAACGGATCAATATTCTTCCCGTGTTTAACGAGATTCGCTCGGAAGCCCCCATATCCCGTGAGGAGTTGAGACAGCCAGTAATCCGAGAGCACCCATCGTGCATCTGATCTTGACTTGACCTTGGGGAAGTACTTTCTTAGAGTAGCTCCCTTCGGAGTTACCATCCATCGCCGGTTCCATTGATCAATTGTGTCCTCCTTGATAATTCTTTTCGATCTTCTTGGGTCTTCTTCAATTCTCATCTCTAGATGTTCCGGTAGATCCACCTAACCTTCTCTTTTCATTTTAAAGAGGTAATAGTCTTAACAAGTAGACCTATTTTGTTGCTTCTTATTTTATTTTGTAGGATTTTGACTACTGATGCCTGTGACACAAATCAAGAACTCCCTGAGCAATAAAATAAAAACCTGTTTTTCTATAGAGTAGTGCAAAAACGGCTCAAACAATTTTGATAAAACTTTCCTATATTTTTTTAAATAATGCCATTTCAATTTTCGTACATGTACTAAATTCAGGAGAAAATTCTGGTAAAAAAGAAAAATGTTTTGGGGCCTAAATCGTTCAGTATATATTCTATTGTAAAATTTATATAAAAACTTTTAAAAGGTATTTAAATCATCTACAAAATAAAATAAAAACCATCGGAATCAAAGCACTATTAGCGATGATACAGCATATTCTATTTTCCACACATGTTTTAATTTATTATTTTCCTACCTATACTAGTTAAGGAAAGTATTGCGATCAGGTCAAATTTCCAATTTTCGACCGATATATACGTTTCAGAGCCCCCTGTGTCCAAAAACATATTTTCAGTCATAGGTCTGTCTGTCTTTGTCAATATATTTTTTTTGGAATTGTGAGCATTACATGAAAACACCTTTACCACAACAACCCATGAAGGGTCTTGGGTTCAGTACTATTTAGGGAAAGTACTGTTTCAAGGCCAACGGTTGTGCAGGGAGGGAATCGGGCCAGGATCACGCTCAACGGCCAGATTTTCCCCCTTAATCAATTCTTTAATTAAGGGTTTGTAGGGACTGGGTTTGCCCCAGGAGGGTCTCTTTACCCCACAGTCGCCCCACGTCAATGAAAGAGAATAAATATTTCTTCTGCCATGAATGGTCACCTCTCGATAGACTAATGAATAAAAAGAAAGTAGGGGATGATGCCTTCTTGGGACACTACTCTACTAAAAGTTGTGTACATAAAAAAATATAATAAGAAATGTATACGAATTAAATAAATCAATCAAATATATACATTATTGACGGTTTTAGGTGGAATATTTAAATATTGAGTAATAAATGCAAAACGTTAAATGTCGATGTCTCATCTGGGTATTATTAGAACCTAAACAAATTAGATGGATTTTGTTTATTGTTTTATATGCACAAAATGACATAAGTTAATAAAAAATAATAGATTATTTTCTTCCCAGAATTAAATTTTCCATGAGATAGTATATAAAAAATTGAAATTTTCATTAGTTTGGAAAACACCTAAAAATTTGTTCCTCATTTTCTTGCCCCATTTGGTAGTTAAATACTCTTTACAAACACTTTTGTCAAAGTTCATTAGAAGGAAATATAAAAATTTTGCGCGGAAGAACAAAATGCGGTACTGTGCACACGCGCTAACCCGCTTGGCCACTCCGCTCCTAATTTTATTTCTTACATGTGGCAAGCGCCCCTGAAGATCTGTCGGTGCCCCCAACGGACGCCCTTCCAGGCTGGCGCCCCGAGACAAATGACCCGGTTGCCCACCTTTAGGTCGACGCTGTTTATGCATGTCTGGGCGTACCACGATGCTTCAAAACATATTCGGGGTTAAACCTGAATGAAAGGCAAGGTTGTATATGTTTCAGAGCACTGGCGGTTCTATGGGGAAAGAGGCCCTTCGGGCTCCTATCTCCCTCTTCCCTCTCCCCCAAATGGTGAAATATATCTATATCTTACGCATAGGCGCAGACTCTCGGTTTTGATTGTGGGGGAGGCGATGGACCAAAGAATGGTGGAAGATTTTATTATGTGTTAAAATTGAACATAATTATTGTGATACCAAGAAATATAATAATGAATGTTTAGAATTAAATTGTTTATATGTTTGCATAAATGTGGGAGTGGGGTAGCTCAGTGGTAGGGCACTCATCTTCTAATGTTCAAGGTTCAAGGTTCGAATCCTGGCTCATGGCAGAAAAATTATTCATTCCGTTCCATCGGCCATGGGGCGACCCTAGAATCTCTCTAGACCCTCCTAGGGTACACCCAGCCTCTACAAAGTGGCTAGCTTTAATTAAAATAATTGATTAACAAACCTGCACAACCGTTGGCCTTGAAACAGTACTCTCTCTAAGTAGTACTGAACCCTTCCCTTCATGGGCTGTAAGTGGTACAGGTTTGTATAACTGTAATTAAGGTTTATATAACTGTAATAATTTTTGTATATTTATTTTTTTTGTTTTACTTATTATATATACTTGAAAATATCTATTTAAAAAAATACACTTGAATACATAAAGTATTTGTTTAGATTAAACAATGGCAGGGAGAGATATAGCTTTCATAACATTGGCACATTCCTAGATCTTTTTCAGCTTAAAATAAATAATATTAAAAAAAAACCGATTACAGAAATTGGAAAATTCTATCCACGCTGCAAAAAATTAGATAACAATATCAAGTGAAAATTGAAGGGCGATCAAATCATAAAATCCTAGGATATGTTGATATGTATTATTATCTTTGAATGTAAATAACAGTTTAAATAAAAGTAACATTCAGGTATCAGTGAAATAGTTTCATACCTAGGCCCTTATTTTAAACATTTTGTTTATTCATGTAGCTTATTTATTTATTATTGATTGTTATTTTATTTTTTACCTCAAATTATTGGAGGGAGGGGCGAAACAATATTCTCGCTCCCTCAACATTTTTATGGGGGAGTTGATCGCCCCTTCTTCCTCCCCGTAATCTGCGCCTATGGTCTCACTAAAAAAAACATCTCTTAAATGTATTATTGTTCGTTAATTAACTGTAATAGGACTACAAGAATCACTTAAACACACTTTCTTATTGGTGGTTAGTTCCTTAATTTTTCTTCCAAAGTAATTATTATTAAATATATAGGAAAGAAAACTTCGGGCTGAAGCCCCCAAAATTAATTTCTGGACCCGGTAGTGTTTCAGAGAATTGTCTATCTTTGTCGATTTTTAAAGGTCGAACCAATTTTATCTTTATTCTAAGGAATAATAACCCAGAAACATGAACTTTTGTGTGTAATATTTTTTTTCAGATATATAAGTAATTAAAATTTCTTTGTCAATAAAACTAATTAAAATTAAATTAAATTGGTACTGCTACTGGTACTAACCCCGGGCGGCTACCTTGAAGTTGCTATCGCGTACATATTAGAATGGAAATATCAAGATTCATTTCTCTCGGCCGCACTGATGCGAGCTAACGCTACGGTAGGGCATTTGGAGAAAAAAGAAAAAGTGACAAACTAATATCGTTTCTCTTAATCATCGCATTAATAATCCTCTGATGTAAGATAATAGGAGAAAGAATGAAGCCATTTTTTTTATATTTAGAGCTGGTTTGCCGCTATTTTTTGTCCAAACCTATCGGTATGTGCTGGGCGGAATTACGTACTTCTAGTGAATCCTAATACATCGAAAACATATAATTTTTTATATATAAACATTTATAATTTTTTATATATAAACATAGTTGTTACGACGTTTCAAACAATTGCAAGAAATTTTGGTCCATTTCACAAATCGCCCCAAAAAAACAGATAGGGCCCGGGGCGATGACCTAGGAGGGTGCCCATTTTAGGCGTCGGCCGATCTTCAGGGGCGCTCGCCACGTGTTAATTTAAAAAAAATACAAAACATTTTAAAACAATTAATTTAATGCATATTAATAAAGCAACTGTATTAGGGAAATATGGAATAAAAAAATCAAATATTACATAGTATAAAACTGCTTCAGAAATAAATTTAATTTTTTTAGGGCGAGGGAGAGGTGACGTCATTGCCCGGGGGGCGCCGAATGTCTAAGGCCGGTACTGCTTCTAAAACAATTTTCAAACCTTGCCCCAACCGGTCATGCCGGAAGTTATTGAAGGTTTTACACGCGAGAACATTGAATTTAGAGTGACTGCTATTACTTTTTATTTACTTAATTTTTTTTTACCAGCGTTTTCGAGTTACTATCGATATAGTTATTGACTAAATAACATCCAATTGCCTATACTGACCAAATTATAAACATATTACGAGTTTAATACACAATAGCTAAGTTAAAAAAAAGAAATAATAATAATGAACTGCTATCTGGAGTACCCTATACTACCTACAAAGTGGTCTAAAATAATATTTTAAAAATTTAGTATTTACTTGACCGCACCCCCCGACCAACTCCTTCTCATAAATAAATAAATTTTTTTTATTATTACATACATCTAAATTTTTATAGTTATAAAATAGGTAATAAAATATACAATATCTGAACAATGTAATGTTTACAATACTAACTATACGAGATGGATTTAAACAATCTACTGATATCTACAGCGAATATTTTCATAATATTTATTTTACCTGAAATACTTATCCTTGAAATACTCATATTGCATGAAATAATTATTTTGCACGAAACATTTATTATTTAACATAGAATATCTAATATAAATAGCAATTGATAATTTAGAACAATAATGTTAAAAAATATTGTTGATAGAATGTTTGTTTTGAAGAATTAAAATGGAAATATAACTGTTTATCACATTTGAAATTTTGCTAATATTTGAATAAACACAATATTTTACTTTTGATAGTCAAAGAAAAAAAATTAGGAAGTATATCTATTGATTGAACATTTTCTAGTTTTTATAGATCTATCTTGTTAATGATTGATAATATCAAAGACACATTTAAAAATCTGTTATTAGATTCCGATATCACAGAAAGCGAAAAATTTGCGTTATAAAAGTGAATTAGAAAGTGACTTGAAAGCTATTTTTATGAAATTCCATTTATATACTTTTACACATAAATTATTCTATTTGATCTATAATTATTTATACTTGAAGATTATTTTGGCACAACAGTGAAATTTCATATATACTCACATAACTTTTAAACTGAAAAAATATTACCAAGATAAAATAAAAATTAACATTTCATTTTTTTTACTTTTCTGGTCTACTAAATGGCTTGAGTTCAAATTCAATATCTTCAAAAATACAAACAGACAAAATTTTGGCAATATACTGCAATTTACGAGTAAGTTAAGGCTCACATCTAAGAAACCTTCCGAGAAACGTTATTTAATTTCTTGAAGAGTACATTTTTCGTTTCGATGCACCGTTTATTGTTTGTATTTGAAAAAAAAAATCGAGAAAATATGGCTTTTTCGACTGCAGAGTTTTCCCTTGGTTGATCGAGTTAGAAATTTAGGATTTTACATGTTTAAACCCATAAACACAAGTTAAAAAAATAACAACTTTTTTCCAGATTTTTCGCAATATATTTCCTGTTTCGATCCTCAAGTTACTGTCCTAATATTCTTTAAATCAGCCGCCATTTTTTAAAGCAGCGGTTCTGGAATGGCAGACAATTTACATTTTACTTAGAATAATATAATCTTTCATAATTTACATTCAAACCTTCGCCCGCGATGAGGTCGATTTTGGGGCTCTGTCTTCAGAGCTGTTACGCTCTCCCCAGTGGGTCGCCGAAAAATAAATATTAACCAATCCAGGAGGGAATTGAACCCTTAACGTTCAGGACCGAGTTCTCTAGGACTTACACCTCCGTGTACGGCCTTTATTAAACTTAAAATTTACTTTAAGTACCGTTTTATCAGAACAAAATTAAATTGGATTAATGCAAGTTTATTACTTCATCGTAATAACTCGTATTTAGTCCTTTTTAATGTGATATCTCATGTTATTTAGTATTCAAAACCTATTCAATCGCATCAAAAAATGGAATGGATAAATACGTTATTAAACAATTATCGCAGCAAACTATTTATTTTAGCTCTTGGCTTGGATGGCGCTTCCTTGTGGCCGAAAATACAGTTGATTATCAGGCCCGTCCTCCCCTCCCTAGTAGTGGCAGAAATCAATTTTGTCTGTGCCGTAGGTGCATCGCCATTTTCTCGAGATAAGCCAAAGAAACCGGCTAGACTATAGAACAACAGCTGGACCTGTAAATATTGTTGAGGATTGATGGCAGAAGGGGTAAGTTTATATTGCTTGACCCTCCCCTTATGCAATCATTTATTTTATAATTGTCATATCTGCTGTTAGCCATAAATTACCTTTTCATTTTTCTTCATTCACATCTTAAATAAATTACAACGGCTATTTCTGAATTGGATGGTGTACCTGAAATACTACATCAATTATTAATGAGTTTTGAAAAGTATTTTAATGTATTATATTTAGTGTTTCATATTATGAACTTGTTAAGTTCAATATTTGTTTGTTTACATTACATAAAATGTTATTGTTATGATAAAAATACTATGAAATCAACTAAAGGTCCAGTTTTTCTGAGTAAATTAAGTTTACTTTAAGTAATGATAAATGATTTAAGTAATTATAAATTGTCTTTTTAAGATATGTTGTTGGGATTGTAAACATTAAGCTTGACAATTTTTCTTTCTGATTCTATTATCACACTGCTATTTTCTTACAATCTTCAGGTTATCGCATGATGATTATTTACAGATTTGCGATTCTGTTGAATGCTATTTGTTAATTAATATATTGTCAATCATTGTCGGAGCAATAACTATTTCAGCCAGTTAAAAGTTCTAGTGCCTTTTCATTTCTTCTTTAAAATTACCTTGAAAGTTTTCGAATGTGCCACATAAACAAAGTAAATTAGGTATATGATAAATTTTAATCATTTGTTTTTTCTTTATTAGTTTTAATATTCTAATGATAATTTATTGAACTCATCTTATCACTTTCAGTGGTTTATTTGAACTAATAGACTAATTAAATAAAATTGCCTCATTGTCATGTGATTTTATTTTTATTTTTGTATTTTATGTCTTTTGTGCTTACATATTCCTATGATCAATAAACACATACGAACTAACTACAAACAATTTTATAATAAGTTAAAAAAAACATGCCAACCAGCTGATTAAAAAATGGTCACAACTACTATGCCCGAGAAGTGCAAAAAACGACTGAAAAGGGTCTGGATGAGGCATCTTCATACATAATGTTTTAGTTAATAAAACTCTTAGAAGGGATTATGCTGGGTATGCTTTTTCTCAGGCCTATCAACAGGGGTGCCTACAAGGAGGTTTCAAGGGCGCAACTTGTGCCAAAACCCTTCTCCATCAAAATATTTGAGGGTGCACATTTTGACGAGGTTTTGAATTTTTGAGGGGCCACATTTTGACGGGATTTTGAATTTTTGAGGGGACACATTTTGACGGGGTTTTGAATTTTTGAGGGGGACATATTTTGACGGGGTTATGAATTTTTAAAATGAAAAAATTAGATTCACGGAACAAGAGGAATGCGAAGAACAGACCACTGACAGTGTCGTTGCATATGGCATATTATTTTTAAAAAACTACTTTGGCATGCACTGTTTTTTAAGAAGATGAGAGCTATATAATATGTTGGGAGAAGGGAGGAAGTTCATGCGCCAACCACCTTGGAAGGGGGTTGGGCATCCCTGTCTATCAAGCCACTTTATATTTTTATTTTATGTATTATTTTTTCCCCTCATTATTATGCTAGCCCATCTGCAATTATTGATAGTTATAATTGACAGGTACGGATAAATAAATGAAAGTGCAAAAAAAATATTTCTTTATTATTTTTAATTAAATTATTAATAGTCATCATTTGTCTTATTATGTGCCTATGGGAAAAATCATTAGAACTGGTAAATCATTGTTTTTACATAAGGCAGATCCTTTAATTTAAATATGCATAGCATACGGCTGAGATTGTATAGTTAAAAAATAAACAAATATTTGGAGTTGAAATAGGACTGATACATACAGAATATAAATATAAACTGAGACATAACTTTACCAATTTACTTTCTTTTATAGTAATGTAATAAGGAAGGAATGTGGAATCAAAACATTTTACACAGTATCCTTAATACTGTATTTTATGTTTTTGGAAAAAAAAATCTTAGGTATTAGCTGTTTTAAAAAAGTTCTTTTATTTTCTTTTTTTTTATTATAGAATTTAAAAATTGAAGAAAGTTTATTAGGACATGTGGGTTTGTCAAGGCACACTCCTTCAGTTCGAGGTGGACGTCCTAGGATGAGAAGTAACACTCATAATACCAGAACAATACAACCTTCAGAGCCCATCCCTCTTGAAGAAGCTGCAAAAAGGGTAAAATTGGCCTTTTATTATATTTATTATCATAATGGCTGAAATATGAAATGTTTCCTATTTTGTAGCGATTTAATTTTAGATATAGTAACATTCTGGTTTTTATTTTATTGTTCAATTTTCAAGTTAATGTTATATTTCTCTCCTCTCCAGTCATAAAATCTGGACTGGTTATGATAAACGTGACATGTGTCCAGATTCACAATTTTTAACGAATGTTCATTGTAAAATCAAAGTAATGGATAAACTATAGTTTCAAGTGTATTTATTCGCATGGATGTACTAAAAAATTTATTGGTGGAAGTTATTATATTTTTTTTTTTTTTGTTTGGAAATAATAAAATAAGAAATTTGTTTGGCCACTTTCGATGAAAGCAATAAAATTAATTTTAATTGATTAATTGATAAAGATAAGTCAAAATGTAAGCTAAATTAAAAAAATTTTCATATGTATTTTTACTTTCACTTACTTACATATGAAATATAAGGTGAGGGAAAGTATTGGGATCATGAAAATTTAAATTTTCAAATCCGAGTTTTCAACAGAAATACATGTTTGAGGTCCCCTGAGTCCGAATAAACAATTCCCACGAAATGGTCTGTATGTATGTATGTTAATAGTCTAGCTTTCAAAACGAATAGTCATATAAATGTGAAATTGTATATTTAAGATTTTTATATGCCTGGGATGTTACATAAACTTTTTTGTCAGATTCGGCAAACCGAATGTGGTATTTTATTTCAATGGCTCAAACAATTTTAATGAAATTCATTATGTTCATGTTAAATTAAGCAGTTTTTAATATAATGTAGGTTTTATTTTCATTGGTGTTCTCTAACATGGCTTAAATGCTTAATTTTCAAAATTTCTTTCTCTCAAGTGCCTTTAATTTTTTTTTATTTGAAATAATTAAACTTTTTCAAATTATAACGTGGTGTAATAAATAGTTAAATATAAAATATGAAATAAATTGATAATTAACTAAAGGAGATATCAGGGATCATAATAGAATAGTAGTAATAGAGACACTGAAGAAATACGAGCGTGCCCAAGCTCGGCTGAAAGGTTAGAATATGCTTCCATACATACAATGTGCTCAAAATAATATGGATTCTGCCAATATTATATACATATGCGGTTTTCATAAATGCTTGCAATGGTATCATTTAATATTTAATTGTATTGATTTCAGCAATACGAAAATTAAAATTTATATATATACCAGTACTTCAACAAATAAAAATACCTACAATGAAATATAAATAAATATAGCAGCCCTCTTTATCAATGGCACTTAATTATTTATTATAATCAAATAAATAATTGAAATATGCAGTCTTAAAAAGAAGTGGGTAGTGACCAAAAAAATAAATATAATACATTAGACGTCTATGAAAAACATATGGTAATTAATTGTTTTAAATAATATTTCATACCGTCCATAATTTTTACTTTTTCTTTCCTTCATCTGAAAATACTTATTTCTGCTAAGAAAATTGTGCTAAGTGAATGTTGTGTGATGCGCGCACTGCACCTGCATTTTTTTCAATACGTTGTTCTTTGAATATGAAAATGCAATAAATATTTGATCCTGTGAATTCTTGAATGTAGCTTCGGAGGTTAATATCTAACTTCGACATGAGATTTTTATATGTTCGATAGATCGGGAATTCTGCTTACATTTTTTATAACAGGGAGGAATTATGCTTGAAAAATATTGACTCATTGGGAATTATTAGTTTTTCTACGATTATTGATAATGGCATTTGTCTTGTTGGCATGTGACAAATAGACGTTGCCTGGCAACTTGATAAACTGAAGATTATTAATTCAAATCTTTTAATTCTGGCACTAATCCCCTACCCTCTCCTTAGGCCTGGTAAAAACATCTTATAGCCTAAAAAAGGCAAGGAAGGGGGAGAAAAAAAATGGTCTTTGTCGAAAAATAAGTCTTAATGCAACTATATACAATAAATTATTAGAAAAGAATATATTTTTTTTTGCTTTGTAAATAAATTGGTAAATAAAATTGTAATAAATTTTCATTATTTAAAGCTTGAATTTATTCTTTCTGTGTTGTACTTTCTAGTTCTTTTAATATTTGGTGATATATAAGAAGTTAAATTGCAATTTTTACTTTCACTTACTTATATATGAAATATATAGGAAGCGAAAGTATTGTGATCATGAAAATTAAATCTTTGTTAGAATTAAATAATGTATTAATTCTATAGTAACCTTATTTTATGCTTTAAAAATCCATAATCAAAGGGTTTTTATCTGAGAGCCTACTAAAAATGATTTTGGAATGTTTGTTCAAAAGTGGTTAGCCATTTTTATATGACAAGTGGGAGAAAAAATCTAAATTTTTGATCCTCTCTCATTTCATTTTAAGATTATGGATAACAGGTTGCTATTGTTTTAAACCTTTTTTAGACTTTATTTAATAAAATTTTTTTTAAATCAGTTCAGCTGTTTTATCATGAAAAGCAAAAAAAAAAAAAGAGGTATATAGCATAATATGTATGTATTTTATTATAAAGTCTACTATTATAAGGTGAATGCTTAATATAATACTTATGACAATAATATGTTCACAGATTAGATGTAATATTTTCAGTTTATTTATATTACATTTTTGTAGGAGCTGCAGGCCATGCCCACCAAAACGCCAGTGTCAATGCTGCAAGAGCTGCTTTCCAGAAGAGGGACGACTCCGAAATATGAACTAGTTCAGGTGGAGGGAGCAATTCATGAACCCACTTTTAGGTATACAGTCTCCGTAGGAGAAACTATAGGTTAGCACTGCACATTTTGTAATATTATCTAAACGTCCGATCTAGCTAACGGATGCCTTCTCCAAGGCAGTCTTTAATAATTATCTCTGATTTTTAATCAAAGGTGGGTGAAAATTAGTCATTTACAGGCTTTGCACTCATGATTCACTTTTTTACAAATCCTATTTGACGTATTGCAAATTGAGAATTTCTTCTGTAAGATTTATTTGTTTTCAGTCAATGGTACATATTCCCCTTAAAGATTATTACCAATGTATTTTGTATAATTAGGGGTAATAAGGGGGATCAGTGATTAAGGCACCAATATCCTCAGACCTGGGTTTGAGTTCGCATATGATTATTTATTCTGTTATTTCAGCTGTGGTTCGACTTTGGGTTCAGAAGACCCTCTAGTTGCACAAACAGCCTCTATAAAGCAGGCAGACTAAATTGGAAGAAAAAAAAGCTAGCTAGTGGTAGAGATTTTTGCCTTCTTCTTGCAGTACAATTAGCCTAGGCTATAGGCCAATTCTAGAATTGGTACATCTTTACCAAGTTTTGAACTCAAGGGTTATAGTGATATAGGTTTTTGGTTTATTATTTTCAATAATGAAACATTGTGATCGACCAAAAAATTCAAAAACATAACCCCCTCTCAAAATAAAAATTTTTTTGTCCGTCCGCGCATTTTCTCCGAAACTACTGGACCGATTTTTTTCAAATTTTTATATAAAATCAGAGGTCACCCGAGGATGATCCTCCTTCATCGACATTACTCTCCGCCTTTAACTTTCAAAATAGTGACCGAAAAACCTGCGTTGCTATAGACTGTAGCTCCTAAACGAATGTACAGATTTCAATGAAACTTCGCTAAAGTCATTTTCTCGACGCCCTTTAAATTTATCTATATAACATACTTCAATGAAAAGAAGCTGAAAAAAAAGTTATACGAGGGATGGCAAAATTAAATTCTGAATAACTCGAAAAGTTTTTACTTTTTTGTTGATATTGTATGGTTTTTTAAAAGTTTGCGAAATTTCCTAAAAAACAAAAAAAAAATTGTTAAAATCGGACAATTAGGAGCAAAGATATGGTCTCCGGTTTTTTTTTAATGTGTTCTACTCCAAATGTCATATCCTTTGTTTGGTTTTTAAATTTTAAATGTGTTACTGAACTGATGCTGTTGTTTTTAGCATATTACTAATGATTAAAGAAAAACAGTTTAGTCCAATAATTGGAATCACCTTTTGTTTTTTTTTCTTTGTAACTTGGAAGGTAATGTTACTTTAGATGTATAATTGTTTAGAAATAATAAACCCTTGTGAAGTAATTTGCAGCGTTCTTGTGTGTGTGTGTGTGTGTGTGTGTTTGCGTGTTATAATTTATAAAAATATTATAAATTAATATTTATTTTTGTTTAATTTTAGCCTCCTTCATTTTCATAACCAAAAGTGGGTTCTATATATATTTTAAGTTTTAATAAAAAATTGTTTTTGTTAATTTAAATTTCCAAGAGCTATGCAAAGAATCTCAATTACCTAATTTTATTAATAGATTTAAAAATTGGAATTAATAGTTAAAGTAGTGTATAAATCAATTATAAACATTTACTTCTCTTGTTTTTATTCAGCCAGCTTAGCTAAAATATCATTAATTTCTCTATTTTTTCATATTTGGATAAACAAACTTTCAAGACTTTTTATAGTCTCTTCTGTTTTTTTCTTCAGCTTTATCTCTTATTGCTTTCTTATCCGAATCGTGGTCTGAAATTTTTTATTAAATTATTGTGGTCTAGATAATGACTTTTGTAATTACCTTGCTGATATAGTTAGTCTTTAAGAAAACAATATTTATTTATTGATCACTGTATATTATTTGAGGTTAAACTGTTTTACTTTTATTTTACAGAGATAAATCTTTCTGAGACGACTATTAAATTTTAATTAATTTAGATAAAAAAGGTACCATAAAGACATAAGATTTAATTTTGAAAAGAAAGTTAGATTCTTTTTTCATTTGTTACAATATATTTTAATGAATAATATAAATCAGAGACTTTTAAACTAATATAGTCTGAGGGATCTTGAACATTTTTTTTTTTTGCAGACACCATCCAAACAATTTCTTCAATGTATCTAGAAAGTTTAATTAGATTCAAGGAAATAGATTAGGAAAAAAATGGTTATCTGTCTAAAATTTAAATTGCTAATTATTTAAAATATATTACAGAGCTTATGTCTACTAAAAATTCCAAATTTTGCTTTAATTTTCGTTTTGTCATTTCTTCTTATCAATACTTTGATTATAGACAAAATCACAATTAGGTAAAAATTTTGTATACAAGTTTTAGAGGATACTATTGAATGAATTCTGTGAATAAAGTTTATTTTTGGTTAATGAGATGAGGTTCTTTCAAAATTGAGTCGTAATTTCATAAAATTATTAAGTAATAATTTTTCGGTTTTATTTGTGTATCTTTGTATTTAAAAACTCATCTAACTTTTTTATATAACCCATCTAGTTCATTCTCACTAATTATGATAAAAATAAAATCCAAAGTTATGTAAATGTTAAAAAGTATATGCCTGTTTGCTTACAATATTTTGCAAATATTATATTTTAAGCTATTTTTTGCTTAATGATATTTTATCAAAACCTTTTTTCCCAGTCTCTGGTTCTAATTTCGAAGAAAAAAATTATAGTTATTTTTTTTATAAACCAAACTAAAGTGTTTCGTTAAATATACGTTATTATGGTCGTAAGTTTTGATAAAATTAAATGTTATGTTTTTGGCTCTGCAGTAGCCATTGTATCATTCAAAGTCTATTGAAATGTATATAATATAACTGTATTCAATATAACAATTGTCTGTAATTTACTGCATTATTCTGTTTTTTAAAGTTTATTTTTATTAAACTGTATATGTACAATTTAAGGATCAAGTAGATTTGCTGCCATGGGCACTGGTAGATCTAAGAAAGAAGCAAAGCATGCCGCAGCGAAAGCAATCTTAGACAAGATCACAGGAAATACAGAACCTCTAGATATCTGTAGCCCAGCCTCGACTACAGATAGCATGTGAGTATTTTTTACTTTCACTTACCTAAATATGTTATATATCGTAGAGGAAACTATTACGATCATGAAAATTTTCAAATCTGAGTTTTCAAAGGAGACACATGTTTTGATGTCCCCTGAGTCTAAATAACTAATTCCCGCAAAATGGTCTGTATGTCTATGTGAACAATCTAGCTCAAAAATGAAAAGTTGTACGAAACTGATATATCATATTTAAGATAAGTATTTCGCTTAGATGTTTCAGCAACTTTTTCCTTAAAATCAGATACATTTTTACTACATACGGACACATTTTATAATTTTCTCAAAAATGGAACTAATGATTTTGATTAAACTCTGCGTATCATTGTATAATTAAATTGTCTTCAATATCATTGATGTCACTTTACCAGGGCTTAAATGCCCAATGTTCAACTCTTCTTCCTCTAAAGTACTTATAATTTGGTTTATTTTAAATTATTAACTATCTCTCATTGTTAGGAGTAATGAAAAAATGCTTAATATAACTTTTGAAAGAATTTGATAATTGAATAAAGGAGATAAAAGGAAAAATACTTATTAGGACGAAAATGAAAGCAGAAATTTTTGGAAAAAACAATATTTAATATATAAAGTCGTAGAAGGTAATAGAGAATTAATAAGAATTATAAATAATAATTTGTGAAAACTAATATTATTTAACAGATATCATGTTTGCCAAGGTAATTAAACGAAATTTACTAACTAAATGTAAACTTAAAAAAAACATTTCTAAGTTTGAAAAAAATATTTAAATACCACCTAATCAAGGCAAGGCAATGTAGGAATACTCTAAGGAGAAAAAAAATAATCTTTTTCGTTAATATTATTTATAGTTAATACACCCTAAGAATCCTTCAGATTAATGAATGGGTCATGATTTTCAAGTGAGAATTATATTCCGATATGGCTATCCTCTGTAGTATATAGATTATATACTGGCTTTAGACCAGGGAGGCAAACTCAGGATCATATTTTCTCATTAAGAATGGTTATTGAAAAAGCATGGGATAGAGGAAGAAAGCTATTTTTGACATTCCTGTAATTGAAGGCTGCATTTGACTCGATTCCTCGCCCAGAGATTTGTAATCTACAGGAAAAACGGGTGCCCTTCATTCTCATCAATTCTTCTTCAGTTCGGCACTATAATTCGTGGTAAGTCAGGGCCTCCTGCAGCATCGACCGCCAGTCATCCCGGTGTATGGCTGCTGCTTTCCAGTTCCACGCCTCTAAGATGGACAACAGATCCTCTACCACTCCGTCATCCCACCGCAGTCTATATCTTTAGACTTCGAGAATATATCTTTTCTTCAAGTACTATCATCTTCCATTCTAGTGACATGCCCCGTCCAGCAAAGTCTTCCAATCTTACGACATTTATATTCTTGTACAGGCTAGGTTTTTCAGCATATGTTCTCTGACGCCAGACATTATTGGTGAATATTGACCTGAAAATTCTCCTTAGGACCTATGTGTTTCCGTTGAAAACTCAGATTTGAAAATTGCTCTCGAATCTTAGGAGTAGAAGTTCTTGAGCTCGTGAGATTGTCCAGCATTCAGAAACATAGGTCTTCAGTGTTTACTATAGCTGCACTTTTGTGTTTTGGGAAAGGGTTTTACTTTTGAGATGTTTTAGGAGTCTGAAATAGCACTTATTTGTAGCCATCATCCTTCTATTTATTTCTCGCTGGGTGTTGTTATTTGCGTTGATCTGGGATCCTAAATTAATAAATTCATTCACCCGCTCAAATGTGCAGTCTCGTATTTCTATCTTGGCTTTCTCCTGATCCATTCCTTGAGGACCTGCTCTCATATATTTTGTTTTTGCTTCATTAACAGTAAGGCTTACTCTTTGAGTGCGAGAAACGCTTCCTTCATGGACATAATACCTTCAATCTCATCAGCACAATCAAATCGATATACCAGGATTCTAAGGAAATTGTGCAGTTTAATGGATCTGAATTGGAGCCATTTAGGTTTTATAATGGCATCAAGCAAGGTGATAGCTCAAGCCCACTACTATTCATTATATGCATGAATGAAGTATGGAAGGTCTGTAAGTGAAGGGACACTAGAGCAATAATGGGATACTGGAATTTAGTTCCTGTGCAGGCACAAGCTCTCCTATATGCAGATGGCGTGGTCCTGATTGCTGACATCCAGGAAAGGCTTCAGATGGCTGTCAATGAATGGTCGGAAGACCGGAAAAGGGATTGGAAATAATTTCTACAAAAAGTAAGGTGATGTTCGTAGGCCGAGATGTTAAAGACCAAGTTCTCATAACATGTAATAATGAATTGTTAAAAAAGATAGACAATTACCAGTACTTAAGCACGATTTTCAGCAGGAATGGAAGGATCGGATCGACCAGGTGGTTTTAAATAGAGTCAAGAAGGCCAATGGTGAGTTTTACTCCATCTGCACTACAATATTAGAGAAACAGGAAATAAAAAAGATAATCAAAATAACTTGATTTAATAATAGTATTTTGGCTGTTCTTTTGTATGGTACAGAGAGTCGGGCAGTCATAGACTCTAGAACTTAGGAGAGTTCTTGGAAAAACATGAAGAGACTGCTGGAAGAACGAGAGGATAAGAGAAAAACTGAATGTAAGGCCTCTAAAACAAGTTATAGAGGAGGGCCAACTGAAGTGGTTTGGCCATGTATACCGGATGGGCGATAACCGAAAGGCAAAATGGTCCTTAGAAGCTAAACTATAGGGAAGGCGACCTAGAGGTAGCTCCAGGCTGTTGTATTGTGACCAAATGGTGAGACTCAGGTGAGCCAGAGGTAACGCCATGGTGGATATGAGAAGGAGGGCCAGTGACCAGGAGTGTTGTAGGATCAGTGGATGAGATGGGTCGAGGCTGTTCCTCCACGCTGATGGCAAGAAGATGGAGGCAAAAGAAGTAGTAGGATACCTTTAATTAATATTATCATTTATGTCAAGTACCATTCATCAAATAAAAATGTATAATTTTAATGGTGGAGGTATTGTTGACTGTGAAACTAGTAGCAGGAGAATATGATTGGTGTGGTGAGGAAGGTGTGTTCAGTAATGGTGGAAAAAAAAAGACCTATCAGACAGCTTATTCTTTGATATGTGTCAACATTACAGTCTTAGTTTTTATCCTTCATCTGAGCAACAGGTTCTCACAGTCCATGGATCTATGGTCTTCCACTTGATATCCAAGAATCTTACACCTCTTACCATGATAAAGGCCTGGAATTAGGCCGAAATGTTAGTAGAGAGGAAAACAAGTTTTCTTATTTGTATTTCTTTTTTTTTTTTTTAATCTCTGATCATACCCCTAACTATATTCTATATCGTTTTAAACTTTTATTTTTACTTCGACATACATTCAGTACTTCATTAACTTTTTTTTTTTTTTGATCATTTATAAATGTTTTAACAGTATACCTTGTACAGAGGCTCCAACATCGGGGCAGTCGAGGAGCGAATGATGGGCAACCCTATTGGTCTTCTACAAGAATTATGCATGACCAGGCGATGGCCTCCACCTGCCTACGAAACCGAAAATGAAGAGGGCCTTCCTCATGAAAGGCAGTTCACCATTTCCTGCCTTGTATTCCGACACAAAGAAATAGGTATGATATCTTACAGTTATGGAATTGTGAAATAATTGTAATTGTAATAAATTTGGCTAGAATGTAATTAACCGACCACTTTTTTTTTTTTTTAATGTTTTAAGAGCCAGATAAGATAACATTAGAGGTTTAAAAATTTGTTTACATTTTTGGCTATAAAACAAAATATGTATGTTATAGTATACATCACAAAGCAAGCTGGGTTTTGATTGGCTATGGGTATTACTGAATCCACTATCCAATATCACTGAATAAAAGGTTTTATTTATAAATAATATTGGTATTTACTTAATCCGCTCCTTATCTACTGCCTGATGCAGTATGAGGGTTCTTTCTATAAAGCTTGATCCTGTGCCAGCTCCCTTCTCCTTCGGCAATCCAGGTTCCTGGCTGCAAACACCTTCCCAGAATTTCCTAGGGCTTCCTCGGCTCCTTCTATCCACTGTTGTGTCAAAGGTAAGCCTAGCTATTCTCCACCTGGCGTCCATGAGACATGTCCAAACCATTCTCCTCCAAGGTTTCATGTAGTGATTTTAGGCCAAGATTGTTCCTTATTGTGGTGTTTCTCACTCTTTCTCAATGAATTTTTTCTTCAATTTTCCGGAGGAACCTCATTTCCATGGCCTGGAGTTGGCTTGTATGATTCCTAGAGACCTTCCTAGAGGGCAAGCCGTAGCATGCTTTAGAATGCTCACAGGCCATGATTTCCTTCAGAAGCACCTCCACTGCATCGCTGTAAAAGATAGCCCGACATGCCCTCTATGTTCCTTAGACATGATGACAGGAGAACATCTTGATACATGCCCTGCATTACAGGACATAAGATGTTCCTTTAATGAAATGGACAGCCTTTATGCTCCGAGAGCAAAACTGTATTGGACTGCAAGAGCACGCATGGCTAATGAAGCAGGCGTTACTTAGGCGTAGGAAAAAAAAAATTTTATTTTCTTCGATTACTGGTTTAAATTCTTTAATGGCTTTTTAATGTAGGTACTGGCAAATCGAAAAAAATTGCCAAGAGGTTAGCAGCACATAAAATGTGGATGAGACTGAAAGACTTACCCTGCGAAAGCAACACCATTCATTACGGCTTGGATGATGAAGATGAGGTATGCGTAATTAAATTGTTTATCTACTATTATCTTTTTTTAAAAATGCTTGATTTAAATTTATGATTGATTATTAGTTATACTTGTGTAGTTACCTACAAATTAATTAATATAGTAATTAGTTTTTTACTGATTTTTTCTATTTTAATTTATTTTATTTGCTCGATTTAAGTTTTATAGCTGGCTATAAAAAATACCAAGTTTCTATACTCAGTAAGAATATATTTTATGGGCATTGGAAATCCAGGCCATTCCCAAACTCGTTATGAACCTATAAAAGGAATTAAAGGTATTCCTTTATTCATCATTGGATTGTTGATAGTTTGCTTTTGGGATCAATGGATCTGCTGGATGTAGCCTCATTGTTGTTATTTCTCAATTTACTTTGTGTATTTATATTCAGTTTACTTTCTATCTATATTTATTTCTGTTTTGGAATTCTACAATTCAGTAGGTAAGTCATTCTTTTTTTAATGTATTCTGTAACCTTCCAGAAGAACTTTCTCCTAGTATCTATCTGGTCATTCCTAAACTATATATAAAGCAACGTGATAGTGCATCACCTGATTTTAAAACAAATTTATGTTATTTATTTTTGTCTTTGTATGTTGACCGGATTTTTAGGTAATATATCCATTGATTTTGTGCAAAATAAGAAAAATATACTGTTGACTTTGTGATGAATTTTAAAAATTACAAAAATCTAAAGATGCTTCCAGTAAAATAGGCAAAGTAAGATTTTGTTATGAAAAAGCAAGTTAGATTCATTTTTAGTGTCCTTTGAAATATGAATTTTTTAAAGTTACTATAACCGTTTAAAAGCTACATTACTACTGTTCCAACCCATATCAATAAGTTTTAGATTTCATTCCTTCTTAAACTAGAAATTAAGAAAAACCTTGTCAATAATTTTATTCTAATCTTTGGTTCTTATCTGTTTACGGAGGACGGTTTTGTATCATTTTGTGTAACAAATAGAGCTCTAAATCCCTAATAATTTTTGTGTGGATCGGTGGAGCAGGTTCAAAAGTTTTCACAATTTTTGTGATTGTCAAAAAAATTTCGAAGGGCTTTTTTGTGCAAAAATTTTGTGTTAAAAGTTTTAATTTTTTTATTGCTATACGTATTTAAGGATTTTTTGAGATGCAAAAAACAAATATTAACTTTGTTTATCCCTAAAAAATATGTACTCTAAATACCTGATCAGTTTTAAATAAATATTATATTTGGTAGATAGCAACAATTTGGACCAACCGACGTAACAACATGGAAATAAATATTTTTTTAGTGAAAAACAAATTTGATATTAATTTTTTGCCCTCAAAAAACTCTTAAATACAAATTTTTATAGAAATTCAAAAAATTAAATTTTCTGCACGACATTTTTGCCTTAGGTAATAAACCCATTAAAATTTTGTTAAAACTTTTGAATGACTCCGCCAATTCACCCGATAATTATTAGGGATTTAGGGCTCTATATAGTACACAAAATGGTACAAAACTGACCTCAGTAAACAAATTACAACCAAAAAAATTAAATAAAAACTATTTGAGAAGTTCCTCTTCATTCCTAGTTTAAAAAGGAATGAAATCTATAAGTTATTGATGTGGGTTGGGAGAGAAGTTATGAAATCTTTAGTTATTGGCTGCAAAATAAAATCCTCTTAATTAAATTAAAAAAAAAAAGAAAATCAAGCATTAAATTTGGCAATTTTTGATTTCTATGAAAATTGGTATTTAAGAATTTCAAAGGAATTAAATGAACTTAAATGAATATAAAATTTCATTCCTAGCCCTCATTTTCAAATATAGAAAAATTGATCATTAAAAGATAAAATTCTGTTCTGTAACCAGTTCAATCTAATTTTCTTGAAAAGCTGAATTGTAGTTACGCGGTTCTAATATTCAACCTCGAGATATGTTTTATAATTTTATATCATGATTTATAGTCTTACTATTAACTATTAATTATTTGTAGCCGTAGTTTTAGATCACCAGTTTTGTTGTTATTAGTTTTTTTTTTTAATGGACTTATTTTGTTGAACCTGCACAGATAAATCAGAGAGTTCCTCAAAGTGAATTTGATTCGTTGAAGATGGTCAAAATCCCAACACTTGCCTCAGCACCTTACAACATCAAAGTGTCACAATTCCACAAGAACCTCAAATCATCAGTCGGACCGAAGCTTGATGAGCTCCAGGTACTTGAGTCATTATCATTGAAAATCACTTCACTAACACTAACCAGTTATTAGATTTACTGTTAATGTTTAAATTTATTTGTTTATTTCTGTAAATTTTGTTAAATTCATATAATATAAACTTAATAATATTTTGGTGTTTGAGGTTCTTGTGATTTGCCAACCCTTTCTGTTTGTTGATCTTTTTTGTCTTAACAAAAACTAATTATAAAATTTCTACCAACCTTTGGCAGTGTTGAGGAACAATTATATGCTACTATATTTTGTAAACAGATATGTTTTATATTTTCGTGATTTATAGTGATAGTAGATCATCACTATAATATTCTTGAAAGATTTTATGAAAGAACTGATGATTTGTAATGTAATTCTGATATTTGACAAGAAAGGTCGAGGAAAATAATAATAGTACACGAGACATTTTGAGAGAATTTGTATTGTGAAGTTATCTGAAAGTTATTTGTACCTTTATCCTCTTAGGTGAAGCATTAGGCAAGAGATCATTCATACTTCATTCTCTTGAGATAACATTACATGACCTATAATGAGACTAGTTATGAACTCGCTCCCTGTCAAATTTAGTTAAATTTTTTATAATGATTCGACAATTAGGGAAAATAAATTTGACTGTTTTTCATTCCAGCTTTTAAAGCTCAGTAATTCAATTCAATTCAATCTTTACATGTTTTAAGGTAAGAACCCTATACAAATGGAGTCTATCACAAAATAACAAACATTACTATCCTTTTGGAAATACTAATTCATTCTTTTTTATACTGCATAACAAATATTATAACACTCTTAAGCATAAATTAAAAATCATATTCGGATCAGACAGTTAAGTTGTTCCAATTATCAAATTAATATAAAATCTAAAATTGTCAACAATATACATAAATAAATAGACATAAAACAATAAATACACATTTTTTAAAAATATTAATATTAAACAGTGTTTTAAAATTAAATTAAAAGATTACCCCTATGCCTAAGAGAACAAACAAGAAAAATACCCGGACAGATCACATGCCGATGTGCAATATGAAATATTTGCCATAATATGCAGAGGACAATATTCCAGATTATCCTACCAATTCTCTATAATTGAAATAAAAAAATATAATTTTCTCATATCTTCTGCACTGGTTGGCTTAAATATTTCTATCACATCAAGATTTTCCATAACCTGATAAATTCTTAACCTTAAACTACTGTAAATTGGGCATTTAAATAATTATGATTAAGTGTCTCGTTTTCTTTAGTGTTGCACATTTTGCAATCAAGCTGTTGGTTAATTTTCACAATTTTATTATTAACAAAAATCTTGATCATATATTTGCCCGAGAGTCGGATCTGAATTAATAGTTTCATATATTTGAGATTAGTCAGTATCAACAAATACTGGGGGATCTGATCATTATTAAGAAAAATGTTTAAATGTTCACTATAATATAAGATGAGCTATGCAATGTTATCCTGTCTCCGTTCCTCAAATGTTTTTTATATTTATTGAATATCCTGTTAATATTTGTTCTAATTATGGCTGAGAACACTAATTATATTTCGATAGAGCAGGATTAGCTAAGTAACATTTATTTCTTAGCTTTTCCAAACATATTTTAGGATATCTACATTCCTTCATTTCCACTACCTTAATCAACCTATTGAGCACTTCATAATATTGAAACCAATATGAGTAGACCCTTTTTCTAAACGTACTAAAAAGTCTGGGATTGTTTGGCATAGCGAATATGTCTTTTTATAGAAATTTGTGTTGACTTTTTATAAGAGCTTTATGTATCAATGACTGCATACTTGGGCACAATATAGCAGACATTTGTTGATGATAGCTTTTTTCAACTTATCTCTCGTCTTCCAGGAGTTTGTTTTTGCTTTAGAACAAATGTTGTTCACTACCTATTGTCGAGTTTGACTTTGAGATTGTCATCTTAACTGCTGGCGAAAACAAACCAGACCTACAAAAGTGAATACCTAAATAATTGTATGTACTGACTGCATCAATCAGTTCTCCATTCAAATATATACTATTATATTTCTTTGAGCGCCCCTCAGCGCCAAAAATTCAAAATTTTTGTTTTATCAATGTTTATAATTAGTGTACTGTCTCTGCAGTATACATTTAGGCCATTAATTTTTTTTACAAGATTATTATAGGAATTAACCAGAATAGCCATGTCATCTGCAAACAAGAGCAACAGAATATCAACACATCCATCAATAGGTATACCTGACAGGTTATGCTTGCGAAAATATTCCTTAATATCAGATAAGAAAAGATTAAACAGCATGGGACTCTGTGTCTCTCCTTATAGCACATCTTCGCTAAATTTAAACTTTTGTGACAGTCCTCCTGTGGTTCCTTTTATTTGTGTGTACGCATTATCATACATGTTTCCCATAACTTCAATTATTTTCCCATACTATGTGCCATAGTAAGATGTGATTTATGGAGTCAAAAGCCCGACGAAAGTCAACAAAAAGAACGAAAAGGTTAGACTTCTCCTTTAAAAATTGGTTTTGGATAACGGCATTAGAGACAAAAACATTATCTTAGCAACTTCTTCTATTTCTGAATCCTGATTGGCATTCAGGTATAATTCTGCTTTCTTCAGTCCGTAATGTTATTCGTTCCAACATGATTTGGGTAAAAATTTTGGAAGCACAGTTTGCCATAGATATGTTTCGATAATTAAGTGGCTTTCCTCGGTCCCCTTCCTTAAACATCATTGCGCTGAAAAATTCAGCCCATGATTTAGGCACCTCCTTTTTCTTCAGAATTTTTTTTAAAGCTCAGTAATTCTATTCCTTTGTTTCACAATAAGGTATTTAAAATATCTGGTTCTAGGCTGATTTGCATTATTTCTGAATTTTTCATTCAATCTCATTACTTTAGATTCCTCGTAACCTGCTATTCACATTATAATCTTTTTTTTTCTTGTACATTCAACATATCTAAAATAATCAACTTTCCTTTTACTATTTAATAACAATGAAATCCATATTTTGATATTTAAATTGGCGATGACGTGTAATAAGCATTTTAGTTGAATCATTTAAATTGGGCATTTAAATAATATATGATGAAGTGTTTCGTTTTCTTTAGTGTTGCACATTTTGCAATCAAGTTGAGGGGTAATTTTCAAAATTTTATTATTAACAGAAATATTGATCATATATTTGCCCAAGAGTCGGATCTGCATTAATAGTTTCGTATATTTGAGATTAGTCAGTATCAACAAATACTGGGGGATCTGATCATTATTAAGAAAAACGTTTAAATTTTCACTATAATATAAGATGAGCTATGCAATGTTATTCTGTCTCCGTCCCGCAAATGTTGTTTATATTTATTGAATATCCTGTTAATATTTGTTCTAATTAAGGCTGAGAATACCAATTATTATTATGATGGACCATAATGTTTCAGATAATTTCATTAAAGGATTCGGATTTTAATGCAGTCCAGTTCCTACAAGAGATAGCTGCTGAGCAACAGTTTGAAGTGACATTTGTTGATGTTGAAGAAAAATCAGTCACAGGTAAATAAAAAATCTTAGTTTAACATTTAAATACATGTGAAGTTTATTTTATTCAATTTAAAATAAGAATGCTTTCATAGTATAATGAAACATTAGGTAGCATGGTTAAAAAAGGGAATGATGTCAACAGAATAGTAATATCAGTATTACTATTATTTAATATTTTTATGTGCTAATAGAACTGATTGTCTGTGCATCACCCTGACTTCACACCAAATGAGCCACTACTCTTTCCGCTCATCCGGTATTGGTAAATATTAACTTCCACGGTACAGCTAGTTAGTCCAATAAGTTTTCAAGGGATGCTCATTTTATTCATTGCACTGTAAAGTTTCTCTCTAATTACAGAATCGTAAGCTGCCTCAAAGTCCACCAAAAATATCCGCAAACGGTGGCCAATTTCATACATCTTTTCTTCCAGTTGTTTAAGAGTAAAAATTTGATCTATTGTAGACATATTATGAATATCTGCTTTGTAATCTCTAACTGTGCCTTCCATGTAAGGGTATCAGCCTTTTATATAGTGTAGTAGCAAACATCTTGTATTGGAGATTCAAGAGACTGATCTCTCTATAATTGCTGCACTCTATGAAATAACTTTTCTTTTTAAATACTGGGATGATTTTTTTTTTTTTTTTTTTTTTTTTTTTTTTTTTTTTTTTTTTTTTTTTTTTTTTTTTTTTTTTTTGTCCACCCCTTTCTCACCTTTTAGGAGGCTATACAAGGGTTTTCCCTGGCCAGGGGAGAAGACAGATATTAATGCCAGCTTTAAAAGTCTCTCTGAGATGCGAATTTGTAATTATTTTATCATATTGGTATCTGGTTATCTGGTTCCCAGGCAATGGTGGTGCTGTGCACACGTGTTGGCCGGCCATCCCACCTCCAATTCTGGAATTACTTATGGATTCTTTCCATTTTGTTGGTTATTCTTTCTATTAGCCACATCTGGATTACCAACTCACATAGTTCAGTATTCATTTAGAGTCCTGTCGCTTTCCACAGCTCTGCCATTGTTTCATCCGTTTGTGGGTCTTCACGATTTTTCAGTCCGGTGGTGATTTGCGAAATATTCTCTGCCTCTGAGGGTTTTTCCTCATCTTAATTTATAATTCATTTTAATATTTCAGTAACCTGATTTTTTTATTAATATGAGCAGGAAAAGTTAAAAGAATTTTATAAAAATTTTCTATAGTTATCTTATAGCTTTAATAACTAAGTCCAGCTGATAGGCGATAATTTAGAGAGCATACTGTAAACTATTTTGTCGGTGATTAAACAATGCTAGATAGAAACGTAAGTAAAGAGGTTGATTTGACTAACAGTTGGCAATATTTTTAAATGTTTGCTTATAGATGGAATTATTTGATAGTTAGAGGTTTGGTTTGTAGTTCAAAAATATTTTTTATTGTCAAAGCATAGCAACATTATTAAAGTGGGCATTCCAGTTTTTCATTATCTTTTAGTCCTAAAATATATATTTATTATTTTTTCTTACTACCAAAATATAAAGATAATTAATAAACATTAATTTTATAACAGTTGTCAATTGCTCACATTTTACTGTTCCTAAACCATTTTAAACATCTACTATTTAATGTAAAATATGGTTAATCTCACAATAAAAATAAATAAAATATTTCAGATAGCATCAAGGTTTGTATTAACATCTTACTCAGGCAAACATTACGGCATTCAAAAAAGGGAAAAATATCATTGATAATTCTTTATTTTAATAAGAAAACCGTAGTTTAAAAAAAAAGAAAAGATAAAAGGTATTGATGGTTTCGCATGATAACCTAGTAACTAGCTTATTTTTAACATCAGATTTTTCTGAGGGAAAAAAGGTTTTAATATAAAAGTTAACTTTCGTTTCTCATTTTTGGATTTACACCATCTTCTAGCTTGAACAATAGAAAAGGATTTTTTAATCAAATACTAGGTAACTAACAATTTTTTTACTGTATGAAGTTCAAGAATGTCTTTTTTTTTAAATATAATTCATATTTAATTTAATATAAATTAAAATTTTCTTTCAAAAAATATTAATTTTGTTTAGGAAAATGCCAGAGCTTGGTACAATTGTCGACACTACCTGTAGCAGTTTGTTATGGCACGGGGATGTCCTCTTCAGAAGCACAAACATGTGCGGCCTACAATGCACTACAGTATCTCAAACTGATGACCAAGAAATAGAATCGGGTGACTGAAGACCAGCTCAGGACTGCAACTGTGTACCTCACTTCCTTCTCTTGCTTTCTTATTTCCTACGGCAAGGTAGCCTCCGCACCAGGCATCAGATGGTGTCGCAGCTCCTGTTTCTGTTTATTTATTTGTATTATTAACTTTTAATTAATTTTAATTATGTACCATTTGTTGGCGTTATTAACCCAAAAATGGATAACATTTTTACAATTAGAGTCGTATGAGGTATGTTTCATTTGACGATCAATATGAGTTGTGGCCCATTGTTAGTTGTGACCCTATTTTACGATATATTTTTTATCAAATGTTTTCAGATTACTTTTTAATTGTGTTATACAACTTGTTTTTTTCAATCTGATTGGACGAGTCTCTGGAACCAAAAAAAAATAATTTAAATCTTTTTTGTTACTAATTGTTTAACTTAGACAAATGAGAAGTGATATTTCTTTATGTTGTTTGTTATTTAACTCCTTTCTTTATCGTTTTTAAACATTTTATTTTATTTTTAAAAGTTTTGTTCTGTTAGATATAAAATCGATTCCTCATTTAGATAAATTTATTGTTGTTCAGAGGCTTAATACACAGATATTAAGAATGTATGATAGCAACTGCAATGTGCCAAAGGTAAATGAAATTAAGTTCCAATTATTTTGAATTTAAATCAATTCAATAGAATATTCTTGTTTTGTTTTTTTAAACTATAGTTGAGCTTATTTTATTTTTTGTGGACCGTTGCTTTATAAATTTCACACTTATTTAGTTAAAATTATTTGTTTGATAATATTAACAATAAAGTGTTCAATTTGATTGTTTTTTTCATTTCTCCCTCTGGTTGCTTTAATGATATCAAGAATTCTTTTTCCAAAATTGGACAAAGTGAATAAATTGAACTAATGCGAATAAGTCATAGCTTTATATTAAACACTTATTTCCAAAGTGTTGTTCCTTTAGAATAACACTTAAGAAATATGTGAGATGACCCTCTCCAGATGGTAGAATGGTAAATCAGATTGATCATGTTTTAATCAGTAGGTGACACTAGTCTAGTTTGATGAGCTGTAGATCCTATCGAGAGGCTAATATGGATTGCGACCATTACTTTGTGGTCCAAAATCAGAGCTAGAACATCTATTGTTGGAAAAATCAGGGGAAAGAAGACAGAAAAGATAGTGATGTTTAAGCTGAAAGATTCAGAAGTAAGTGTATCAGATTATCGGAAGCTAGATAAGATGGTTTTGAATACAGGAATGCCGGATAATTCTATACAGAAACTTTAGGATACTCTTTTGAAATTACTTCTAGGGGTGTCCAAAACATAGGTCTGGAAGAAAGAATAACCATGTCCCTCTGGTTTGATATAGATTGTGCAACAACCACAGAAGTAAAAAAACAACAGAAGCGTATTACTAGGTGGGCTTCAGAGGAGTACAAGGGAAAGAGAAGATAAAAAACTGCACTATAAGAAGACGGATTGGAAATGGAAGCAGCTTGAGAAAATGAAACAACTCAGAATTCAGAACCAATTTGGAATGTTTTACAAAAAGATTAATGGAACTAAAGCATCATTTAAAGCACAGATTTAGTGTGAAGATAGCAATTAGGAGTGAAGATGGATCTCTGATCACAAAACAGGATGATATACATACCCGGTGGTCTTGTTATTTCGATACACTCTTAAACAATGATGTGGGAAATCCAGATTATTTTGTGATTCCAAGTAGAGAAAATGATGAAGACCCCCTTCTCCACAGACAAATGATGACTATTGAGGCTCTAAATGGCATGAACAGCAATAAAGCTCCAAGGGAGGATGGGATCTCAGCTGAACTTCTGAAGCAGGTTGGTGAAGAGTTTCAAAAAGCTCTATATAATATAATTCTTACCATCTAGATTGAAAAAAGAATGCGAATCAGTGGAAGGGGCTTATAGCTACTGCATAAGACAGATGAAATTCTGGATTGTTCCAACTACAGGAGGATTGTGGTTCTTCAGTATGCATATTAAGTTCTTTTCATGATTATATATATGAAAATGCTTCCATTTGCTGAGAGAGATTGGTTGGTATTATGCTGGTTTCAGAAGGGGTAGACCAAATATACAGCATCATATTGATCCTAGAAAAATTACATGAGTAACGGAATATTACCCACCATCTGTTTGTTGATTTTCAAAATGAATATGACAGTATAAAAAGCCCTAAGTTATACACAGCTCTCTGCGAAATGGGAATACCATTGAAGAAGAACTCAGGTTGAGGCGGGCTGTGCTGTTAGGATATAATCAGGTGTTCTCTAGTTTGTTTCTGCAAGAGGTGTCAGAGAGGATGATGGTGTTGCCTGTCTGCTATTTGATTTAGCATAAGAAAAGATCTACTTAACTCAGGAATACAGACAACAGACACTATTCTTAACAAGTCTGTTCAAGTTCTTGATTTGCAGATGATCTGAATCTCATTGGAGGATGCTTCCAGTCACTCAAAAGTGGGTTCTTAAGTTTGTTGAAGCTGCAAAAGAGATGGGAATGATTGTTAATCAAGAAAAAACTAATATCTAGAGCAGACGCAGTAGGACAAGAACGTGTAGAGATGGGTTCATTTACCTACCATTATGTATCGTGGATCAATAATAACATCCAGAAACATATTAGGGGTATTCGTGCAACCAGTGCTAAGTATTGTAAACCTCTTAAATGTGTAAAGTGAAGACAATTATTTACAAAATGTGTGTTAAATATGGCTGTTAGCAATCGATTGCAGCCTAAGGTCCTGTAAAGTGTTGCTAACTTCATAAATGCACAGAGTAGGTTATTGTAAGGTTTTGATGTGTTTGATTCTTTGTTCTTTATTTGTGTATAATATCCACAGAAATGGACTGTAAAGACAGCTAAGATGCCACCTAACTATTCATCAAGTTCTTTGCCTTCTGAATCATACGCTTCTTCATTCATGCTTTCTAGTATTTTTAACCCAAATAATCCAGCAACTTAGTATTTTCACTTCACTCTGGCATTTAAAAAAAAAATCAAAAGCTAGTAGACCAATTAAGAACTCAAAAACTTTGTTTACAGTACAGGCATAACCTTACTATAACACTTTAGCACAGACATGTTATTTACTATTCATTCAAAATTTGTGCTGACTGCTTAGCATGATAGCACATTAAGCATTGACAACAAGTGCATGAATACCTCTATTTTCTGTATAAATTTGTTAAAGCCAACATGGCTCCATAGAGGGGCGGCTATAATGATGTATATAAGATTGGATAGACGATTTTATGCTGGCTACTTTGAATGAATGGCGATAGGGGAGATCTCAAGGAAGTTGTTGGATGGAAGACTGTATGAGAGGAGAGGCAGACCTCAATTAAGATGAGAGAATGGAGTATCGAGGGATACCCGCAACTGAGGAAGCTGCTGGGCACCCACAACTGATGAGATAGATAGACATTGAGGAGGTCAAGGACCAACACTGGTCTGTATAAAAAATGAAAAACAAATTTTTTTTAAAAGGAAGGAGAGGATTTAAAATAATATATTATTCACTATGAAATCACAATAGGGCATCAATTTCAAGGTGCAGTAATTTGAAGATGTTATAGACAAATTTTTGAAGTTTTAATTATATCCTTTCAAATAAAAAATTCTAATTTGTTCATCTTCCTTTCACTGAACTTCCCTTTTTTGAAGAAGAGGCGCGCTGAAATAGATTTAAGGAACCCTGGCACATCTGACAGTCGCATGAAGTAGGATGTGTAATGGAGTGTTTATAACTGTAGCCATCTGCACAATTTAGGACTACGTCCAGCTTGTCATAGTCTCTGCCCTGGCAGCAAAGGCAGTTGCTAAGGTGCTGCTTGTTTCCTGCAAAATTTTAAGTAGGAAATAAATAATACGATTTAAAACATTTATACATGGATAAATAATATCTTAATAAAATCTTCGATTCTCAGAGGAAATATTTTTCTAAAAGACATTTCGTAACTCATCTGTCCTAAATAATAGATTTTTTAGTCTAATGTCATGAAAAGAGATAATCATTCATTTATTTGTATTCGTTCATTATTGGCGCAAAAGATGCATGTAGCGATTCTTGACCTGCTTAACTTCCTTTGTCCAATCAAGGAAATTTATTTGTATAGTGGAACCAACATAATTTTAATTTTTAAGCATCGGATATTTTACATAATGAATGGAATTTAAATAAAGTTTAATTGACTAGATGAAATCAGAGCTAACCAAATGAATATAACTAAGAAGAAATGATAAGTCGATAATTATATTTTACAATGACGAATTTTAAAAATTCAAGGCACCCTTGTCAAACTAAAAAAAGTTATAGCAAGTTACCTAAACGCAATGATATAGCACCTTTACTCATTTTAGGTCCAATATATATTTTAACTAAGCAAAATTTTGGCAATGTATTGTCTAGAATTTGTTTGATTTTATAGTTGAAATAAATACTATTAATAATAAACACAAACATCCATTTGTTGAAAGTAGTTTCACCAAATTGACCTATAAATCTTTGAATATTATTTCCCAAAGTTTTTTTTTTTTTTTGGTATACCATAACTTTGTTAATTATTCCTCAGATCCGATGATTGAACAGTTATTTTGAAGATTATCTTCTTTTTCAGGTGGGAAAAAAAATTCACATCTCACCATGACTTCAGGGAAAAAGTATTGAAGAAAAAGAAACTTTATTTTCCCATAACTTAAAAAGTATACCCGTTCTTATTTGAAAGGTTACTAAATTCCCTAAAAAGCAAAAAATAATCATGCCATCGGAACATTATTTACAAAGATACACTACATGCCTACTGTAATTTGAAGGAATGTTTGGTTTATTATTATTAATTAATCATGGACTGAGCAAAAGAAAATTAATTCTTTCATTTCATATTATATAACTTTGTGTTATTTCCATTTAATTTTGAAATTTGTTTACAATCCAATAAACTTTGCAAATTTTTTGCAAAAGACAAATAGTTAAATATTATCTAGTTTCTTATATTTTTTAAATATTTTCTATATTAATGTGAGATCATATCACAACATAGTAGTTATCTTTAATATTAAAACTATTAGGATTGCGTTGAGGGGCCCGCAGTGGTTGAGCGAATTAAGGCACCTGCAAAAATTTTAAGCTACGAATTTAAATCCTGTTCGCGGGACTAAAAAAGAAAAAAGATTAAAAATAAATAAGTGCAGTCCCTACTCGATTGCTTAGACCTCTATGGCGCAGGTTCGATTCCCACATGGGGATGTTGAGGTCCTCACCCTGAGATTCAGAGTTAGGTGAGCGACTCCTGTGTCTTCCAACAACATAGTTCCTGATCCTTCAGATTGGGGGTTGGACACAGTGCCCTTAATCCTTGCTTAGACCTCTATGGCGCAGGTTCGATTCCCACATGGGGATGTTGAGGTCCTCACCCTGAGATTCAGAGTTAGGTGAGCGACTCCTGTGTCTTCCAACAACATAGTTCCTGATCCTTCAGATTGGGGGTTGGACACTGTGCCCTTAATCCTTGCTTAGACCTCTATGGCGCAGGTTCGATTCCCACATGGGAATGTTGAGGTCCTCACCCTGAGATTCAGAGTTAGGTGAGCGACTCCTGTGTCTTCCAACAACATAGTTCCTGATCCTTCAGATTGGGGGTTGGACACAGCGCCCTTAATCCTATCTCGAAAAAAACAACAGGATGGATAAGTCTGCAAAAGGATTGCCAACCACCCTGATGAAGAGGGAGTGATTAGTGATCGCATCCGGTTATTATAAACCATGTGTTCCATGGATACCTGTATGAGTATAATAAAACCAAACGATCACATCTGTCTCCTAGAAGAGCCCCATAGCTGCTTGACGACTAATGATGAAAGTCAATAAGCGTTAAAAAAATCATAATAATAAAAAAAAAGGATTGTGTTGCAATAGTAATAACTTTTCATACAAATTACAATGACTCAAATGTTTGTACTCACTCCAATCAAACTCAGTTGATGAATCGCAAACACCTTTACAGTGGTTCATAAAAATTGGCTCAGTATTGACACATGGCCCATGTTCATCACTGACAGTATGGATCATCCTTATTGTAGAATTTAATGGAACAGGTTCAGTAGTACATTCACCTGCAATAGTTGTATATTATAAAGAAGTTGAGATTATATTAAATAGTATAATAATATCATATACAAAACTTTCAATGTGGACTCTACGTACTCTGAGGTTCAGGTTTGGTTCGATTACACTGCTTACAGCAACCGTCAAAGTATATATCTTCGTTAGGGCAGTCTTCTATGGCTGGGCAGCTCTGTTTTGATGAAACCACTTGGACCTGGGCATCCAATTCATTTATCTTTTTAATTAATCTTGTTTAGGTCAAACATTATTCTAAAATTAAGTTGTATAAAAAAATCTGATGCAGTGTGTGCATAGCACCCCTTTCAATCATCACCAAATTTTATTAATTATATGTCTGCTAAAATAGAGCAATAAGTAGTATGACACTGATTAGTTAGTAGCTCGAGGGCTAAATAATGTGGCACAAAGTAGAAACACATTTTGTTTTATCTCTAACTCTCCAATATTACTTACAAAACATTTACAAATGTTCACACAAGTTAGAAGATTAGTTATCATCTTTCAATACATACTTGTAAATATTTTGTAATATTGCAGATTTATGGAAAAAACGAAATGTGTTTCAACTTTGTGCATTTGAGTTCATCCTCAGGATGCCAAATAATCTTGGTTGAACTACAGTTGTACAGCATTTAGCTAAGGAAACCAATGCACATGTTTTGAGTAACTTCAAGTTTAAATTAAATGGGCTTTCAAATAAGTATAACAATGGTAGGCAATGAAAATAGCGCAATTCCAGTAATCTATTCTAACCATACACTCTAATCTTGGAGCCCTATATACCAAGAGAGGTTTGAAAATGCATAGATACCTCTAATGTCTAAATAAGAACTGTACTATTTATTAACAACTTTAGGAACTAACTCTGTATCACTTAATACATTTTTTATACAACTATTTTTTCCATTGTAAAATCATTAACTAATTCCACATTTTTTCCAACTCAAAATATTGGTATTATATAAATAGTTTGATAAAAAATTAACTTTATTTTTTTTTATTTACTTTCACTTTCCTATATACATAGTAAGGGAAAGTATTGCAATCATGAAAATTTTCAAATCTGAGTTTTCAACGGAAATACTTGTTTTGAGGTCCCTTGAGTCCAACTAACAATGTCTTGCAAAATGGTCTGTGTGTATGTATGTTAACAGCCTAGCTCAAAAATGAAAAGTCCTATGCAACTGAAATGCGTATTTAAGGTTTGTATATAGCTGGGATGTTACAGCAACTTTTTTTGTTAAAATCAGCTAACCAGAAATGCCACTTCATATTATCGATTTTACGGCCTGTTTTGACATATGGCTCAGAGGCTTGGACGATGACTAAAAAGGATGAGATGAAGCTGAGTGTCTTTGAGCGAGGAGTCCTCAGAAGGATTTATGGTCCAGTAAAGGAGGGTGATGTCTGGAGGAAAAGAAAAAATAGGGAGCTCAGTTCTCTCTATGCAGACATCGATGTAGTCACGTATATTAAACTGGCCAGACTAAGGTGGGCAGGGCATGTGGCCAGAATGAGCACCGTTGAAATACCAAAAAAAATAATGATGGAGGAGCTGCACCTCGTAAGACGGGTAGGAAGGCCGAGGACGAGATGGTTGGACAACGTGGCTTATGATGCGAGAACCCTGCTTGGTGTACGGAACTGGAGAGCTGCAGCAGAAGACAGAGCCAACTGGCGGAGGCTCTTGGAGGAGGCCCAGTCTCGGTAACGGGATGTTGTGCCACACATGAATGAATATTATCGATTTTAGACATTTTTACAATTTTCTCGAAAATAGCTCAAACGATTTTGATAAAGTTCATTGTATAGGTGAAAAACTAAGCTTTTTTTAATATAGTGTAGCTCTTATTCTCATTGATGTTCTCTAACAGATCTTAAATGCCTAATTTTCAAAATTTCTTCCTTTAAAGTATCTTTAATTTTTTTAATTTGAAAAAATTAACTATTTCACATTGTAACCTGAAATAAAAAATTGTTAAATATGAAGTAATTCAATTATTATTTAAAGGAGAAGTAACCTAATATGAAAATAGAGAATTGGCAAAACCCAAGTGTACAGCCGAGATTGGCTGAAAGGTTAGAACATGTTTCTATAGATAAGCATATGCGGCATTCATAAATACTAGCATTGATATAATTTAATATTTAATTTTATAGATTACATCAATGTACAAATTAAAATTTAGGTATATACATCAATGCTTAAACAAATAAAAATACCTACAATGAAATACATATAAATTTAACAGCATTCATTATCAGTGGCAGTCATGTCAAACTAAAATTGAACTAAAAATAGTTAGGTAATGCACGCAACCCACCAGATTTTTTTAATGAATAAAAATCTATTTATAATCATAATGTATTATTAATATGATTACCATTAACTCATTTCAATATGTAATAATTATCACAACTGTTTCATTGTTCCAATTTTCAATATTTTTTACTTTGATTTTTCTACTAAAAATATCTGAAACAGGAAATTGTTCTTTTCTGCTGAAAATTGTAAAAAATTATCCCATTCAAAACCAGATTTAACTGATTAGTACATATTTTGTGAATTTATCCCCTTCTTCTAAATGCCATTCAGTTAATATTTAATTATTTTTCATCACTCTCTTTTCCTTGCCTATCATTACCTTCAATAACTTTATATGTTAGATATTAATTTTTCAAAATTCTTTAGCTTTCCAATAATATGTTTTTAACCAACAAAATATCTTAATCACTAAGCTACAGTATACCACTCACCCAAATTAGCACGTTTAGTTTAAGCCATTTGGACTATATTAGAAAAGAGTAAAGCCATTAGCCATTGTAAATGTAGATAAATAAAAACAGTAATGGCACTTCTAAATTGAATATATTTTTAATGATGTAGAGATGGTTGACCGTGATATAATATGAGAAGGAGTTGGTCGAGGAGTGCGGTCAAATAAGTACTCAATTTTTAAAAAATGGTATTTTTAATTATTATACCGTTTTGACCCACCTTGCAGGTCTTAATCAGGGCATGACATGTGGCACTGCAGGAGGCAGTTGATAGACTGGACGTCGGCATAATAATTAAAAATACTAGTTTTTCAAAAATTTAGTATTTATTTGACCGCACCTACCCCTCCCGCCCCCTCTTCCACTCCCCTGGCCAACTCCTTTTCAGAATATATTTTTACTTTCCTACCACTACCAGGCAAGAAAATCATTGTAATTTGATCAAAATTTCTATATGAATTTTTCCAAACATCTTTACGTTTCATAGGCATCTGAGTCCAATAAAAGCATTTTCGGCATTTTGTTTTTTGGGTCCTCCCCTTCCTCGCCGTTAAGGCTATACGGAGTTTGCCAGGAGGCCAAGGGTTGTGGGCGGGTATTTAAAAGACTGCCTCGGCACCAGGACGCAAACTCGTGACTATTTTGATATCCATTTGATTCATATATCAGGTTGCCAGTATATGGTTATATATGGTTTTATATATATATATATATATATATATAGGTAGATATAGGCCATTGGTCCATTGGTCTATCTGTAACTGTGTCACAGGTTATCTCTTGAACAGGTGGACTGATTTTGTTGATTTATTTTTTGTTTAGCAGTATCTTGCCCTCCAATGGTGAAAAATTGACACAATAGGTGAAAAGCTTTATATATAGACATTTATATTATCATTTGAAAGATAATCTAAGTCCACTAAAACATCAAATAAAGTGAACAAGCCCTAAAATTGTTTTATAAATATTTTGTTTCGCTTAATAAAGACATTATTCATTATGCCTACTCTAGACTAATATCATTAAGAACTGCTCCTGAATCTATAATATTTTGTTACATCTTACTTGATTATCGTTGAGCAGGCATGTGAAAGTAGTACAGTTGTCCTCAGAATTCCAGACGCTATTTATTTCATGCTGAGTATTATTGATAACACAGGCTACTGGCCTACACTCTCCACAGCATATTTTTGAATCTTCTGGAGGTGCGAAATACTTCCATCCCTGCAAAATTCATTAAAAACATGTTAGTACTCTTTCTTTCCTGATTTACCACTTTCATATCTTTTCTCTCGTAGCAAAAAAAATCTTATAAAAACACTACTTGGACAAAACATAAGGGAGAGTACTGTTCAACTCAAGTAATATTAAATAGATAATAAAGTGAAATATTTCTTGCCTCTTTGCAATTCTTATCACAGGTCTGTACAGAATCTTCTTTGACTACTTCCCCATTAGTACCAATAGTACAGGTACCATTTCTACAGAAGTCCAAACTGTTTTGCCAACTTTCACCAACCTGAAATTATAATGCAATGAATTTTTGATGATGAACAAAAGTAAGGGAATGTAAAACAACCAATATTTAATTGAAAAATAAATTTTATTTCTATTGTAGCCAAAAATTGTATTGAAAATAGGATTTAAGTATGTACAACATTTTACTTTGTTTTTTAAGCTCTTTAAGTTGGTAGTAATTTATATCATGCTATAAATTATGTAAAAAAATATTTTTAAAAACAATTAGTCTGACATTTTTCCGAATTATTCATAGTACAAGAAAAATTTTTCTATTATATAAATTCTTTATTTAAATGATAAATTCTTTATAATAAAATCAAATGATTTTTAAAAGCACATTATTTCCTGGCAATTACAACAAGCTTGTATACCTGATAAATTTTATTCTCATGTTTGCAAGCCGTCCTCTTGTAGATTGGACAGCATTTGTTGTTTTGGTTTACAGATTTATAGATGTAGCTGTCACTTTCTGGAGGTGTCGCACACACTTGATCCTTGCAATCTGCCGCTTTACTGCCAGGTTTGCACTCGCAAGTTCTGCATGGTCCATCCTTCCATTCGTCTCCGGCCTAAAATATACCATATACGTCAATTGATGATTTTAATTCTCTACATTGATTTAACATATTAATACTGGCACTATTACTGGTGGATGAGAATAGATCGGCATAAGGGTTTTGTGGACTTTTTTCTAACCCCTAAAGGCTGCCCTTACCATTATACAAAATGCTTTGATACTTTTCCCATATCTTCCCCAAAAAATTTTTCTTGGGATTCCAAGCATCCTGAATAATTAAGAATTAATCCCTGTATCAGGGGTACCCAGAAGGGGATTTCATAGCACAAGTTGCGCCATCAACATTTTTGAAGGGGGCATATTTTGACAGATTTTTGAATTTTTGACAAACTTCAAAGGGGTTATGAATTTTTTGAATGAAAAGTTTCAGACTAAGGGACAAGAAGAAAACATGGAACAGACTGCAGCAAATGTAATTTTTTATGATCTATGTTTTTTCAAATTTTACCTTTGCTTGGTCTGTTTTTGAGAAAAAGTGAGCAATAAAATAAATATCTAGTTGGGTGAATGAGGGAGAGGGGGGTAGATTCTTGCACCATTGACCTTAGGGGGAATGGGCACTCCTGCCCTGCATGACCCTAAAGTTTCTTTAAAATGTTTCAGTATTTTAAGAGGACGGTTTCTACATAACTCCATAACTTTTTCTATAAAATCATGCAACAACTAAAAAAGGATGAATTTTTATAAAGTGATTTATAAAAATCACAAAGCACGAAGTGCTTTAAAATAGATGAATAAAAATCCAACCAATTAAAACCCTTAATCTATTTTAAATAATAATAAGAATTTAAGCTAATACAAGAGTTAATGGTGAGTGTAAAATTAAGAGACTAATAACATTATTAACTGTATCGAGGCAGATAGGCTGAGATGGGTAAGACATGTGATCAGAATAGAGGATAAATGGGAACAGAAGAACATACTAGAAGCACACTTTAGTCAGACGAAGAAAAGAGGAAAATCGAGAAGCATATCAAGGGATGAAGTGGAAAGATATGTAAGGAAGCCCAAGGGACGCCACAATCAGAAGAGAGAAGAGGAAAAGAATAACACATGAGTCCTAGGGTCATGTTGGTCCTTAGTGCCGATTAGTCAGTTAGTTAATCTACTTTAAATTGCTCAAGAAGTAAATAAAATAATTCTTTTTTAAACCATTATAAACTGGTTAAGAGAACTGTACACAACATAGTTACTTAAAATACTAGTAAATTCACAACCACTCCTAACAACCAAAGAAAAAGAATATTCTTCGAGATTAGCATCCACTGTAATTATAGTCGTGATAGGTTATTTATAAGAGACACTTGATAATGTTCATTATACTAACACTTTTTAAAACTTTTTTTCCTGTTGCATTTCCCTCATTGTTACCATTTTCAAACTCATAAAGGCAATGGTCCTCTGGGATTTCTGTAATCAGAAAATACAACCTCAGTTATTGTCACATAAATATTAGGATATACATAAATTGTGAACACGTATATAAAATATGTAACTTTAATTTTTTCGATTCAGTAACAAAATCTATACCTATAAAATATATCATTTTAGAGCATTAGATTGTTTAAAACAAATCTTTGAATAAAATTGTGAATATATGTATAATAAAATCTGTTCCATAAATTAGGGTTAACATATATTAATCCTATTACAGATCACTAACTCACCACATTCCATTACTGGGCAGCATAAACCTTCAGCCTTCTTGACTGGAACGTAGAATTCAGGACAGGTTTTGGTAGGACAGAGTTCAGGTTGGCAAGTTTTGTTTATGAAAGAACAGCAGCCGTTGCTGTCCATCAGGGCAACAAATCCTTCTTCTAAGTTTTGGAGCTCGCTGGTTATATTGGCACATTCTTCTTTAGGTTTGCATACTGAAAGAAGTTTAATTAATAATAATGATTTGTTGTTTCTTTGACTTTGTTTTTCACAGATTGCAGATATATTTAACAAAAAGAATTTTCTAAATTTATTCTGAATTTTCTGAGAAGTCTTTTAATAAGTCCATTTGATTAACTTTGGCAACTTGACTTCCTTTTAATTTATTTTATGAACAAAAGATAAAAATGATAATAAGTAGAATAATCAAATACACATAGTCCAGTCAGCAGAGCGTCAGTGACAAACCTGAAGCATGAAAATGGGTACTCCTTACTTAAATTAGTGTATTAATATTTTTGACTAAAATAGATATTATAAAGTTTGATAAAAGAAGTCTGTCACTACAAAATCTAAATAAGGTAACTAAAGTATAATTATAATGAATAAGTTATAAAAATATTTAGATAGTACATATAAATATTTTTTTGATAATGCAGGATTGATTTTAAGATATACTGAAAATGGAAACATTCCTCCGAAATGTTACCAAAAGTATGTAAATTGTATTTGAGAAATAAAAATAAAAAAAGAATAATCAAAGTTTATATTTTTTTACTTGTATTCTTCAATATCCATTTGTCAATCAGATAACAGGCAATCATAATAATATTAAAGGTTTGTTCTAATGCGAGAATATCAAAATATCCCTCAGAAATTTATTTATTTGAACTATCAAGTACTCACTGTATTAAAATTTTTTTTCATGAGTTTGTATAAAACTGTTGGATCTCTATATCACTGGAGATAAGAGGTGACTCTATGTGAGTTACCGTGGTCTGCTACTGCACCAATGTAAATATTTAGTAAAGTTGTGTCAATTACTTGTATATGAAGGAATATATATGTTTAATATTCCCCTAATTCATTATTGCAGAAATTAGCAAAATGTAGCTTGTAAAGGTACTTGTCTCAGCGAAAAGAAAAGTTTTCATTTTTTTAGAGAATTTCTCCTGCTCAAATGTTGTATAGATGTATATGTATATAATTTGCATTACTTCCAAATTTTTGAAGGCAATGACAGTACTAGTGCAATCCTCAAATTTTATTAACTATATATTTGCATTATTATTCTTTTTTTTGTTTTCTGTCTCAACCATTGATTACTTTAAATAATAGAAAATATAAAAACACTCACTCTTAACATGATGAAGTATTACTTGATCACGAGATTATCTATCCCTCGGTAAGATCGCAAAGCAACAAAGAGGATGTGAGAATAGAAGAGGTCTTATTAATCAGACTTATAAATCATGTGTAGTGTGTTAAATGTCAGCTAGTTTGTCTAAAATGCCCTGTACATTAATATTTGTAATGCTAATGATAAATGAATATCTTTTTCATCTTGTAAAACTCCAGTTAAATCCACTCTCATGATAAGAACTGGAACCACCATCAGGCCATGCTATCCTACCAAACTATGTCACCTAAAAATGCTAAATCACCTCCCCTCTGGATTATTTCAGACCGTGAATCCAGCTCTCATTTATTATAAAGTAAGCAATCCACTAAAATTCTCATAAAACGAATCCAAATATTGACCCTTCCTTTTCCAAGTACCAATATCTACCATATTCTCTTATTTTACTTTTTCATGGGGAGCAAAAAATGAACAGGCACTCAAATTCCACAAGACTTCAAAAGCTAGCTAATTTTCACTCAGAAGTCTTTTTTCAGAGGTATTTCACTCAATGTGAGAGAAAATCTCATATCTAAGCAACAATATCCTGCAATATCTAGCGAGTATAGGCAGGTTAAATATCTATTATCCATTCATATTAAATACTTATTTTCCTTCTTTTACTTTTAATTATATATAATTTCTTTAATACAAAAAGCCGTACTATTAACTATTAGAACAACTAAAGGTAAATAACCTTTATCTTTTCGCTCCCAGAATAGTTGATAACTTACTTGATTATCATATATCACCAATAAGGTAATACCGGCTTAAAGAAGTAGTTTCCCTTTACCTAAATTTTCAAAGGCTTCATGTAACAGTAGCTAAAATAAAGTACTTAAAAATAAAAAAAAATAAATAATAATTGGCATGATATTAATATAAATGTAACAACAAAAATTACATACCACAAATAAAGTCATTACAGCCGTTTTCATCAGCTTCTAGCTTCATAAGTTGATCAGGCCCGCATTTTAAAGGTTTAGGTGGAGGACAAGTTTCATTCAATGGAACTATTTGGAAAAAAAAATTAATTCAGCTGAGTCAGTATTCTGAAGTTATGATTGCTTTTACCTTATACCTGACGTAAATCAGTTTATAACTCACCACAAATGACCTTTGGACAGCAGTCGGACTCAGTTCCTACAACAGTGACAGATTTGAATCCTCTTTTGCAGATACTCTCCTGAGGACACTGTATCCTTTCACAATGGACACTACTCTTGGTACAGCCGCACTCAGTGCAATGGTCAGGATTCCACTTATCACCTGGATAATGACCCTCGTTATCGCAAGGGGTACATTTTTCTTCAGCAACGCAAGTTCCATTTTTAACAACCTGATTGATTGAATCACAGACTATTAGCCATTTAAAAAATGAAACTTTTCAGTTTCAAATTTTAATTAACTCAAAGAGATATTTAAACAAATTTTACTAGTAGATTTAACTAACATTAATTTATGATCAGTTATAATTTTAATTAAAGGCCTAATGGGATATTTGTCTGCTATGAATTAAAGAATTCAAAGAAGAACTTGTCAGTTTAATTTTTTTTCAAGTATTATATAATTGATAAACTAGTCATATCTTAACATTAGTTAGACTACTTTTTATAGAGAGTCTTTTTTAAACTTAAGTACTTAATATTTGTCCCGAGAAGTTGATGAAGTAAAAACCATATCTGGAACACTTTAATCTTTCTAAGCATACCTTGTTTGAAGGACAAACACATGTGTCACCCCTTGGTGCAAGGCATTTTTCTGGAGATTTTCGATATAACTCATAGTTATCACAAGTCTCAGTACAGCCTAGACCACACCCTTCATAAATAAGACCTGGAAAGAAAAAAAAAGACTTAGAAAATCACTATAAATCACTTTTAATTACATTGAATAAATATTCAATTATTTAAAAGCGGAAAATTAATAAACACTTCATGTCAATGATTCACGCATTATTTAGTGTTTATTATTATTATAACAACAACTTAATTTGTTTTTAAATGTGTTTAGTAATATGATTGAACTTAATACTTTAAGTGCTGATGTCAAACATGATATAACATTTGGTCCCTCCCTGCTGAAACCTGCCCTATGTGTATAGTATCTTGAAAATCCATGTCAATAAAACTATTCATTTGGAACTAGCCTTGGTAAGATGTTAAAGAGGCCATAAAGAATTATAGCTAAGAATGTACCTAACTTTTGTTAATTTTACCTAAATAGTTATATAAAAAATTCCAGTAATTTGATAATAATTCACTATTATTTCATATATTTTTCATTAATAGTATTAGAAGAGGTAAACTTTTTTTTTTCAATTAACGTCAATTATAAAAAAGAAACCCGATCCATTAATACAATATATTTTTTACGAATATACAGTATATTCCTTGACCTTGGTCAGATAGTCAACTTTTTACAAGCTTATCGAAAAATGGGATTTCAGAAAATATAGCTATGCATGTACATTGAAGATATTTTTATTGTAATATAAAAAAAAAAATCAGCCATGAGAAAAGATTAACACTCATTAATTCTGTTCATTTTACTTATATCTGGCATCATAAAATTCTCATTTTTCATTAAGTCAAGGTTATAATTTTCCATCAATGTTTTATTGATTTCATACAATATTCTAATTGATAACATTTCTGTCAATATTTGGACGATTTTCATGTCTAAAATTTGTTTTCATCTCCTATTTCTTTTGATTCTTATAGTGCTAAAGCTGATTCCATTGAATGTTTATGCTTATCTTTACTTATTAAGATTACCAGAAAACTTTAACAATGTATCTCAACTCAGTTTTAATTAATGTCAGGATGAAAGCTGTAATTATGACCTGTATCAAAAACTGTCCTTGCCAAAAAATATTAAAACTGTGACGTTACGTGGTGTAAAGGAATTTTCATAGGAAATAGTAACGAGAATAGGGTACCACCAGTCAATGGTAGTCATAGCTTTAGAATATTGTTTCAAAACTGGCAAAGAAATATCCAGAGATCTTGGAGATAGCAATCTAGTAAATAAAATGAAATTTAATAAAACGTTTAATGGATGATGTAATTTTTATGACCGTGACTGTAGTACAATTTAATTTTAAAAATTAATTTTATATTCTACATGCATGATATATCATTATTTATCCAATTTTTTCCATCATTTATGTTTTACATTATTTATTGTACATTTTCTATTTTCTTGCAAGTACATAATTTTCTATATTAATTAATAAAAGAAGAATTATTGAATCTATTTACATTACTAAAAATTTAAATAATTCCGTAAACAACCAAACTGATGTTGATAACATAAATACTTTTTATGCAAATACAATTAACAATATTTCGATATAATATTAAAAATAACTGAGATTCCTCCAGAACATTGAAGGGAAAACTCACTAAGACAGGGTGAGAAACACCACAATGAGGAACAAACTCGGCCTAAAATCATTACATGAAATCTTTGAGGAATCTGCAATGGTGTGGACATATCTCACCGATGCCAGATGAGAGAATAGCTAGACTGGTCAATGATATGAAGATGGATGGAAGAAGGAGCTGAGGACGCCCTAGAAAAACCTGGGAAGAAGGTGTTAGGTAGACGTTTTTGGCCATTGGAGGAGAAAGAAGTTGGCACAGAATCGAGCAGAATGGATTATGAAGAAGATTAAAAATACAATTTTAAACCACACTTAAATAAATCTAGAGTTTAATAAAGAAAAACCTCTTTCCCTTTGCCATCCCCACCATGACAATTTTAGTCGGTCTCCCCATAGATAATATAGGGTAGAAACGAGATGAATATATACAACTGTATTTTCTTAGCTAAAGAAAAGAGAAAATAGAAATAGCGACTATGGATTCAACGAGAGAGAACTGATTAAGGTAATAATAAAATACATAAATTAGAAAATTATATACATACTAGAAAATAGATAATGTAGAATAAATAATATAAAACATAAATGATGGATAAATTCAGTAGGTGAATAATGATGTGTTATATATGTAGAATATAAAATTAATTTTTTTAATTGTATAAAATTAAATTATATTATAATGAAAACAAATTTCAGAATTGAAAATGGCCCAAGTACAGAGCAAAATGTCATCACATAGGATATTTTAAAAAGCAATAAAACACTGGTGGAAAATAATGGCCTTGACTTTATGAAAAATAAGAAATTAATACTTGTTGCGGCCCAAACAAAGGTTGAAAGCTTATGCAGAAACATTGGCACATATTAATATATGGTATTAATTATACTTCTTTTCCTGACAGCAATCCCAACCAAATTTTTAATTAGTTCTATAGTCAATGATGCCTCCATCTTATATAGTAAATATAATTTACTTTCTAACAATTTTACTATTTTGGATTATAAGATTCAAGCAAGTGATAACTTAAGTTTTGATAGTAGATTTTTTATTTTTAAAAAAACAATAAAAAAATCAATCATTAAGAGTATCACTCACCTTGAGGACAGACAAACGGACAAAGCTCTGAACTCCTCCATTTAAGACATACTCCTTCATCTTGGCATTCCCGAGCATAGGCTTCTAATTCACGGCATACACTAGTTGCACCATTACACAGAGATTTATGGCAGTTGGCAATGAATACTGCAGGATCGACGACAGGGTGACACTATGAAATATTAAATTTTATTGTAGCCATTAAAGATGACTGAAATTATGCTATAATTAAATATCAAAATTATAAAAAATAATTATTAAAAATGTACTAAGGAAATTATCACATTTATGATTCAGATAATAATTAAGAAGCAATACTTTATTTATCAGATAAAATAATAAATTAAAGCTAAATAAACCTTTCCAAATAGGATTCCTTCTGACAATAGCAGACAATCGTCTTTATCTGGAGGAGGTGGAAGGCAATCTGGGAAAACCTCTGAGGAGCATGAATCTTCCTTTTCTAAAACTAAAAAGAAGAAAAATTAAAATGAATAGTTTTTATAATAAGGAATGAATTGAAAAACATTAATAAAATACATACTTGGTGGCAAATCCTTGAGGAGCCAGCTTTGACCAAAATCATTGATGTTATCTGTTATTGTTCCATTACGAGTTGTCAGGTCATCGGTTTCATTTACATTGCATTTACCTACAATTTTGTTTTTATTTTTTAAACAATCGATATTAATTAATATTAAATCTTGACACCAAAACACTATGAGTACATGCAGTGATCAGCAGTAAGATCAGATATATGACCATATTTAATTATATGTATATATATGTTGGTGCAAAAGATTGTCTGAAACAATTTTACATTTTTATTCACTTTGCACTTAAGATGACATTTTATAATCTACAACCGCTATAAGTAGTCTACTAAATAGGAAAACAGCAGAGAGAAATAAAATATGAAATTATACTAATAAATCAGAAAGAAACAATCGGTTTTTATATTAAAAAAAACTCAATTTCTACATATGACCTTTTGCACTAACAGTAGCTATATATACATATATATTGTAATATACACCTTAATTGAAAGTTGTTTAAAAATGATTTAATAAATTAATGTAACAGTTCAAAGCAAGCTAATCTAGTTTCACTAGTTCAGGGAAAAGAAAATAGCTGCTCTGTAGTTTCCCCAGAAAAGAAAACCCCAAAGAGAAGAGGGGACGGATAAAGGATTTTATTTTGGCAAGCAGTTGGTATTTGGCTGGGGTGAAGAGAGGATGGGAGAAGAGATCCTGGCTCAAGTTGGTAAAACCCAGTAATAGTATTACCATCTTGGAAGTTGTTGTTAGGCAGAGAGACTAGTTGTTTGAATTGTTCGAGTTGTTGGAATTACAAGAGAGAGGATCTCCCAGGGGGCTTGAATTGAGTAGAAGAAAGTGTCACCATTTTGGAAGTTGTGTCTTGGCAAAAGATTGGAAAGCATTTGAAGACAAATGAATTTAGTGCAACTAAGGAAGAAACAGTCTCTATAGAAGAAAGGTTAGCTTGCCAATCCATACTTGACTTCATTTTAAAATCAAACAGTATTTAGTGTAGTTAATGTTAGTTTGTCTCACAGACAGATCTACGAGGGGGGCTTTCGGGCTGAAGTCCTCCCCAAAATGGTAAAATGTAACCATGTTTTACAGAAAAAAATATTAAAAACTATCTTTTAGAGTATTCTTGTTCGTGTAATTATATTTAATAGGACTTCAAGAACCACTTAAACACCATTTCATATAGGTAATTAATATCTTTATTTTTTTTTCAAATTAATTATCGTTATATGTATATGAAAAAAAAAATCTTTCGGCTGAAGCCCCCCCCACCTTCAAAATTAAATCCTGGATCCGCTAGTGGTTTGTCTGAGTGATTTGATCTGATTGTCAGTAATACAGATCTGGGATTAAATAATTATAAATTTCAATTTAATATATTAATGCTCTTATGATTTTGTTTATTATTTAACATCCTCTTATTTCTTTTGGAAGTACCTCAAAAGTAGAAAGTGAGCTTTTGAGGTTATAATATTATTATTTGTAAAATATAAGAGAGATGTTACAATATAAATATATATAATTAAATATGATATAATATATCAATATATTTAAAGTTTCAAAAAAATATTCACCACACAATCCTCTGGTCCTGTTTGAATAAAAATGAGAAGGTAGCTTTAACTTGAAGTTTCGTCCACCATAAAGCATTTCTAAATCCAACTGAATGGTAGGAAGTTGGACCAAGATGCCCTTTCCAAACATTTCACTGACAGAAAGCCATTTTTCTTTTTGTGGTAATGTTACAAGTTCTCCATTTATTTTTACTGATATGGTTTTATCTTTGTTATTAATAGCTTGTATAGAGTAATCCTTATACAATATGGAAATTATTTTAAGGCATGTATCGCTTGGATGGTCTTCACATGGTCCATTTGTAATCAAAACCTGTTAAATTATAAATATATTTTGAAAACTTTACAATGATTTTCAAATCAGCTTTTTATCAAATCATTTTTTCATTTCTTTGTAAAACCGAGGAAAATAGTGCTGGTTAAAGATTCAAAATTTTAGATTATCAAAATGTTTATAAATTTTTTTTTTTAACCTTTATACTTTCAAATTTGAAGTTTTTATGTAGTTGATTTATCAAATACTTATAAGGATAACACTGTAGGAGGAGTATTATTCAAATTTATTTTAAATAATACTTTCATGGTCATAATAATGTTAATTAGTTACCTTAAACTGAGGACCTAAAGATCCATCTGTTTCAGCTAAAACGTGGGTGCAATTGCCAGCATAGGTATAATCAATCTTATCGAAGGTAACAAATCTCGACCCACTGTATCCTTCACAGATGCCTAGAAAAATATCAAAATATTACTAAAGTTCGTAAATTTACAAACAATGAAAACCTTTATAGATGAAATAGTCCTTACAATCTCGACACTCTGCAGGTCTGATACACTCCTCAAATTTCCTTACATAACCATCTGGACAATAACAGCCTGGGAAACACTCATTAGTTTCCGGACAAGCATCGGGTGTCATCAGTTCTGCGCAGCATGGCTCACATGTATGTTTGTAGCATTCCTTGAATACCAATCCCGGTGGACAAGATGCGGCTGTAAGAAACGCATCCAATTTTAATACAATGAGCATAAATAAAAGTTTTCAAATGAATTTTAATAAAGGGGGTATTTTGATTTAAGTAGTTATTAAATAGACAGAAATAATTTCTTAAATCTAAATAATAGGTGGCTTATGATGGGACGTGGATGCAATGCATGTCTTCTTCTTCACTCCTTTAGTATAATACGTAGCAATATCAAATAATAAAAAACAGCAACTTTTTTCACTCAGACGGGTTTCCATTTCAATAATTGAGTTTAAAGTAACAGTAGTTATCATTTAAAAACTAAGTTAAATTAAAAATGTAAAATTAAAATAAATAGTTCTACCCATGTGACTTTCATACTTAGGAAAGCCTCATGTCCACCCATAACGATTAACAATAACACAGTGTATTAAAAAAACTATGTACCGTACCTCAGACTCTACTTAGACAAAAGACTTACCTAGAACATACATACTAAATTAAAAAGACAAGAACTGATTAGACGATATAACTAACTCTCACATCTTCTGGACTACAGATGCTCACTTAACTTAAGAAACAAGTGACTAATCTACAACACCATACTGAGGCCAATTTGGACATATGGACTAGAACTTTGGGGTTCGGCAAAACAAACACAGATAAATAAAATACAAACAACACAATAAAAAATTCTATGAAAAGTTGTCAACGCACCTTGGTGCATTTCAAATAACACTATGCATAACGACTTAAACATCTTAACAGAAAAATCCTATATCCACAACAAATACACTTCATTTTATTCTTCAAGTCTATAAATCACTACAATCCATTAGGACTTTATATTTCCTACTCCCTGTTGCCTGATCGATGCAGACTAAAAAGAAAATGGCCAAGGAACCTACTCCTACAATAAACAAAATGCAGTTAATCAAGCAAACTCGCAGCTAATGCCTAATACATCATAAGCGTACATTGCAGCGCAGGTGCAAATGGCATAAAATGTTAAAATACAAAAAAATTAAACCTCAATGGAAAATTTATATTTTTATAAAAGACTTATGTCGATAACAGCAAAAGAACTCATAAAATTCAAATAAATTTTCCTTACAATTATCCTAGGAGAATGAACATTTGTCTTTGTAATTAATATCAATTTGTAAATAATCTACGGGAAGTTAATTTTAAATAATTAGTTTTGGCGGGAATAGGCGCATAGCCTTCCACTTTTATATCGGGGTTTAAGGTTATTCACACTCGTGAATCATTAAAACAAAACACCGGCACTGGATATCGACTTTTGAGGGTGTTTGGGAATTGAACTGTGATTGGGAATTCGGGGATCTATTACCTTTTATGACACTGTGTGAGAAGAAACAATAAGAATACATATATGAAATGTGGGACTTAGTAAACACTTTGAATTGACTCACCTGGTTTATTCTTCAATTGTTAGGCCTATAGGACAACTAAATAAAATGACTATTCACTCCTGTCTAACAAAACAAATTTATTTTAACAATTGATAATAAATGAATATATATAAGTGAACGGTCGGTTTGATAATCTTGGTCTTCAATGTAGTAAGCCTCTCTTCTCAGATGAGGTCTTCTTGTGTTGGTGTCCAGGCCTTAAGTGTTTGGCGTCCTCCTCGCCATCTGTTGCCAGCTACCTGATCGGACCTTTTCTTCTTTTCGATTCTTTATCGATGTGAGATTTTCCAATGAGCAATTTGTCCACTGCACAATTGAGTACAATTCACAGTGCAACCTCACATTCCTATATATTATATATACCTTCTCATTCCCTCACACAATGTCAACTAATGGTGTAAATATAGGGGGATGTCTACTACCAATTACAAGAATGACAGGATAATAAATAAAAGAAAAATATCTTACGACAATCATTCTGTATCCGCCATTGGGTCAGGTCAATGTCAGGAAGAGCATCTTGGCATTCGGTGACAGCTTTGAGTATAGCATCACACCTGCATGCTTCTGTGTTGTTACTGTTTTCTGAACAAAGGCAAATGGCTTCAACACATTGTGAATGGATCTTATCCATGTTCATCACAGTGCTGCATCTGCTCAGAGGGTCATCTCTACCATAAAAAAATAGTAACAATTAATAATCCTTATTAAAAAATATTACATATATAATGTCAATTAGATTGGAATAATTTTACTTTCATCAATGTTAAATTCTAGAAAACAGAAACGTCCTGATCTGTTATATGAATTAAAATCTGATAATTAATAATTAATCAGTTTGTCCAATATATTTTATACAAACAGCCACGCAAAAGATTAGCTTGAAAAATAATGGATTGGATAGGGGTGTAAATATTGAAAACAAATGTTAATATTTTGATATATAGTTTGTGGTACAGACCCTTTTTTATCAAATTATTAACATCCACCTCAAACTTTGTAAATAGCTTCATCTCATCGTAACCTGCAAATATTTTATTTATGAAAATTCTAGGAATTGGGACATTTTCAATCTGGAGATCGGCAAACTTAGTCTATTTAATTAGAAACTAAAAAATCGTCAATATCCATTTGCTTTCCACTTGAATCGTAAGATAATTTGAGCACAATATCAAGAAAAAAGGTGACCTTCAAAAATATTGAACTGTTTGATAAGACCAACATCCCCAAATTTTTAAAAATAACGAGATTATACAGGATAAAAGGCCACTATTTTTTTAGGCCACTTTTTTTATCGATTTTGTGATCAAATTATCTTACTATACAAGTTGAAAGAAAATGGGTATTTATGAGTTTTTAGTAACTTTATAAATCGATAAATTTTGCCACCTCCAGATTAAAAATGCCTCAATTCCAAGATTTTTGTAAATAAAATAGTTGTAGGTTACAATGAGATGAAGCTATTAAAGGTGGATGATTAAAAATTTGATAAAAAGGGGTCTGTACCATATTTTTAATATTTAAAAAGAGTATAGAAGCAAATATTGAACAATAATTTTGATACATATATTACTGATAGTAATAAAATATATAAAAAAATAAATATACGAATTTCATTCAAGTAATCATTAAATTCATAGTTTCCTGTAACTGTTTAAATCTTGCTTTACCAAATTTTAAATTTGTTTAATTAGTTCTTCTTACATTAAACCAGAAAAACATAAAGTTGAAAAAAAAACTAGAAATTCTAGTTACCTGATAGCTTTGCACATTTCAAAAGCCTCTTTCTGAAGATGGACAGGACAAACTTTTGTCTCACATTCTGCACTGTCCCCCCAGCTGTTTCCAAAGTCGATACTTGTTTTTGCAATATCACCATTTGGTTTCTGCTTGTCATTTGAAGGGTTGTCATCTAATAGACCACATAAGCCATCTACTTCTCCTTTCTTCGTTCCAGGAACCTTAAGATACAGATATTTATAGCAAAGTAGGAACGAAAATTGGAGTACATCATTGGTTTATTTGAACAAGACACTAAGTATATTCTGTATTGAGCTAAACTTTCTTATTTATCAAAGCGAAAACACAGTAAGTAAATGAAAATCAAGCAAACCCTTAATATATATATGAAAAATACTTACACTAACTGTACAATATTTTGATTTCATAAAGGGAAATCTATCAAAGTAATTAATAGGTTCTTAAAAGATGGAAGGGTAGAACCATAAATATAGAAAGAAATGTTTCTCTCTTTACTCTTGTAAGTATATTTATTTTCTTGAGAATTTTAAGAATTTTTTTTTGTATTAAATTTAATATTGGAAAATTTTTCAATTTTGGGAGACAACAGCTTGACCGATGATATAGCCAGCTATATAGATTATTGCACACAAAATCTCAACTTTCAGTTGACAATAAATTACTGATCTTCAAGACAATCCTGAAACTTATCTGGACCTATGGACTAGAACTCTGGGAGACAGTGAAACTTTCTACCATCAAACGCATTCAATCCTTTCAGTCTAAAGTTCTTCGAACAATACTCGATGCTCCCTTATTTATATCATGCATAATGACCTTAATATCCCATTTGTTTTTAATCTAATTTCATACAAATTTTACCAGAATCTCACTCATCATCCAAATCCTGTGGCACAATCCATTTCTAATTCCAGCAATCCCTACAATCCTCCCTAGAGGTTGAAATCATGACCTTTTGTAAATATGTATATATTGGAGTTTTGGCAATGGCAACTTAAGTCCTGAGCGTATGTTGCTCTAGTGCCCTCTGTCAGTCTCCATTGGCTTTCAATATCACTGAAACAATTGGGAGAGAAGCACTGGAATCTCCTGGAATCCTGCTTTGCCTTTCAAATTTGGAAAAAAAAGCCTTAATCAGAGTCCTCTGGACGAATGTAAATATTGTTCACAGGTAGGACATTGTTTTATTCATTTTAGTTTTACTGAGCTCCAATCTATTATTGTATTTCACTTTATTATTATTGTTATTTTTTATTTACTTTTTTCTTTAATACATATTTATATTTATTTTCCTTTTGTACATAAATATTGTATGAATAAACAATAGTAGCCCTAATACTTATTACTCTTTAATGTATCAGATTGTATCATTACTCAATAAATTATTTAAAAATAAAAATAATATAAGTATTATTTACTTACAACAACTTTCACGTTGGCATGAGAATCCCAAATAATCGAGAAACCCAAACTGCTGCTGAATATAATAAATTTATTGTTTACTTGCTTTATAGTGAATTCTTCGGTCTGGGCACCAATTTTCTGCATCTATAAAAAATAAATAACAATTTCATAGTAATATAGTTCAAATGGGAAAAAAAAGAAATAATTAATTTATCACAAAAAAAAAAAAAATCACCTGCGGAATGGTATAGGCATATCCATCAAAGACTATACTCTGATCTGTGTACATAATGATATTATGGCCATCATACCTAATCACCAAGAATTTGCTACAAGGTCCGATGAATGGGCACTGTTTTACCACTGAAATAATTATTCATAAAGGGAATCAATAAAAGAATATGACATTGTTAACTTAAATAAAATAACACTCTAAATAGAGCATGGAAATTACTATACTAAACAATAATATATTAAAACATTATAAAAATAAAATAAAACATGTAACGAAAGAAAAAAAATATTAAAAGGGTTTTAATAATTATTATACTAAATATTCAGACCTTGCTAAGAGACTTAAATATGTTAAGAAATAGGAAAAACTTACATCTTGCATCCCATTCACCCTCAAGCCTATCCCTGACAATTGTGTGGTTGCAAATGTCATATTTGTATTCTGTACCATCAAATGTTTTAAATGTCCTTCCAGTGACCTTACAAATCTTATCTGGAGGAACAAAGCAATCAAACTGATCGCATTCTCCTTCCTTTTCGGCTTTAATAACAATCAATTTCGAACTAAAAAAAAAATAATAATTCGTATTATATCAATAATGGTGATTATTTCATTGTGTATATATTTTTATTTTTTGTATTGGAGAGAAGAATAAGCCAATAAATATGTCTTTCTTACCCAGGAGGGCATTCTGTAGGTTTCTTTAAACAGGTACAAATGTACTGATCACAAACAGGTGTCTCTACCACTTTGCTCAATTCTTGATGGTTTGTTTTGATACCTTTGTGCTGTTTGCGTTTGTGGCCTAACCCTTTATAGCCGTACCCTTTTCTAGATCTAGTGTTCCCTTTGAAATAGGAACCCCATTTGGATTTTTTCCCGAAAGGTGACCAGAAAGGTGCTACCTTTTCAGGCTCAACAACTTTCTCCAATTTCGATCCAGGACCACATATTGGAGGAGGAGGACATGGTTTCACTGTTGTGCTCACTGCAAATAATCAATAAATTAGTAAAAACTTTTGACCCTCCATAATTTTCAAATAAACGATTGTTAAATAAATAATTTTGAAATTATCAAGCCTCAGAATAAGCAGAACTAGCAAATAAAAATTAGTAAGATACTGTTTATTTTTATGTAATCAATATACAAGGTGTTCCGTAAGTAGAGAGAAATTTTTATAGGAGTGATAGAAGACTAGAGCTACAAAAATTTCAAATAAATACAGTCCAATTTTCAGTAAGAAGTCTAAGTTTTGTGTTTTTTTCAGTAGGTCATGTTAAGAGGAAGCTATAACTAAAGAAATGTTTTATTTGATTAATTAATAATTGCTTCACTGTAAACTAGACAAAATTTACTTTAAACCAAAATAGAGTGTGTCATTGTTAAAACCATTGAAAGTGGACTTTTGACCTGCTAAATTAAGCTGAGTTAAAAAAAAAGTTATAAATTATTCACATTTTTTTTTTTTTCATTATCTAACTTTACTTCAGATAGTCCACATTTAGAAAAACTTCCTGGTTTAATAAGCTTTAAGTTTGTATTAATTAAGTTGAGGTTTATTGAGAAAAACTTCAGATTCACCTCAAGTTTTGAAAAAAAAAAATTATGTGATTTTATCTCCTGTCACTTAAAAAAAAAAATGCTTGTGTTTTCAGCACAAATGACTACAATTTTAAAATATTGATTTTTCAAATATTTTTCTAGTAAAGTCTTTATGAAACTGTTTTTTTCTCCCAGATTTCTGTCATAGGAATTGACCTGTATTTATGAGTGATAAACTTAATGTTTCCAGCCATAATATTTACGATTTTTGTGAAAATAATTGAAGCAATCAGCAGGTTTCTTAATTTTAAACGTATATTTTAGGACGAGAAATATTAGGTTTGTCCCATATAAATATGTATTTTAAATGTATTTATCATTATAAATAAAAAGTCTATTGAGGCAACTAACTATATTTATTATAATACATACCACATCATGGAAAAATAAGAAATAAAAGCTTTTCAACAGTTATTTGTAGTCATTTGTACTGAAAACACAAGCACTTTTCCTTTCACTTACCTTTTTTTTTTTTTTTTTGGGTCCTCCCCTTCCTCGCCGTTAAGACTATACGGGGTTTTTCTGGGCCAGGGAGTGTGGGCGGGGATTTAAAAGATGTCCTTGGCACCGGGACGCGAACTCATGACTATTTTTGTATCATTTATCATATTTGCCGGACAACGGTGGTGCTGTGCACAATGCATTAGCCCATTCAGCTACCCCGCCCACTACTTTCACTTACCCATATATGTAATATATAGTGAGCGTAAGTATTGCGATCATGAAATTTTTTGAATCCGAGTTCAACGGAAATACATGTTTGAGGTCCCCTGAATCCAAATAACCAAGTCCCGCAAAATGGTGTGTGTGTGTGTGTGTTACAGTCTAGCTCAAAAGCGAAAAGCTGTACGGAAGTGAAATTGTATATTTAAGATTTTTATATGCTAGGGATGTTACAGCAACTTTTTTGTTGAAATCGGCTTACTGGAAGTGGCACTTTATATAATGCACTAAACACATTTTTACGATTACTAAACACATTTTTACGATTAACTCAAAAACCGCTCTAACTATTTTGATCAAATTCATCATATCAGTGTAAAATTAAGGAGTTTTAAATAAAATGTGGTTCTTATTCTGATTGATGTTCTCTAGGGCTTAAATGGCTAATTTTTGATATTAGCTTCCTCTAAAGTATCTTTAATTTTTTTTATTTGAAACAATTGACCATTTCACATTAATTTCTAATACCAAATATGGTTAAATATAAAATATGAAAGAATTTGATAAATAAATAAAGGAGAAATAAGAGATCGTAACAGAAAATAGTAATTGAGGAACCAAAGGAATACGCCCAAGCTCACCCAAAAGATTAGAATACGCTTCCATACATATCATGAGATTAATATAATATGGACTCTGACAATATTATACAAATATACATATGTGGTTTTCATAAATATTATTGAATTTATTATTTAATATTTAATTGTATAGATTACAGTGATATAAATATTAAAATTTGCATATATGAGGGCACTTATATAAATAAAAATACCCACAATGAAATATAAAGTCTATAATTTTTACTTTCACTTCGCTTTGTCCGAAAATAATTATTTCTGCTAAGAATATAAAATGAGAGGATATAAAATCACATCATTTTATTTTTTTTCAAAATTTGAGGTGAATCTCAAGTTTTTGCCTAATGAAATTCAACTTAATTAATATAAACTTAATGATTATTAAACGAGGTGCAGTATTTGTAGTATAGTTAGATGATGAAAAAAAAAATTGTGGATAATTTATATTTTGAAAAACAGGACTCAGCTTAATTTAGCCGTTCAAAAGTCCTCTTTACATGGTTTTAACAATGACAGAATCTATTTATGTTGTAAGTTAATTTTCTCAAGTTTACAGTGCAGCAATTGTTAACTTCTCAAATTGAATATTTCTTTAGTTATCGCTTCATATACAACAAAAAACATGATGCTTAAAAAAAATTGAATTTCCTACTTTTCTGCTGAAAATTGGCCCATTGTTTATATGAACTTTTTGTAGCTCTAGAGATCTGCTATTACTCCTATAAAAATTTCTCTCTTCTTACAGGACATACTTTATGTATAAGAATGTAAAAGTTGATCTGACTAAAAATAAAGTTTTTTTGAGTAATTAAAATTAATTTATGAAGTTAATTATAAAAAAAGTACTTCTTCCTTTAGTCAACCCTAATTTTAATGTATGAATTAATCAATTTGAACGAAAACTATGTACACAATAACTAATCTCCCTCCATGTTAGTAATTTTTTTTTGAACCAATTGAAAGAGCAATGCACCAACCTTCAGTGGTAGGAGGTTCTGTAATGAGAGTTCTAGGGCTGGGTGAAGGTTTCGCACAATTGAGCTCATCATCAATGCAATCTGAGATTCCATCGCACCAAAATGTTTCATTGATACAAATGTTCGAACTTGGACAAAGTTTGGTCTTCTCCGGGCATGGCTTACAAGTGCAATCACAGGAAGATGTTAAAGTTTTCTTCAAACCCTGGATTAAATGATAAAATGTATTCAGTTTTATCATAAATATATTTACGTTATTTTGCAGAGAGTGATCGAGACCTAGGAAATTCTATTGCTGGTGAGAACTCTTACAATTAGTTTGATTATACTTCAGCTAATACAATAAAACAAAGTAGTTTGTGAAAATAGAAACAAACATAATAAGCTATAAAACAAAATAATAAAAAAAAATAGACAAATGTCACCTTTGGCTGGCTTGTATTTATTAAAACAAAAACAAACCAACAATTAGAAATTGATAGTTCCTCTTGAAATGTTCTCAGTATTTTATAATAAACTACACAGACATAATTAAGAAAGTTCAGAATGGGCAAGTTTCTAAACTCAGATTTGAGCTCATTAATGGGCATCGGAAATTCATCTGGCCATTCCTGAACTCATAGATAGATCCATAAATAGAATTCAGAGTGTTGCTTTATTCATCAGTTGAATCATCTACAGCTTGTGGTCGATGGATCTGCTGGATGTAACCTCATTATAACTTCCGTGTTATTTCCCAATTTACTTTACATATTTATATTCAGTTTACTTTCTATCTATATTTACTTCTGTTATTAACATTAATTGAAAATCAACAATTCACTAAGTTTATATTTCCTTATATTTTATTTTTATTTTCATATGTCACACATTTTTCATGTGTTATGTAACTTTCCAGGAGTGTTAAATTTCCACTAGAATCCAGCAGTTCGTTCCTAAACTCAGCATAAATTGCTATCCGTGCTGGATTCAATCAATTGATGGATTCCTTGAATGGAATCACCACTGGTTTTAGAAACTTACCCTTTCTAAATGTTTCAAAACTGATCCCTGACAGCCTCAAAATAAACAGAAGAAAAAAAACTTGCTAATTAATGCTACTTTCAATTGAGTAATCTGGAAAGAACAACCAAATTTCAGCTATATAATAATAATACCAATGTATATAACTTGGAGTCATGAGTGTAATCATGGCCAGATGAATGAATTCTGCATGCTTTTGAAAGAAGAATACAGAGCCTCATCTATGGACCTAAGAAAGTCAGACAAAAATACCTCAGAAGAAGCAACTAAGAAGAATATAACCTCCTCAGTTGACCAGATATAGTAAGGCACATCAACCTGAGATAATTGAGGTAGACCAGCAATATAGCTTGTATGTCAAAGGAAGAGTCTCCTCTTGTATCCTAGACAGATGGATTGCATAACCTCTGACGGATCTTAGGGGTCTGGGGTGGCCGAGCGGGCTAACTCATGTGCACAGCTCCGCCGTTTTTTCGGCAACCTGATCTATGAGATAATTTGATTAAAATAATTACGAGTTCCCCTCCTGGTGCCGAGGGGGTCTTTTAACTCAGGCATTAATCCCCTGCCCTTATCCCTGGCTCGGGAAAACCCCTGTGTAGTCTAAAAGGCGAGGAAAGGGAGGATCAAAAAACAAAATAAATAAATAAAGAGGTCTGGGATTTGAGAACAGTTGTGCAATGACCTGCAGATTGGTGAACATTTTCAGAGGAGACAAGAGACTAGTAATAGTCTATTAAACCAATGGAAGAAGAGGAGCCTGAAGACTAATATTTTGAAAATTCATCCAGATTTATTTCAAGGCAATTTAAGTATTGTCCATCGAATGCAAAGTGTTGGTTAAAACATCAAAAGATAGAAAGAATGAACTAGGACCTCTGTAATAAATACATTCAATATACTATATATAACATCTTGTCATTTCAACACAAAGAGTAGCATTTAATTTAGAAAAAAAATAAATATAAATCAGCAGCTTAAATTAATAAACTACACAAAATATGAATAACATAAAATTATAATAAAAAGAAAATCTAATATATAAATTCACCTCAAGGCATGGTGGACATTCTTTTTCTTTACACTGTGAGATCCCATTGAGCGTACAAGTACACTGCTCACATTGTTCATTATCATATGTTGTACCAACAGCATATCTATAAACAAGTTATAATATTATTTATAATACTAAAAATATTAAATTTCTTATGATTTAACTAAAGAGCATCAAATCAACAGTAAATAAATTCACACAATAATAATGAATGAAGTACAATTAAAATAATCTTGGTTAATTAACACAAGTTTTCTATAATTTCTTAAAATAATTTTACTTTTTAATAAGTGATTTATAACTCTGTTGTACCTTACATTAACCTACTTGCTGAATATGAAAAAAAAAAAAAAAACATTCTGAATAAATCTTACGTCATAAATCCAACAACACAAGGACATTGTGCTCGCCTACCACACTGCTCTCCGTCCCACCACAACGATATCTGGCAAGGACATATTTTAGATGAAAGGGTCACACCAGGACAAACATTACAGTCCTCTCTCACTGTTGTAGGTGGCAGAGTTGTTGTTGTCAATATTGCTAAATTATAATTAAATGTTAGCACCAAAGAAATTTATAGGAATAATTATATATATATATATATATATATATATATATATATATATATATATATATATATATATATATATATATATATATATATATATATATATATATATAATTAAAGGTATAAATAATAATAATGACACTTACGATATGGTTCATAACAACCCAGCATCTGCGCTCTAAGTGCAATTGAATTATGCCATTCAAAAGGGACTATTCTAATGTATCTTGCTCTTATTGGCATCAGAAATATATTTGTTTTTATATTTGTATTATCTTTGTTTCCATAGAATAACTAAAACAAAATGTTTATTTTTAAATATAAAAATACTTGTACTTTTTCAATAGTCCATATTTTTTGAACCACTTGAATTAAATATATGCAGTTTCTTTATTTTTACTCCACAGAAATTACCAGTATATATATATTTAAAAAAAATAAAAAGTCCCACAAAATGAAATCCTGAATTTGCTAACTGATCTATGATGCAGTGGCATAGCTAAGTATGACTGCCCTCAAGATAAGTGTTTTTCTATGCACCCGTCCTCCACCCCCATCCCTCCATACAATTTATTCTTCCAAAATGAAAGAGGAAAAATACACCTCTTAATACAATATACAACCCAAACTTTGAGAGTCTCGATTTAAAAATTGTAATCAATAATTAAAATAATATTTCTAGGCTGAACAAATAAAGAAATGAAACTCATCCTATCCAAAAAAAAAGTTATGGAGGAAAAGAAACTTTATTTGCCAATAACTCAAAAAGTATGCATTTTTTCACACGATAAAGTACACATGGTAATTAGAAAGATTACTAAATTACTTACAAAACAAAAAAAAATCGTAGAAAACGGACAATTATTAACAAAGATACAGTCCATTAGTTATGGTACACTTAATAATGTCTTCCTGTTTAAAGATATTGCATTTAGGAGTAGAATAGTCTACTACATTTTTTTTTTTTCCTGGCTTTTATATTAACTTTATTATTTCTTAAAGACATTTAGTTGTTCTTACATTTTATTTTTTTTTAATAATTTAGAATATCCTATCATCAGGGCATTATTTCGTCTTTATTACTTTTATTATCTTTCTAGTCAGTGTTTATAAATAGATTCTAGCAAAGCAATTTGTATTAATATTTTGGTCAATTATGTTTAATGGAATATTGTAATCGACAAAGAAAAAAATTAATTCCTTCCTTATATAATACATTGGAACTACTTATTTCCATATTGTTTTGCTATTTCTTCATTAAACAAAATTTTCTGCGAATTATTCGTATGGGCCAACTAGTATAGATTTAATTCTTTCATTTCATAATAAAATAGAAATTTTCATTTCAACAAATTCTAAAAATTTGTTTTAGATGCAGTGGCTGATTGTTCATTAGCCTTGAAAATGAAATGATATTTTATAAAATAAAAATAAAAAATAACAATTATCAATGAAATATTTATCTTATTACCTTTTTAGTACCATCTGTACCGAGGACAGGAGACCAATTGTTTTCATCAGGGCTGTAGAGAATGTAGTAAGACATGACCCAAGATGGGAGTACTTTACTCAGTTCAAAACCACCACCAGATGTCATTACGCCGGTTAGCGTACGCTCTCCGAGGAAATCAAACTAAATACAGCAAAAATATTAAATATATGTTTGTTCTTCAAAATAGATAAATATTTTTTTTAATTGCTGATAAAATAATAATGAATAACTAAATAAAAAAATATCAATACATTTTCAGAATTTCTAATAGATTATTTTGAATAAATTTCAATATATTTCAGATCAAGGGTTCTTTAAAAAATAAGAAAAAAAATTTTTTTTTAGTTGATGATAAAATAATAAAATGATTTAAATAAAAATAAAAAAAAGGTAACTAATTATCATATTTCCTTTACTTATATGGGCCAAATCTGTTTTATACAATTAACAAAACTGGTGTTCACCAGTGGTCGAAATTCAACCGTAGCCATTAAAAATTTGAGGAAAATATAATTGAATAAAAAATAAATAAAGAGTAAATCATGATCCGAAAATCCCCATTTATTAATATGAACAAAATTTCAATTTCAATTAAAAATCAAGCTTAAACTACTTAAAATTATTTATAAGTAATACAAAATAGCCTCATTCAAAAATATTTAATTTCCATTTTAATTTATGTGATATCACAATAAATTAATGTTATGATAAAATAAATAAAAAATAAATTTAAATTAGCAATTTCAATTCACTTTAAATCCATTTTTATTCAGAACTTCTCTGTGAACAATGTTATTTTTGAATGTTCTGTTATTGTTGAGTGCATAGCCTTGCTCATTGGCATTGAAAATATAAATTTCAATTTTTTAAATGAACGTGCTCTAATTGCTGCCACATATAATTGTCCATGCGAAATTACTGGACGTTGCAATAATACACACATTTTTCTAAAACTTTGACCCTGCGCTTTGACTATGGTCATAGCAAATGCAGCTATTAATAGGAACATTGTTCTTTGAAAGTCAAATGTAAGTATTGTGTCAGAAAATGTTAAATTAATTCTTGGAATTAAAATTCTTTAATTTAAAGTAGTCCCCATTAGTACTTCACTCTCATTCGTGTTTCATTAACTAATGCTTGTGCAGTATTTAAGTTAAGAATGAGCCAATTTACTTAGAACATTCCAATAACATTCAATGATATCATATCTTCATGTAATAGTCCAGATTAATTCATTAAATGTTAAATTTTCACATAATATCCAAGTTTCATTGAAATTATTAAAGCCGAATTGGAGCTACAGTCTAAAGCGAATCATATTTTTCGGCCTGATGATAATGAACGTATACAAAAACACTTTTAAATATTATTGCGACGTTGTGTCAAAATTTAAAAGAAATCGGTGAAGAACTTTCGGAGATTAGCAGTTTTGAACAAACTACCGTTTATATTTTTATTTACATACTATTTCATATTTTTATTTATTGATAACACTAAAGCTCGTCAATATCTATTAAAGAAAAAAATAAGGAAAAAAATCGGTTGAATAATAGAGGAGTAAAAGGGGCTGAACCGTTTTGTGTTTGCATATTTATATAATGATAAATAAATTTCAAAAGAGGTAACGTATTCAGCAAATTTTAAAAATCATTGTTTAAACTAGAGACATTTCAAACAGTAACAAGTCAGTACTTCCTCATTTATAAAATTGAAATTATTATAACAATACCTGGAGCCATTGATCTGGATTGCTGACGAGAGGAGCCCAACCTTCACCATTGTAGACAGATATGAGGTTTGCTGTTACAGGCACCTTGGATGAGGAAACTTTTATCTGTCCATCGTTCATGTAGTTTGACATTTTATCAGTACAAACTGAAAAAAATAAATAAATAAAAATATATTCATAGTACTATATTAAAAAAAAAAAAAAAATCCACAGATCTCAAAGAAAATTTTCCAGTGAAATTATTTAATATACCAACAATAGTGAAGTGAATTATAATAAGTTTTTGTCAATATGGGTGTGTTATTGAGATAAATTAAGTTACCATAAACCAGGATTACTTTGGTACTAGAGCGCGACTATGTACTACAGTTTATTTTGAATTTGACATCCCCTGGTGGATTGGCACATTGTTATATCTAAACTAAAGGAAAGTTTTCTTAATAAAAAAATATTTTAGTTTGCCTAATAATTTCATATTCTAATTAAACTCTAGTAAAAATTGACACCCTGGTCCCAAAGTAACACTGGTTAACCATACAAAAAATCAATTACCAAAAAAAAATAGGCAAACTTATAATTCAGGTTGGGTTCCTAAAGATAATAAATACCTATCTATTTTTAATTATCATTCGAATTCTTAAAGGTATTTTGGAATTTTCTTTTTATATTGCTTTAAGTCAAAATATGCAATAACCATTTAAAATATAAATCCTTGAATATTTGATAATCTGACAACTTGCTAGTCCCATATTTGAATGATTATCAAGATTGTACTGACTGACTGGAGGCATGACGAGACAGTCATTCAAACAGAAGGATTTTATATCCACTATTGAACATTTAATATCTTTGAAACAAATATAAATGTATAAGTTTTTACAACAGTAAATTAATTAACCTATATACTGATTAATTTATAATTTGATCAAAACAATTAAATATTTAAATTGTTATTTTATTTTTATTTTTTTTGTTTAACAGTTTCCAATATATTCTGGATAATTAATTGCTAAAAAGTCTTTAGTATAAATAAAAGCGTATATGATGGTTAAGCATATTAGTAGCTTTATATCAATGGCAGTCATCTGCTATTTTCAGAATGTTGAGAAAATTTTAATTTCAGTTTTATGCATGGGAGCGGATAGAGAGAGAATTTGTTCATGGGGGAATTGTTTATATTATTTATCGAACATGTCTACTGTATTTGTATATATTAATTTTATTTAGATTTTTTTATTTTTTGGGCACTTCTTTTTTTGTTTTTCTTGTCGTTATTATATAATTTGTTATCAGAAAATATGAATAAAGATAGGAAGAGAGAGGGGAAAGTATGGAGAGAAATAAGATAAATGTATAAAGGGAGAGAAGGGAAATATAATGTTAATAAAAGAAATAGTGAAAAAAGAAGAAAAATAAAATAATAAATAAATACAAAAATGTTTACTATACTTATATATATATCGATGATACTGTTACTTTTTATATACATATATATTGATGATGCATATTTTTACATTAGTTTTAAGAATTGTCCATGGTATCGATTGATAAGTATGCTGTGTCTGTAGCAACCCAATATAATTGGGCAGCACTCTTTTATGCAAATAAAGTGATTCTCTGTTCTATTTAAATCAATTCTGATTTTTTTTATTTAAAGAACTTATTATAGAAGAAAAAATCCTCAACTTTGTTTAAATTGAAGCTAGATAACGAAAATTGGATTTTTCTGAAAAAATTATAAATATCCTCCTTTGATATGAAGCAACTCGAATCTAAATAAATTGCTAGCAATGATTGTCAACTGACCTGGAGAATTGGTGCTTGTAATTTCCGGGGTTTCAGTGGTAACAGTTGTCTCTATCGAAGGTACGGTTGTTGAAGGAGTATCCTCAGTTGGAATGGATGTTGCAGAAGGCTGGCATCCATACAGTTCTATTTTCATTGCTGGTGCGCCAATCCAATTTACAGGATTTATTCTAACGTATCTTGCCTCTATAGGATGTATGAACATTTGGAACTGTGAATCCAAATGATAAGATGGTCCCTTAAAAACCTAAAATACCAAATGATTTATTTTTAGGTTTATAAGATATAAAATTAAATATTGAATAATTGAAATATTTTTTGTAAATCTTAAATAGCAAATACAATATGTCTAAAAGTATAATATAGTTGTTTGTTTTCTCTTTCCTTTGTTTTCTATTATCCAACCTTCTTAGTAAAGAAAAAAAAATTACTTTTTATAATTTAAAAAGAATAAGGGAACTTTTATTGATATACATAATATATAAAAATGTATTTATAATAACATAAGAGATATATTAAAATAGACATAAGATTTCTAGCAGACAAAAAATCTACCTGAGGAAGATCATTATACATGATATAACTGAAGGCGACTCCATCAAGGCTGTATAATACATGATAATTTGTGACATATTCATTAAGGAATATATCTCCTTTTACGGTGAGACCATAAATTACATCTGGTCTTCCAAGGTCTATCTCTAGGTGCTGGTTAAAGTCATACTGTCCAGGTTTCCAGCTACCATCTGAAGATTAGGATAATAATAAGAAAAATTAATATCATAGTTTTTTGAGGTATCATTAATAATTTCCATAATAATGTTTTAATTAGTCAGAATATCCTTCAGTTTTTACGTACTTCTGTCAATTAACAATAGAAGAATAAATCAAATCCTTAAAGACATTATTGATATTGTCACAATTACACAGAAATTTCATGCCGATACTACCAAGGATTATCAATCAGGTAATTCAGAAAATTATCAAAAAAGCTCCTTAAGCAGCCACTGTATGGCACAAGAAGGAAAGGAAGGCCTAGACGACTAAAAACTATACATGTTTTTGTTGATATTGTGATAAGACATTTCAAAGGTATTTAAATTTCCTAAAAAACTAAGAAAGTTTCATCGAAATCAGAACACTATTAGTAAATATATCGCAATTTTTAAATATTTTTAGTTTATTATTTTCAATAATGAATCCTTGAAATCGAACAAAAATTCAAAAACTTAACTCCCTCTCAAAATTTGAGGTTTTAGGTTTCAGGATTTTTTAGTGCAGTTGCAGGTCTAATGGTTTACTATGAAATATTTGTTTAGTATTACATGAGAAAGCATTTATGAAAATCTTCATCTTTTTGTTTTTAATAAAACCCCTCCATGTCAAATTACAACATAAATCTATTCTAAGTTTTAAAACCTGTCACACTTGCAAATAATCTTTTAATTTAACATTAATAAAATAATCATTAAGATTTAAAGGATTTTAAAAGTCATTTATTGACAAATAATGAAACTGAAGCTAAAGTTATCATTTTTCTCACATTAAAAGTGCAAGATAAAAAAATAAAATAAAACAATGCTATTAAAATCAACTAATTGAAAGTAAATAATAAATCTCTTTACGGTACTTACCTAAAGAACTCATTTTCACATGGTCTGGAGAATATTTTGGATCAGGATTGACTGAACTGGATTTAAAAGCGGTGCTAGGCATATCATTCAGAAGGGGTAACCACCTGTAAAACAATAAGATATATTTGTATATTGTTATGATATATTAAAAATAATTATGTAATATTTCTGTCATTGTTTGGGTGTCAAATGTTACGATATATTTAAAAATACTTAAATCATATTTCAAGTATTATTTTTTTATTTCTAGCATCTGATCATGACTGTTGGTGAAAAATTGATACATATTGAGAAACTTAAACTGAAATAATCATGGGTTGACACAGAACAATCATCAACATCGACTGCAGAGCTGAATCACTACGGAAAGAAGACAATGTGGTGAATTTGGTAAGATCAAAAAGCTGTCATGAACCATGAACTTCTGAAACCACGTGAGGCAGTTGATGCTCGATAAACAAATGATCAATTTGAAACAGGCACTGATCAAAAAGCAACAAAAATGGGCAAAAAAAATCGGAAAAGTAATTTTGCAATATGACAACACCCCATCACACACCACGAAAGACACAACTTCTACACTTGGCTGGAAACTCTTGCCCCACTCGCTGTATTCACCAACTTGGCCCATTTCAACCTACTGCTTATTTTCATCCATGTCCCAAGCACTCTCCATGAAACACTCTAACAATTATGGAGATGTCGAAAAATAGCTTGGATAATGGACCACTGGCGTATCCGTAGTTGTCAGAGAGAATGTTTAACTAGAGATGGTGTATACTTTGAAAAAATAAATTTTTACCTTTCTCTCAATTTAAATTTTTTTAAAAGAAAAATATAAAAATTATTAACAACCTCATCTTAAGAATATAATTCAAAATTTAAGCAATATTTTAAAAATACTATAAATTTTGTTTTAATTATAATAAAATAATTCAAGAAAATTTAATTAGTGTAATTAAATAAAATAATTTGCATTATTTAAGTAATTGCAAGAATATCTTGGAATATTTTTACAGATGTTACCTATTATCTTTGCAGGCTTCAACAGGAGGTGTTACAACAGAAACTATAATGATAGTCGACTCTGTAATTGGAGAAGAAGTCAGCTTCTCAGATGTTGTCGGAGTAGCGGTTGTCTCACAAGCAGAATCGTCACAACTATAGTGATTATTCAAGCATTGGCAACTTTTACAGTCTGATTCTTTCACAACCTTTCCTGGCTAAAAACACGAATGATTGATGAAAAAAAATTAATAATTAAAGTTCAGGTTAAATTAAATTAAGGTTATAGTCCTGTTATTATTAACAAGTATGGAGAGAGAACTCAAATAAATCATATAAAAGTACCTTAACAATTTCACCAGTAAATGAACGACAAATACAATTTTCTTCCTTGACACAAGTGTCTTTATCTCTCCATCTATATCCCTCTTCGCAATCAGGTCTATTCTTGTCTCGGCATCCTACAATGAAAAGAAATATGAACAGTACTTCATAGATAAATAAAAATTAAAATGATATGGTAAAAAAATATTATAAAATCTAATGTCAAGAGGCCATAGCATAGAAATGAGCTGAAGCAATTCTGAATTGTAATGATATAATAATTATACATTTCTTTACCAAATATTGATACTAAAGCTTAAATTTTATAATGTAAACAATTTTATATCAATTGTCACAGGGCTGGAACTTGTTAGAACTTCAGAACACAGGGCACTTGCTCCAGACAGCAGACTTTAGGTTTCAAGAAAAAATGTTAGCGCTTATATTATAAGTTAAAGCTTTCAATGGGAATGGTTCTTGTGGAAAGATGTTGCATTCTTTCCCCACTTACAGGTAGGCCTTTGGATAGAACTCGTTGTGTTTCCTATCCCTTCCTACTCCTGAGGCTCATACGTGGTGTGGATATATTTTTTCAACTCCCTTCAATGACATTCGCCTTCAGTATTCTTTTAGCTTTAAAGTGTTCTATTTCGTTTTCTAATCAAATGTCTAGATTTTTTTTTAAAAAGAAATATACATCCATCAATGAGGTATTTTCATAATGATGTAAAATTCAGAGGTATTTTCATAATGATGTAAAATTCAGAGGTATTTTCATAAATGAAATGAAATCCGCAGTGCAAGTTTTAAGTAAAAAATATTTGTTTCTACTTTTTGGAAGTTTTGACCATTGTTCGGTCAATGACTAGAGTTTTGATAATATTCATTTTGAAATACGTTTCCTGAAATATTGGGAAGGAGGGGAGTAGGAGGTGAAACAAAGAGTGAAAAATTAAACTTTCCCCTCCTGGAAGATATTCTAGTCCCAGCTTTTAACTGTCACATAAATTGTTTAACTAGAGGTATCATTATAATGAGTAGAATAAATGTTGATTTCTTCTTCTTTTTTAATACCAATCTTATCATAATACAGTACATATTTAATTGAACTAGTGTTGATGTTATAGATGCTGGTCAAAATTCTACCACAATCATTATTGTGAATTTCAGGAAAACATATATAAATTAGCATGTTTCCACTATTATATCTACTACTTGTCTACAATACAAAATAAATACCATTTGTATACTTTTTGAGTTATTCGCAAATAAAATTCTGAATTCATCGTTACTTTTCTTTCAGCCTTCGGAAAGTATGTTATGTACAAAAATTAAAAGACTTCAAGGAGAAGATTTTAGCTTAATTTCATTAAAATCGTTACAGTTGCTTTGGCGCTATAGTCTATAGCGATACACGTTTTTTGGTAGCCATTTCGAAATGAAAGGCCATATGGTAATGAAATGTATAAAGAAACACTTCTGAATTTTATTGCAACATTGTACCAAAATTTTAAAGGAATCTGTGATGAACTTTCATAGATTAAAGGCTTTGAACACAAAAATATTTTTATTGATAACACTAAATCTTGTCAATAGCTACTGAACAAAAAAAAAATTTGAGAAACAGATGAGAGGAAGGCACTGAATTATTTTGTCTTAGTCTATATATGATTCTTGAACCATATAACTGAAACCTTATGTTGAAACAAACTTCATATTATAAATATATATTATTATTTTTTATAGTGAGGTTTACCACAGCAAGTAGAGGCATTTCAATAAAATTTTTGAATCTCCAGTGTTTAGTGAATTCAGAGTTTCACAAAGTTTAGATTCTTCAACTAGTTGCAAAATTTACTTTCCTGAAGTCATGTTAATTTTGCCTGCAGTGAACAGAATACTATTATGTCTATGTTGCTGGGATCCTGTCTATGTTAATAGCTTTTGTATCTCCACACCTGGTTATATGAAGATTACAGTACATAGTAAATATTTTGAAACAGTTCCCAATAACCATACAGTGAAAGTGTATTGGATTTTATACTCTATTAGATAAGCCTGTGAATAGTGAAAATTGCTTGTTCTTTATCCTCTTACTGCAATAGTATGAGGTCTAGTAAAAAGTCATTTCAGAACAAGTCCTCACTTAGTGCAGCTAAGGTAAGCTTGCTGTTGCACCCAATATTAAGAAAGGGTAGCCAATGACACCAAGTTAAACAAATTTTCACTATTTATTTAAGGAACTCCAGTTGGAAAGACATTTTGTCTATTTCATTTTGAATTAGAATCATAAATTATTTTCGGCAAGAAAAAAAAAATCTGAAATGTTTTGAACCATATTGCTTCCTGTCACTGAGTCATAAGAGCTTTAAATATATTGTTCAATGTTAAATGAATTTTGCCCAAAATATATATATTTTTTTAAATTCCTAATTTTAATTATAACCAAGAACAAAACCTAGATTCTTTAGCAGAAACATTTTAAATATTTACCTGGACTACATTTCTGACCGAACGAACAAACTCCATTTTGATACAAAACGGTTTCATAATATAAACAGAGTTGATCACACTTTATGCTGCATTCATCCCAAACTTGATTTTCTGGGCACGCTGAAGTAGTAGTGGGTGTACTTGAAGTAGTAGTGGTTGAATTCTCTACCGGGGGCAGTGTCGTTTTGATAACTCCAACTGAAAACAAAAATATGAAATTCTGATTTTCTAAAAATGTTACAGCAAAATGTACTAATAGTACAGATACAAAACTGAATAGTTTGAATATTACTGTTGACCGTTTTGAATTATTCTACTGACAGTTTTAAATGTCTTCCCCACTATTCATTACAAACAAAAGTTAAAAAAAATATAATACCAGTAGCTTCAGTCTTGGACTCTTCTGGAGTAGGTTTTGTAAAGATTTCAGGAGTAGTTACATCCTTTATTCGTTTAGTCTGAGTTGTTTCTGTTTCTGGAAAAAAAAATTCTTCCTGTCGTGATCAACGTACATTAAAAATATATTTAATAATATATTATAAATTTAAAAATTAAATTACCAGATAAAGTAGAGGTGATAATCGGTTCTTGTGTAGTAGATGTGAGGTGTGTTGGAACAAATGTAGATGGCAAAATTATTTCTAAAATATAAATTTATTATTATTATTTATTTATTTACATGATATTTACAACTGTATTAAAAAATTAAATACATTAAGTAAATTTGATAACAGAAAATAAAAACATGAAATGACTTGTTGAGAAACTACCCACTGGTAGCACTCTAAAAACAAAATGTATTTACAATAAGAGATCTCGAGGCCATCTTCTTTTCAGACGCCTCGGGGGGTTATCAGGAATAGAAGAGGAAGCAAGGTTAGAGACGAGAGGATTCGGATGGTTCTGAAGTTTATTATGGAAAGATTGGTATCTGGATTGGGCCAAATCGGAAACATAAGGAACATTAAGGTCATTATGGATTATTTTATTGGTGACAAAGTAAGGAGCATTGAGGATTTTCCGAAGGATTTTGGATTGTAAGGATTGGATGCGAGAGGAATTCGATGGCTTAGTGGAACCCCAAAGCTCAACTCCGTAATTCCAAATAGGTCTTATTGTAGTCATGTATATAAGTCTTTTGTAATTTACTGGAAGCTTAGAGCGTTTGTCTAGTAAGTGTTGGAGTAGTCGGAAACGTCGAGCGGTTTCTTGTCGTTTCAGTCTGGTATGAGGATTCCAAGTTAGACGTTTGTCCAAGTGAAGTCCAAGGTATCGGATTTGTTCAACAGGGATAAGTGGGGTATTATTAAAGGATACTGTGGGACATGAGGTCATAGGTTTACGTCGAAGGGTAAAGGTGATTTGATGGGATTTATTAGAATTTATTTTGATCCTCCAGTTTTGACACCATTCTTCAAGGCTTGTGATGTGCGATTGAAGAGTTTGGGATGCAATGGTTGGGTCGTTATTAACAGATAGGACACATGTATCATCGGCATACGTGGTAATAACAGTGTTAGGATGGGTTGGGATGTCAGCTGTATAAACTGTGTAAAGGATAGGACCAAGGATACTACCTTGAGGAACACCAGCGGACTGGGAAAAATATAAATTTAAATACATAAAGAATTAATGATATTTTAGACTAACATAAATATAAAAATCATTCCTGTACTAACTGAAATAATAGATATATTATATTTATGCAGTGAATTATATAATAATTTAAATAAATAAATAATTTAACACAATTTGGAACAGAGATAAAAACCGGGGATCAACTTTGGTCTCATGAGACACTCCTGATGCGTATCTAGTAGTCTTTATAAACTGGGTACTCTTAATTAATAGAAAAATCTGGCAGTTGAGGGTGATCTTGGTCAAATCATCACAACCATTGATCAAGAAACCATACTTCCTTTCAACCTAAAATATTTTTCTTTACTGTTGAATTTACATTTCCTTTAATTTTCTATAAAAATTTTAATAAAATTGCGTTTCTGTATGTCCAATTTTCAATAGTTGTTTTTAGCTTAGTATATTGTTTTCTTGAAAAAAAGGAAAGAAATCCATTCCTGCAAATACCGAACAAGTTTTGGTTTTCCCCATTGTATTTGAGATTTATTGCCTGTCTTCAGTATTGCCCCAGTCTTCCCTTGACTTAGGTTCCAATAGAAGCTCAGGATCATCATTGTCTATTTCTTTACCTGTGTAAGTCGGGTTGCACCTGAACTGGCCTACCTGTCTGTTGCGGTAAATCTATTAGTTTAAAGGGAAAGCAAACAAATAATTGTCAAATGACTTTAGTAGACCGCGGGACAGACTCCTTTTTATCAAATTATTAACATCCGCCTAAAATTTCGTGAATGGCTTCATCTTATAGTAACCTACAAAGAGTAACCTACCATTTCTTATCTACGAACAGTCTCAGAAATGGAGCGTTTTATTATTAAATTAATTAATTTAATTAGCTACTAAAAACTATCAATACCTATCGCTTTCCACTTGAATCATAAGATAATATGAACACAAAATTGAAAAGAAAGAAAGAAAAAAAAAAGAAAAAGTGGCCTAATAATAATAATAGGTTCAACTGAAACCGATACCCTTCATGTATTGCAGTGGTATATGTTTTAGGGATGGTTAGGGTTAGTTTGCTTTTGGTGAGGGGAGGTATAAGTTTTCTAAAGTTTCTTTAGGAGATATGGCGTTAGAAAATCTACCCTCTGGACGTCAATTAACATCTATCTAGGATGAAAATATTAATCAAACTGTGGAAGAAAACCCCATAAAATTTTTTTTTTCCTCCCCTTCTCTACCTTCCAGGCTGCACAGGTTTTTTTCCAGGGAGAAGGAGAAGGACAAATCTCAAGTCCTCTCGACACCAGGATTAGAACTTATAATCTTCGGCTTATCATGTTGCCAGACAATGTTACACAACACGTTAGCCTACTTGGTGATCCCATCCCCATATGGGTTAATAAATTAGTACAGACAGTTAATAAATTAAAGGAATTGGGCTATGAAGTCTTACCACACCTCTCGTTACCCACACATTATTATAATCGATTCCCTACAGACATCTTCTTTTTTCGGAGCTTGGACAACTTTATGCAAAGAAACTCATTCACAAATGATCAATACATTAAAAATGCATTTTTTGATTTTCCTTTCAAATCATGAATTAAAATTTTTCAAATTTGGGATAGAAAACTTGGTTACTCATTGGCAAAAGTTTATTGAAAAAGATGGTAAACATTCTTAATAAAATATATTTGATTTGTTTGTCAATATCAATTTAATTAATTTTAAATAATATGTGCATGTAAAATTTAATAGCAATCAGTAATCACGTGACAGTATCACTTTGATCAATAATGGTGTGTTACTAATATTAATTTATTGATCTATCAGATTGCTGTGACCATAGTCATCCCATTCTGAGCTCCAATTACTGGGCGATTAAAAATTGAAATATTTGAGGATTTCATTAAGATGTCACTCACTTTTAATACATTAAATTGTGTGAAAATATTTCTGTAGAACATATTTTTAATATTCCAGAATATCTAAATTGATAGTTTTAGTACTATTATAGCTTTATAACAAACAATAAAAATTTACTTATAACTTTATATAACCAATATCAAAGTGAATTATAGATGTAAGACTTAAAGAAGCATCACATTAAGTGCTACAGAAAAGCCTCCATTTTATGCAGAACAAATAATCCATTTTATAGTACCAAAAAATAAAATAATAATGAATCAAAATCAATTAATGTTTTAAATTAATTTACCAGGAGTATTTCCAGGTGTAGATATAGTTGTCGACAACAGAGGTACAGTTGAAGGAGGTGTAACAGTAGTAGATACAGTAGTTGGAGATGTAGTGTTTTCTAAACATAATATTTAATCTATTAAAAATATACTACTTAACAGAGTTATAGCCTTAACTAGTCAATTTTTGAATCCTAGTTACAAAACCTACCACATTGACAAAGAACTTGTATTTCGTAATCACTACAGCCATTTTTACAGAAAAGTCCTTTCTCTAAAGTGCATTCAACATCTTCCATAGTTTCTTTGGGAGATTTGTGAGTGCCAATAGTTCTACACTTTATAGCAGCAATATTCTCCCGTTGACACTGTGGGCCCTGCGTTAAAAAACAGAAAAGTGAATATATGGTCATTTTTTAAAATTTATGTAAAGGAAGGTCAATTTTTATTTGGCTAAAAAGTAAATAAACAAAGACAAAAATTAAGTTAATTGGTTAAATTCAACAATTAATAATTAAAAAAGGTCTTACTTTTCCACCTTGGCCCTGATTTGATGAAAACACAGGTAATGGCTCACTATCGATTTCATTATATTTTTCTATATCAAGAGGTGAGCTGTTGATCCAACCGGTCCAACCAGAGATACAGACAAATTTATCGTTGGATATCACAGTAGTAGTTGAAGTAGAGAATGGTACAGTTGTGGGTAGAGTTGATGGAGTTGTGCAAGGAAGGCCAGTGCATGTTTTGTTGTTTCGAGAACAATAACTGAAAACAATAATATTATGATTTTAAAGAAACGAATATATAGTTTAAAAACTAAAAACTTATAGCTATCATATAAATTTATAACATTACCAGCTATAACAATCATCTCCTTCCATTAAATCTCCTTCGTAATAATCATGCCCGTCGACAGTCATACAAACAGGTTTGCACAAGGCAGATGGGACGCATTCTAGTTTGGTTGAATTGAAATAAATTTCTCCCTCTTTGCACTTCTTAAACTGGCAACCTACAACATAATTGGAACAAATACTTGGGTAAGAAGTTTTATGTTTTTAATTTTTATTGTTATTCATGTTTTGTAAAACCCATTATAAATGTAAAATATTTTAAATTTTATTTATATTTAAATGATATTTATGTAATTTGTAAAACCATATTATTGTACAATAGCCAAGCTAGGCTCTATTTGTATGGGGAACCCCACCCAAAAACAAATAAAATATCTATCTATCTATCTAGTGACAATAATAATATATGTAGACTTATAATACATTGAAAGTAATTCATTACCTTCAACACATGTGTCCTGTTTGCACATCTCTGTTATATTTTTTAAATTGAGGAAGTTGTCGCAGGTCTCTGAAGGACAAGTAGGAACACAAGGACTGTATGTTGAACATGTTTCGTCACATTGCATAGCTGTCAACAGGTAGAAGAAAGTAAATATTAAAAATATATATATTAATTGGATTTATTTTATATATAGTACTATATATAATTACAAACTATATACCTAAATACTAATTGTGATAATGTCCAAATGAAATAGTTTTGAATTATTTAATTGTAAAATAATTAATTTAATAAAAAATATGTCTTCCTGTATAATTCTTAATTTTTCTCTCTTTGCGCAACCGGTTTCGGTCTTTTGTCAGACCTCCATCAGGCTCGGTAAAATAATAAAATTAACAACAATAAATTTTGTTTACAAAGCAATCAAATAATAATAAAACCTAATTTAAAATTTAATAATTTAAAATCCAATCTTAATAAATTATTTAATAAAAATCTTAATCACCTAACTTATGGTGATCCTCCTCTCCTGCTTGTCAAATGAGGAATAAAAATAAAACTATTGACCAGATGGGTTATACCTACTCCCAAGTCTTGTTCTCATTAGCTGCCACTAATTTTATGAGGACAGAATTCTAAAATTGAGTACTTTGCACATTCATGCATATTACATCATTTTTTATAATTATTTTCTTAATTTCTAATTTTTCAAAAAGTCCATTCTTTTTCCTTTTGTGATGGTAGGCAACAGTTTTATCTTATTACTTTTTTGTGGATGTGAACAATTTAAAAATTGATCTTTAAAATGTGATGCATTGCCTGACCGAGGGACGTGTTCTTTAATTCTGTATTTTTGTTTTCTTCCCTTCTACCCGATATAAAAGGCAGAACAGGAACATTCTATTGAGTAGACTCCATCCTTATTTAAAGGATCAACTCGGTCTTTAGTTCTGGAGATCATGCTTTTTAAACTTGTAAAAGTTTTAAGGGCCCCTACTTTTTTTGTCTCTTTTAAAAATACTATTAATTTTATAAATATCAGGACCTATATATGTAATTGTTCAGAAATCATTAATATTTTTATATTATAGACTGTTATAAGTTGCGTATTCAAATGTTTGTCTGTCAATTTTTCAAAATATTTTTTCAATTAATTCTGTGGGATATCCATTATTTGTTGCAATTTGAAAAATTATTGCCTTTTCTTTGTTAATTTCGTTTAGTGATAAAGGTATTTTTTTTAACCTATTAGCTAGTCAGTAAAAAGTGCTGAGTTTTTGTGACCAAGGGTGGCACGAGTCAAACAGTATTATTATATCTGTAATAGTCGGTTTTCTGAAAATGTCAAATGTTAATGATTTATTTTCAATTGAAATGGTCAAGTCAAGGAGTTAATTTTATTTGAATCTATTTCTGTTGTGAATTTTATATTGGGATACTTATTATTGATATCTGTAACGAATTTATTTAATTCATTTATCTTCTGTTCCCATGTACAGAAAACATCGTCAACATATCTGCACCAGTGTCTGACATGTGTTTTAAAAACTCCCATTGAGAATATTGTTTTTTCTAGACTGTTTAGAGACAGCTCAACACTCAGTGTAAATAAATAATTAATTTATTAAGATTAGATTTTAAATTGTTAAATTTTAAATTCTGTTTTATTATTATTTGATTGCTTTGTAAAAAAAAATTATTGTTGTAGTTAATTTTATTATTTTACCTAGCCTGATGAAGGTCTGATAAAAGACCGAAACTGGTTCTACAAAGAGAGAAAAATTAAGAATAATACAGGAAGACAACGTTGTTTTTTTTTTATTAAATTAAATTTCAATCCTGTAACATCAATCCTCAGTTAAAGTATAAAATAATTATTCATATATTCAATGAAAAAAAAATTACAAACTATATCTAACGTTAATAAGATGAAAATTTAAACATCTTACGGCACAATTGTTGTGTTCTCCATTTTATAGATACTCCATGAGCATTACATTCCTGGGCATAAGCTGCAATTGTAGTGCACAAGCATTCACAATCTCCTCCTTCATCACAACCACATGTATCAAAAATGCACCTAAAATTTACATTCAAATTTCATAATTTGGAATTATATACAGAGATTGTCAAATCAAAAATATTGGTTGAAAATTGGTAATTACAATTGAATAATAGTAATCGATTTATAGACATAATGCTAAACTAAAATACATATTTATTCAAATATACCCATAAGCTATACAATAGGTACTTTGCTAACTGTTTTAAGACTAAAGATTGAATGTAATCTTTTAAGAAAATCAAATACAATATTTTTATTAAATTATTTTTACAGACAAATAAAATAGGCTCTAAATAAAATAGATGAATGTATTAATAGACTGAATGAATGTATAAATGCCAATAAAATATAAAAGTATCTTTAAACAACTTATCACTCACTTATTCAAATAAAAATCAGGCGCTACTTCAGAATGGCATGGTGCAAACAGATTTGATTTTAGAATAGAGCATTTTTGAACAGCCCAAGCTTTCCTGTTTGGACGTATGGCACATGTATCCTAAGCAAATTAATTATGGTTTTAAAAATTCAAAAACTTTCATCAAGATATAAACTTAACTTCACTTGAGGCAAAGAATGCAAAGTATTTACCTTGATTGGCTGAGATTGTGGGCAGTAATCGTGAAGCTTCCAAGAATCACCAAACAACTGAGAAGAAACTTCACTAACACCACCTGAGGGAGTTTGGAAATCGTCATCGCTGTCATCATTGTAATTTCCGCATAGACCTTTCATCTAACCAAAGTTAATAGCTAAGAATCATTCTAGGAAAAATCATTCTCAAAAATAGTTTGTACGGTTGTTACCGCATGATAAAACATCAAATAATTATAAGATATCTTATAAAATCTGACACCTCCTGTTCAAAATTATGTGCACTCTGTATGAGGTCTCAAATTAAAGCTTAAGATGTCAAATTTCTTCAACAAACTGTCTTTTTTTCAATTAGATTTTACAAAGAATATTGCATACATGTCATAACTTCTCCTTGGTACACTAACTTTTAATTATAGATAAATTTCATCTTAGACCAGGCAAAAACTTAAAAAAATGAATTCAAACAGAAGATGAAAAATATCAGAACAAAATTAAAATGCTGCTTAAGAAAAAAAAAAAAAAAAAAAATTATTGCATGTAAAAAATCAAATTAAATTAGAAAAAAAAAAGAATAAAACCTAATAAGTCGGATAAGACTCACCTTCCCTTTCCACTTAGGATCTGCTCTAACTGTTACTCTAGTAGCTTTATCCCACTGGACGACTAAGCCCATTTCGAAGACTTCGGCAAAAAGAAATAGTCCTGCCTCTCTAAGTTTTATCCTATCCCAAATGACAAAAAAAAATTTAAGTATATTAAAGTTTTAAAAATAAGAAAAAAATCATTTTTATTTAATTAATTAATAGGGAGTGGGATGATCAAGCATATGAGTGTAATTGCAGCTCTAAAATCAAGCATAGCCTAACTCTCTCAATTCACTTCGAATATTGCAGTGACCAGAAGCAGGAGAGTAGAGTAAGATAGGTCCTCCAAGAAGTAAGATAACAAGAACTATTGGAGCTGGAAAGGTCTGGAAGCATTACTCCAGTAGATAGATGCCAATCTTAATCTTATGGAATTACGACGAAATAGAAAAATTGAGAAAAAACTTAACATTACAAGAGACAATAATAAAAATAATTATTAATTTAAATGCATTTAAGAAACAAAACAGAATGGTGAAATGGCTTCTATAAAAAATTTCAATCCCTATTTTCTTAATAACTGCAAATAGCCTATTAGGGCTCACTTTCTCAGTACATCCCTTCGCTTAAGAATTCCATTATATACATTATTTTAAAATTATTTACATATTTTTAAGAATGAAATTAGATGTAAATGTAAAATCAAATTTATATGTACACATGTATTTAAAATTAAAAAAAAACAAAAAACATTGCAAGTATAACGTATGTTATAAGTAAATGCATGAGTTCAACAATCAAACGTTGCTATATTAAAAAAAACTTTCTCTTTTGGATGTTAGTGACTTTTATGTTGAATAATTTAGTTCTGATAAAGCATCAATGCTGATACTAGTCAGCCCTTTGAAAAATTTTTTTTTTCTTTTTTACTATCATTTAATCTTAATAAATTTAATCTGAATGTATGATACCGAGATGTGAAAGGGAGGGGCGATAAAGTTAAACTTATCCTCAGGCAAAAATCTTACTTCCAACCCAGCAAAGCAAAGGAACAAACAATTGTTAGAACAATGTGTGGAGTAAATTTTTCAAGGCCATCCTTCTCATTTGGACTGTTGTATCAGTGGTGCAGTTAAGGAGGACTATCTTATAACTTAAGCACAACTTAATATTGTAACACCTTGAAATGGGTTACATCGTTGTTCTTTACTCTGCTGCTCTATAGGTAGCTTGCTCAACCATCCGTAAACCTTGTGGTTTATTTTTAGTGATAAATATTCAGGACGCAGTCTTTTTTAAAAAAAATTTTATACATAAATTTTTATATAAAAAAGACTGCGTCCTGAATATTTATCACTCATGATATGTAGAACAGTCGACTAACTTCCTTCAAGAATTCTTGTGATTTATTTGTATACATACTAGATGTAAAGACTAAAAATATTTGTTTCCAAAAGCATTTATATAGACCGAGTTGAAACATAAACACTTTCTTTCTTAATATAAAAAAATTAAACTTCTGGTTTAAACATGACCATATTAAAAAAACACAAAATACCTCTCAGATGATTCAAAAAGATGAGCTTTACCATCTTCGAAGGATACACTCTCTTTTGAACCATCAGTTGCAATGGTTAATTTAACAGACCTTGTGCAACTTATACCTGAAGAACCACAACTGGTCATCTGTTAAAATACAAAAAAAATGAATCAATTTTATGAAGATAAAGATATTAACTATTTTTTTATTTCAAACTATATTTTTTTTTTTTTTGCAAAAACATGTTACTATCAACAAATAATAATAATGATTTAATGCATTAAAGCTTGGCAGAAAATTTTCCAGTAAATAGATTTTAAAAATATAAATCAAACAGTATATCTGAGCTGATTAAAATAACAGTAGTTTTAGTCTAGTCTAGTAGTTTTAAAATAGAGAGGGTTGTGTTTAGTATAATAAAAAATAATGTTTTAAAATTTGAACTTTGGCTATATTTTATAAATTACATTATAAAACTTAATTTATTGATTATAATTAAACTTTTCACTAAAAGCTATTAAAAAAAAAAAAAATATTATTTAAGAGAAAAACTCTCAGTATAATCTAGCAAATCTGTCAAATTAATTTGAAACTTTGAATATATATTTTTATTAGGCATGCTGATTCTGTCGCATTTATCGATGATTAAGTATTTCTTAAGTTCTTAAGTAAGAGCTGTAAAACTGAATTCATCAGATCTTAAATACTTTCCGCACAAACTGGCATTTTATTTCAACCAACTCAAATATTGAGGATCCGGAAAATAATATATATCGAGTTAATTCATAACAGACTCACCTCTAAAGTGACAGTGAACCAATCTGTCTTTGATAAGGAACCTTTGGCCAGAACGTAATCACAGGTGCCTTGGAAGTCATATAATTTTCCATCAAAAGTTTTGAAGTGAGAATCACCCCATGTTGTACATGTACTTGAGCAGTGGTGGTCAGTGCACTCCCATTTACCCATGTTGCAGACACTAGCAATGAAAAAATAAATAAAATGAATCTTTTTTAAACTAGAAAGCCTTTCAATAATTCACTAGTAGAATATTTTTTTATTTTATTTTAAATAAGATTGCATAACACATAATTAAATAGTAACTGTTTCTCATTAAATTTATAAAGTATTTATTTATTATTTATAAAATAATGAATGCATTGTAATGATAAATGTTGAGCTGGAACTTAAATTAATAGTATTTATGACTTTATATAGGTTTTTGTAAGAAGGCAAGATTTGTTGAAGTAAAATATAATAATATTTTAAAATCACATGTTAGCTAATTATATGAAATTCAAATTGCACTTAACACATTCATAATGGCATTGCAATTCATGTTTTGCTCTGTTTGATGGGCCCAAACTAAAGCGTAAAACGAAGATGAAGAAGAGACCGTGAGACTGTCCCAGAATTTCCTGCCAGGAGTACGCACAGCAGATTGGAGGGAATAGAGAGAAAACTCTCCAAGAAATGAGGCAGCGTGGCCGGGACCAAGAGGCATGGCTGCGTTCGATCAAGCCTCCTCGTCGCTAGGAATGGCATCAGAGGTAGACAAAGAAAAATAAGTGTTGAGGAGAAAGAATTAATTTCCTAGATGGTTCAGTCGAGTCTAATAGTCGACTGCCAGAGCTAATTGGAGTGAAGTCATCAGCAAAGTTGGTTTCCTGGATGAGCATTGTTCAGACTCATCAGCACTGGTGCCAATGAGTAGTAGAAAATTTATTAATATTAAAGGAAAACGATCCACATTATTCGTATGATATATTGATTCAGAAAAACAAAATTAATGAAAAAAAAATTGAAAACAGTAACTAATATTTTTAAAGGATTTTTTAATTTATATCTTTGTTTTAATTTTAAGTTAATAATAATATAAAATAATGCACCAAAATCAAATAAAATATTATCAACAGTTGGAGTAAAAAAACTCCCTCTTTTTTATTTTATATATAAAGATAAAGGTTCTTTTTTTTTTTTTTTTTAAAGCAACTTAGAAAGAACCTAGAAAATGAATAATTCTATTTTTAATATTTAAATAATTAAATTTTTAACTTTTATTAAAAATCTTAATAACATAAATAATAAATTAATTGGGAATCTTATGTGGGTAAGTCACATAAATTAAGATAATTTTTTAATATCATGAATTTCATCACCATTGTCATTTCTCCCTAAATATCTGCATCAATTTTCTTTGAACAATAATAAGTGCTTATTCTTTGCTATGTACATACAAAGTCAGAATACTTTCTCTTCACTCCTTCCTTTTGCGTAAGAGAAGAAAAAAACCATTTACAACTATATTTCCGACGGCAATACAGATCTAACCGCTATATATCAAATCAATCTGAACTTTATTGGTGGGATGAACAATATAAGTTAACAGTTGAAAGTCAGTCTTTTAATGGAGTACATACAAAAGATAGTCTCCACCATTTACTGGGAAAATTATTGCTCCTAAAGATATAAACTTTGCAGCAGTGGCAAAGTTCCATGAAAACGATTATGTTTCTACTTCTTAATCTATTCTCTATTTATTACAGAGCGAGGAAACTGTTGTGATACCCTGTTTAAGCATTGATTTCTCAAACCAGCTCTCTTGATTATACCATTTATAATATAATTTGCATAAATAAAAAAAGAGATGATATCTGATTACATATTGATTTATTACCATGTATTGCAGAGCTGTTGGATCTGATCTCCATCTTTGTAACTCTTACCGCCATGGTGACAAGGACATTCTTCAGGACGAACGCACTCTTTGGTAATAGAATCAAGAACATAGCCCTTTTTACAGACGCACCCACCGTAACATATGGCAGGGGTAACACCTTCACTGCTAGATGTTGTTCGAAGGGCATGCATATTCTGTTAACAATCAGTGAAATAATCAGATCAAGAAGAATAGATTATCAGATAAATATTAGTGAAACACTTAGGTTTTTAGAAAATCAATTATGAAAACTATAAGGTTTCTTATTAGTCATTTCAACATAAAAGGATCCTTCACTTGAGGGTGTTTTTGGAATAATTCATTTCCCAAGAACTAGTTCTATAGCGAATTGAAAAAAAAAGTATTGAAATTAAAACTTCTCTTAATGGCAGCTATCTAAACATAGTGGTTAGTGCTATTGACGATGAAGCAAACAGACACCAGTCCAATGCCAAATTGCAACAACCAATACTGCACAACAACAAACAGTTCAGTAATCCTAGCTGTCTATTTTTTAGGAACCAGATCATAGATTTTTTTTTTAACAGACAGTAGTTACAATTGTAAAAAAGTTTTGATATTTTTTAGCATTACTTGACAGGTGACAGGCTCTGGTTCACAATGAGAATAAACTTGGTTCTTTGTTGAGCTACATTTTATATCTTCAAAGGAATTATTAGGATATTTCTTCAATTCTTCAGAATTGGCAATATGGCATTCCCAAATAGCGTTGGCGCATTTACTAAAAAAATATAAAATAGAGTATTACGCATATAACATGTAAGTGTGAGTATTGTAAAAAGATAACAACAAAAGTTAAATGTATTTATAATACCATAGATTTAATCCTTTTGATGCTGGACGGATCTCTGCATGCCCTGGGGGGTATTGCAGTCCATTGAAGATGCATGGACATTGGGCAATCGGAATACAAACTCCTCTGCTATCGAGAACAAATCCTGATGGGCAATTGCAGCCTTCTAAACAAAGGTCACTGCACTTTTTCTCTCGTGATAAATCAGTGCAAGAACGTGAGCAAGCTTTGCCACACGTCTCGTAAACCTGCCCTCGAGGGCATTGAAGTCCTTAAAAATAAACCACAACATAAACACTTCCATTTATCAATCAAAATAATATCATATAAATAGATAAATGACTCATCTAAATTCATCTTTGTATACAATGAATTAAACTTGTATATATTATGGATAAAAATTAGAACAAATAAATGAATGCAAAATATTAACTTGAATAGATCCACAATGGTCTAAATTTGTTGGGATGCAATGGTATGGTAAGATATAAGCATATGTAGAAAACTAGCACTTTATTGCTCAGAACCATCCATCAGCAAGCGCAGTCGGGGTCGAACTGGACCCTATAATGATTGTTGATAACAGATATGGTGGGGGCCAATAGTTACATGATAACCATGATGCAATAATTTATTATTTTATTTTAAATATACTTCCGACAAAATTTAAAGAGAGAAAAACAGACCGAATTTCTTTAACATGCATTATAATGCATGCTTTAGAATGCATTGTAATGATAAATTGTCAGATCTACAAGTAAAAACTGAAGCCAAGATATTTAAGAAAATAATTACTACTTACCACACTCCCTGATTTTGGATCTCCACTCAACCGGAATGCCATGAGATGCACATTCTTTTACAAAAGCTGATATTATTGGGCAGAAACATTCTGTCTTCTTTTTGCTACATGAGCACATGTCGTACAAGCAGTTCTGATAGTAAGTAATTGGGTCAACATAGAAATGGCAATCTAATAATAAAAAGAAACAATATAATGTAAGTTTCAATTATCAACAAACTAATCAACAAAACTAAAATGTATCTTAATCAACCAGGCTACTATAATCAGGTGAAAGGGACATTAAGGCAGACATTGAGGATCACTCCAAATGGAATAATGGAAGAATTTCAAAGATCCTTATGTTGATCATTCCAGTCTATAATTCCATTTTTTAATTACTGGTTACATTTAATTACAGGTTTTATTTACATTCCAAAGTGTTTTGCACAGGCAATTATCAAAACTATTTAGAGCTGAGATACTGTTATTCCAAGCATTAATAAGAAAAATTATCTCTGACTATTATGAAAACTATTTTAACATTTTATAATTTTATTATCAAACTCTAATATATAATTTATGTCAAATCTTTTTTACAATAAAATGTAAAAAGTTGATCGACGGATAATTTATATTTACAGTTTCAATGAATGTATTAATTAATATAATTCTTAATTTAATATTTTATTATAATAATAACAAAAAAAAAGAGTGTAATTTAAAAAGCCTTTCCTTCAAATTTATTATTTTTTAAAATAATTAATAGTAAGAACAAAAAATAATGTAAATTATTTAAAGCGATATTTTAAAAAATATTTAATACGGTAAATACCATAAATTTTAACTTGTGAATATTTTTTTGAGTTCTTTCAAGTTATAGGAAAAAAGTTGTGAAACAATTTTTCTTATGATTGTTACACAATTAAGTTAGTGATAAGTTTTTGATTTTTTAATAATGATTGTTCAAAAAATTTTCTTTTAATGTGGATGTTAATAAAATTTGTATAATAATAATAAGGCTTAGTGAACCAGAAGGTTCAATGGCGATACCACCAAGCACTGTCTACATTCTTACATCCACCAGGCACCATTTAAAACCAACTCTGCCTGATGAGCCTAAACACAATCCTCCCACCTCCACTTTCAACACTTTCCAGTTGACATAGAACATATTAACTTTTTAGGGATTCTTTCATTAATAAAACCAGAAATTTTACACACCCATTTTATTCATCTCAATTATATTAACCCGATATAGTTTGCGCAATTCGCCAATGTGTAAACATCTAAATTCTCTGATTGTCTTATCCTTCTTCGGTCTGAATATTCTACAGAATACTTTATATTCAAAAACCTTAAGACTTTGCTCATCTCTTAAAGTAAACAGCCACGTTTCACATCCATAAAGAACCGTAGGAAAAATAATGGTTTTGTAATTTATTTAAGTTTTGAAACAGACATGGGCTAAGAAGGTTGTTACAGAAAAATAGCAAACATTTCCTAACCTTAACTTCCGGTTCAATTTCTTTTTTGTAATTGTAGACCTTAAATACCTAAAGTTTTTATATATTAATAATACTTGTTATAAAATTACAGATATGCTTTTATGGATTTGAAAATGGATGAATATGGCCTGAAACATTGATATGTCTCCATAAAGTCATTATACATACACTTTTAAAATTTAATAATAAAAAATTATATTAGTAAATTTTAACTAAGTATTGTATCTACTTGAAATGGAACAGTTGGAATAGAGTGACCATCAATGGCTGACTTAAATATTTGAGAGTTCCTAATTTCATTGAAATTAGAAAGTTTATATCATTTACATATTACTCATAACATTAAATTTAAATTATAGAATGTTTTATCATGTTATAATATTCCATAAAATTAATAAGTAAATTAGATAACTACAATCTTTAACTAAATGGTGATTTAAGTTTAGAAATTAAATATAAACTTTAAATGAAATAATGTAGGAAAGTTATAATAATATTACCAAATAAAACATAATAAAAAATAAGAACTAAGTATTTATTAATGAATTAGTTCTAAATTACTCTTATCATTTCTTTTTAATTGTGGACATGACATTATTTGTTATTGTCACCAACTTTGTTTTTTAGTTTTCCAACTTAGTTTACCATTTTGATCTAATCATTTTGGAGTTACTGCTCAATATCAATAAAAAAAAATCAATGAGATATTCTAATGATCTATAAATGTTATTTTAAAAACAAAACAATAAAAAGATAATTTTTAAATAACAAACCTAAAAACATATTGCTGGTTATGTGGCTACACAACTTCTCTGCTTCAGCCTTGTTTTGAACATTCACATCACATGGATTCCTATTCTCTTCTTCAACTTCATTGTCACAGCTATCTTTTGTTTTCCACTTGTTGGCGAATGATATAGGGTCCTGTTCCACATCTCCTTCAGGTGTAAGAAAATCGTCCTTTTGATTGTTATTAAATGTACCACACAATCCCTACACAATGTTAAAGTTAATTGGAAACATTTGTCAAAAATGATAAATAAAAAGTAAATGAAATAAACAAATAATCAAGAATGAACTATCAGAAAAGTGGACCAAGTTCATTTCAATAAATTCACTTGTTTGTTGTTCAGTTTTAGGATAAATATATTTAAGTAGTATACTTTGAATTACCACTACCATTTTGCAATAACAGTTTCACCTTAAATTCATTTACTATGTAATCACAGGATCTGAACTAAGAAGGAGGGAGGAGCAAATAGGGCACCTACACATTGTTAAAGATAGCTGTAAACATTTTCAAAAATTATATAACAAATAAATAAAATAAACAAATAATCAAGAATGAATTTCTAGAAGAGTAGCACCAGTTTATTTCATTCAATTCACAAATGTTCCAGCTTTTTGATTAATTTGATCTTAATTCAATCAATAAAATAAGTTAATGTTATAAAGTAATAATATTTAGTATGAAATATATTACCTAAAATACTGTTAAAACTATTGACTTTTATTGGAGCTGGCGGGAATGAGTAAAAAAAGAAGAGGTGGAAATATTAAGCTTTTCTCCTCTGGCAAAAATCTTAGTTCCGGCTAGTTATCTAGTAAATCAATTGACCTAGGAGATAGTTTTTTTTAGAAAAGAATAAATTTCACGAGATAAGTAAGAGAAGTTTAGGTAAAAATTTCCTATATTTATTGTATTAAGTGAAGCAAAATATAAAATAATATTTGGCAACTAACAGCTTTCCGTTAAGGATGTAATTCAATCTATGAGTTTAAATGTAAATCATACATTAATTCCCACATTAAATTATATTTTTATATAAGTTGTGGTTAGCTTGCCATGAGTTTATAATTCAAGTTGATTACAAAAGTTCATTAGTATATCTGTTCAATTGCCAGTCACAGAAAAAAAATTAGTGGTGATTTTTGGCTATTAGAAATTACAAAACTTATATTTCTTGAACAAACAATTTTTGAAAAGCTGCCTGTTTTTGAAACTACTTCATTGAAAAGTTTTTTAAGTTAATTACTTAAACTACAATGAGCTTACAAATATATATGTTGAATAATAAAACTAAGAAATTTAAAATATATATTAACTAATCTTTAGTATAAATAAATAAGACATGAAATTTATTTTAACAGATATCTTATATATTCTCGCTAAATTATAGGCAATGCTCTGTAACTAGCTACATACTTATGCTAGTTTTATTTTAGTCAATAAAGCAAAAAAAATTAGCCAACCTTAGTTTTTCCTTTCAGTGAAGGAGGAGCGTTTATGTATAAACGAGCAGCACCATCCCACCAAACCTCAACGCCATCTGGGAGGTCAGCTAAAGAACATAATTTTATTAAAAGGACTAGAATGCCATACAATTAATGTTGCTACATTTAACACAGATAATTTTATAATTAGGTTATAGAAAATGTTGACTTCATATTTTTATTCGATATAAGTAAATTTTATTTAATAAACAGAAAGTTTGTCTGATATAAATTTGTTAATCTTGAAAAAAAAATTAATAAATTGCAGATATTTTGAGTCAAAAAAATTCAATATAAATCACTAGGAGGTAACAGTATTAGTAGGTACTTTTTTTTGAGATCTTAATATAATTATACTATTAAAACAAAATACGATTAATGTTTTTACAAAAATACCTCATTAATCCTCCAGTTTTATTTCATTAGTAAAAAATCTTTTTAACAAAAGAATTTATTTTATCCATATTATAACATTTTGGTTCTAACAGCCATTTTAAAAAACAGCATTAGTCATAAGCCATCCATTAAAAAAATATCTATACAGTATACTATATTTGTAATGATTTCATAAATTTAAAATTCTGCAAATTATAATACGTTAGAGTAAGAGTTATAGTGGTGGGGATGACCCAGCCTCCAATATCCACTCATCGTCCGAAGTCAAGCTAGCCCGCATCTTTTCGAAGGCCAGCTTTCAGATATTACAAGTCAGAGGTAATGCAAGTTTATTGATGGTGTAAAGGATAGAGTACTAAACTCGTATAATAGCGATCCTCGATTCAAAACTCTATGATTTCACATTATTTTTTAAGGGGGTGGGGTGACTGAGTGGGCTAATGAGTGTGCATAGAACCCTGCCTATTGCCTGGTAACTTGGATCAAAGATAATTAGACAAAATAATTTCTATTTACATTTCTAACATTTTTAATTTGACCAAGACATTGAAAAAACAACAATCTTATTTCCAAATTCGATAACCTTTATGAAAGCACTGCTGACAGATGCAGCTTCAATTGTCGGCATGTTAAAAACAAATTGGGACAAAAGGTATTATGAACTGGCATCACAACTAGAGAAGCTAAACCACATTAACAAACAATTGGTATTCCAATATATTCCTTCTATTGGATCAGAGATAACAAAAAAGCAGATAAATTGGCAAAGAGTGGATGTCTTCAATGGCAGATAGATTCCCAATTCTCACTGATGAGGGAAAAACAATAAACAAAGCTGCAATAAGATGGGGCACCTAACATCCTCACAGCAACCTCCAAGACAACTGGCAAATCTACGGGAAGGGGAAGGAGCTTTTAGGCTGAAGCCCATCAATAATCTTGGATCTGCTAATGCCTGAGACCCCTACCATAAACTAAATAGAAAAGAATAAGTCATGATATTCATGGGGTGGAGTGCCCGAGTGAGCTAACTCATGTTCAAAACATGCGTTGTCCAGCAACTAACCACATGATAACCCAAAGTTACAAGATATAAAATAATTATAAGTTTGCATCCCAGTTCTGGGGAGAAGAGAGAGAAACACTTAATTTTCATGTAAAATACAAAATATAAACGCTTGCTGCCCAATTATATTGGGGGGGCTTGCTGGACACACAGCATAATGATTAATCTTTAGGACAATCAATAAAGCTTATACATAAATATATAGAAGTGGTTAGCAAGTATGAGTATAATAAATATATCTATCTTTTTTTTTTTTCCTTTATTTTATTCATTTATTTTTTTTCCATTTAATTTCTCTCTCTAAAATGCTATGTGTGTTAAGACGCTTAAAACTATTCAATATAAACAGTAACAAAAACAAAACATTACTAATCAATTTAATTAGAAGAACGAAGATGAAGAAATAAATATTTAAAAAAGGAAATATAATCTCTATTAAATGGGATTTTTTTTTTTTTATAATTTTTATAGCACTGTTCTTACATGCTTTTATGAATAACAGAATCTTAGAGTAGAAGGGGTAGATGGGGCATGGTCCACAGACAGTAAAAACTAATAAGTAATCATCATAGATCAATGAAAATTTATTATGTCCTTGATGGCTTGAAAAATGATATATTTTAACTTTTCCTAATAACTGCACATCTTACCTAAAATGAATATAGAAGAAGCTTGGCTAATGTAGGTTCCGTTAACCGTTATAGGGAGCTTGACATCTTCACCATTTACAGTGACTTCACGTCCTTGTTTCATTTTAATTACATTATCTCCAAGCCTCAATAGGACAGATTTTGTACAAGAAGGCATACCAGATGATGCAGTATAAGGCAGAAATCCAAGATCCTATTTAACAAAAAAAAATTATTAACTTATTCTCTTAATTATAGAGGTCAACAAATTAATATTTTTAAAAAGGCTATTAAATATAAATGTATTTTATTTATATTTCATCAAAACTGAGCAAGAAGAACTACATACTTCAGATATGGCACCATCACAAGGCACATTTTCAGCTTCTATTGAATAATTGTCCATTTTCAATAAATAATATGAGCATTTTCCCATAAAATCGTAAGTCTTTTTGTCGAAGGTCTTATAGTGTGGATCGCCTACGGCTTCACATTGTGCACCACATTCTCTTTCTGTACAGCTCCATTGGCCTTTCACACAAGTACTAAACGAAAAAGCATTGAGTTCAACTAAGCAATGTATTTTTTATAAATCAGTTAATTACAAAGAAGTAATTTCCCTACTGTCCCTAAAGATTATCATGTATGAGATTGAATGCATTACCATGTATTACACTCCTTGGGAACTGAAGTGCCAGGACGAAACTCCCTACCCCTAAGTTGGCACGGACAGGAATCAAGAGAAACACAGGTGTCATTATGTACGTAAGTCCCAGGGGGGCAAAAGCACCCTTCCTCACAAAGACTCTCCCGCTCTGCACCACCACAGGGAGTCTCACCTCCACATTGGCTGTACACACGCCCACCATTGCATTTCATAGCTGAAAAATGGATAAAGTTAATAATACAAAAAATTTTTTTTTTAGTCCAACCAATTAACAAATTAAAAAAAAAACACTTTAAGCTGAGGTGCAATCAGTAAAGGAATAAAGAAAACTTAGAGAACTATTAAATTCATACATCCATCAATATCCCTATTGAAAAGACTGAAAGGAGCCTTTCAAATGAGTAACTCCCATTCTTTAGCCTATAAATGTTTACAAGGGGGCCAATCATACATAATTTTCTTGACAACATTTTTCTTGTATTTTTTTTCTTATAATTACAAGAATTATATCTCATAAATCTCCTAGTATTATTTTTCCAAAGAGTATATTAATTTTTTAAATATGTATTTACTGTAAGGAGGAACTTTTATAAAACTTCATTTATTTATATAATTTTTTACAAGTATTATAGAAATTCAGATAAAATAATGAGTTAAAATTAAGGAGCTTTACTATCAAAATTTGACATCTTCATTTCCAATTTTGTTTTTATTAACATTAACATAAGAACCCAGTTTTCATCACTTGGAGATGTTCATCTTGCTTGAAAAATCAATCTTTTAGTTAGTTATTCTATGGGTAAAAAATAATTGTTACAGAAATGAAACAAGTATTATGTACAGCTTTGGGAAACCATCGGACCTAATCAAAATCTCAGTTTCAGTCAAAGTTGAGAAGTCCACTTTTTTTTTTTTTTTACACATTTCATGGTTTATGTCCTTTTAAACTAATAAAAAATTAATGTGGTTTTGCTCTAAAACTCTATTTCTTAATAATAAAAGTTCATCAACTTACCAATGTACATAATATATAAGAAGTTTAGAAAATTATAATTTTTTTAATTAATTAATTTTACAATAAATTTAATTTTTTTTTTACAAAAAATCTAATTTTCATTTATTTTAATACCGCATGAAGTTCTCTCGCCCTCTTAGTTACACAGCTGCAGTGAATCGCTTTTTCATCCTGTTAATGATGTTATCACCAATTGTCATAGAAATTTCAGCCAAAGCAAGACATTGTGCAGTTCTTGGAATTAGAGGGATTTTTTTTTCAAATAAGAAAAAAACTATTGAACAAGCTGTCTACTGGTCAAAATAGATTTCTTTTTGTTAATATGATCAAATTTCTATGACTTATAGTAGTATCATTTTGGGAGTTACTTCCAGATCTTCTAATGACATTCACAGTTTCACTTTAGGGCTTTGAAGTTTTCAAAACTACACTTCATGAAATTCTTATTATTTCCCCTTTATTGATTACAGCAAAAAATGAGATATTAAACATATAATTATTCCTTTCTGTTTTAATGAAAGATATTTCCTTTCCATAGTTCAAGAACAGAATGTTTAAAAACTAGCATAAACTTAAAAGAAAAACAGAGAATACAAACAAATATATAAATATGTAAATGAAAATATATATCAACATAAATATTTATCTTATCTCTTATCTATCAATTATGTTATTTTAATTTTTGCAAAAAACTTAACAAAATTCAACTAAAACTTACGGCACAAATTGTCATCTCTCCAAGAGGGAAAGGATACACCAGCACTGACACAGTCACGGACAAAGATTTCAACAGATTGGCAGCCACAAGAGTCTTTGTTGCTAGCATTACAAGAACAATAATCCCACAAGCAAGCTTCAAAGTACTCTTTCACAGAAATAGCCTGCACATAATTAACAATATATGATTGCTGATAAAGCAATGTATATATATATGATTGATAAATAAAGCTAATTCACGTATACTCAAACCTTCTATGTTAAATATATATATATGATTATCAACCTTTCTATTTTTAAGAAATTAGTTGTAATATGGGTTTTGTACTCACCCTATGATATTCAAGTGACCATTAATTACTAAAATTATAAAACCTGTACCATTACAACCCATGAAGGGTCTTTGGTTCAGTATTATTTAGAGAAAGCACTGTTTTATAGTCTATGGATGTGTAATAGGTGATTTGACCGAGTCAAGCTCAGCCGCCAGGCTTTCCCTCTTAATTAATTTTTTAATTAAGGGTAGTCCCTTTACATAGATCGGGTGTGTCCCAGCATGGTTTCCCGACACCAGAGTCAATCGATGGCCTATGAAACAGAATAAATAACTTATCTGCCATAAGCCGGGATTCAAATCTAAGACCTAGAGCATTGGAAGCTCAGCACCCTACCACTGAGCTATCCCAATTCCTAATTACTAAAATTATACTTGCTTAAATTTCAATTAAAATAAAGCAGGTTTTTCACAATAGGCTAAATAAAAAATTAAAGATAGTTTTTTATTTTATCATAAAAAAATATCTTTTATCAATTATTCTTTTGTACTGTAATACTCATCTTAAAAAAAAAGATCTGAATCAACGCTCTATTTTTATTTTTTAATAATGGAGTTTTAATAAAATAATTCTTAATAAAAATTAAATAAATATAATTAAGAATCAGAACTTAACATAAAGAAAAGGACATCCAATGAAGACTTGAGAGATTTTTCATCAACTGAAAATACCTACTAAAAAAATTTATATCACTATAATTGTAACATTGAGTTTTAGGGAAGTACTTTTTTATTTGGAGAGATAGATACCTCTTCAGTGTTTCTAATGGTTAAACCATAATTTAAGGGAGAACAAATTAAATAGAGACTTCAATTCAATTTCAAAAGCTTATAAAATATATTACTAAATTACATGCCAAACTGAATTTTTACAAAGTGAAATATTAAATTTTTCCCAATTGAAATATTATTTTTAATTGTTTATGGCATAGAAAATAAATATAATATAAAATATTTTAATTTAGATATATTATTTAGATAAATATTTCTAGTGATTCTCCTATAAATAATAAATAAATATAGATTAATGTTGTAAATCTCAATTACCTTGCTACAATCACTAAGTTTGTCATTATTTAGGAGAGCAGAACAGAATTGTTGAGCATCTTCTTTCAATCGTGATGTTGAGCAAGGATGAGAATCCATAATTTTCTCTTGGCAAATATCTGAATAGGGCAGTTACAAAACAATATTTTTAGAATAGAATGTTGATGATTTGTATCTTTAATTTAATTAATATTGAAAAGTTTATTTGACTAAACTATTTACACATACACTCATAGTTATAAATAAGAAAAGAAACACAAAGGCCTAAGAAAATATTTAATTTTTTCATTCCACACCTTGCAGATCTATAATTGAACTATATAGAATTTTTATAAAGCTTTTTTGGAGGTGATCCATGATAAGCCTTATGCAACAGTCTTACTCAGAAGGAATATTCAGCCATTCAAGTTTAGATCAAGTTCTAGCTGTTCTTATTTTTTAATAAAGTTTACTATTGTATTTTAATGGTAGTTCACTTGGCACTCTGGACTTCACTTATATTTTTGTCTATTTGCTTTGAATACATTTGTTGCAGAGATATAGCATTTGGAACTTGATATAATTGTTTGCTTTAAAATTCTATATCCTCTGTTTATTTTGTTTTTTTATAACTCAAAATTATAAATCGATCAGAAGATTGTTGATGCTTGTTTGAGAATTATTTTAATTGTCTTACTTGCTTACTTCCATGGCTCCACAGCTCTTGGCCTCAACAACACCTCTCCAATCCTCTCTATCATTCGCTAGATTTCTCGATTGTCTAATTCCTATCTTCTGCATATCATCCTACATATCATCGATCCATCACAGCGTTGGCCTTGCACTCCTTTAGCCGCCTGGTTCGCCATAATAGTTTTCTCGGGTATCCATCTTCTCCTTTCCTTTCTACGTGCCCAAGCCATCTTATACGGCATGGTTTAACATAAGTGACAATGTCTGGTTCATTATAAACGTCCCCAGCTTGGAATCGAAACCTCTCACAACTATAGAAAAGAATATTGGTAACAATCCAGAGAACGGCTCTGCTGTGAGTAACAAAATCCTACAGGACTGTTGCTCATGAAACGGTGCAGGTTTTAGCAGGAGGAATTCCTCTGGCCCTTCTCCTGCATGAGGATAATATTAAGTATATTCTTAAAACAAAAGGATCAGCAGATCTCCCGGAAAACCTCCAAGAAAGAATTGCGGTAGATCCATCTAAATGGAAGAGAATAATATGGGAAGACACCATTGAGCAGTGGAATCACCGTTGGGTAACTACTCATAAAGGCTCTACCTTGAGAAAATACTTTCCTCTACCTATTCAAGGTTAGAAGCGAAATGGGTTCTCCCTGACTATTGTGTGTCGCAACCTTTGGAAAGGAAATTAACCCCCTATGTCCCTGTTGTGGTGTTCCGGAAACTGCTGCGCATGTCATCATAACTTGCACTGCTTTTGAGACAGTTAAGGACAAACTATTGAGGGAAACCAGATTCTATATTATCACGGAGGACGATTTCCCTTAGCTAGTAAGCAAGGATAATTATCCGTACTACAAAGCTTTCATGTTATATATCCAGTTCTCAAAGTTATTTTCCTACTATTTCTTATTTTTCATTGGCCACTTTTAGTTAACTTTAATTGTTTATATAGCTTAATAAAAAACATTTTAAAAACTCTCCTAGTGAACAAATCTTCCTCTATGTGTTAAGGAAAGACCTCTGTGTGGGGAAACGACATACATATTTTATTTATAACTATTTAAAAGTAATAAATCATTGTGTAATAATTAGTAACACTTTAAAATTCAATGAAGTTTCTCAGTTTAACAATAATGAAAAAATACTTTTTCATCTGTTTTTGAAGGAAAATAAGTGTAAAATAATAAAAATCACAGCCTCAGTGACAGAGTTCTGGTACACAGGTTTCTATTCACAGCTAAAAGTTTTTTGTTTTTTTTTAACATTCAATAAATTAACATAAAAAGATATAATATTAAATACCTTTCACATAAATAAAAAATTTGAATCTTGATATCCTATAGAAAAAAAATAGGAAAATAAGGTATAATTTATATATATATTATAGATAAAGTAAATTAATTTAATCAATAAATAAATTAATTTACATTTCTTCGTACATAAAATGTCATAATTTTTAAATAAATCAACCGCAAAAATATCTATTATTCATAATATTAAAAATTATAAAGCCCTAATCAACTGAAAGATTATTTATCATCTACCAAAATATCTTTGTTTTTCATGCAAAAATAAAAACAAATACTTTTCAAAAATTGAATCAACTATTACTAAAACAAAAACAACTAAAAAAATAATTTGTAGAAAAAAAGGCCTTAATAGTCTCAATAATTAAAATACTTTGTTTTAAATTTATCCAAATTTTCGCCTTTTCATGCATCTTCAGGGATAAAATCTGATTTTACAATAAATTCACAATATGCTGTAACATCAGATTTTATCCCTGAAGATTCCTGAAAAGGCGAAATTTGTATAAAGTATTTTAATAATGGAGACTATAAAGGCCTTTTTTTCTACTTGTACTTATTAAAGTCTCTTTCCCATTATCATTTTTATAAAAAAAAAAAATAGTTCAATAACCTCCAGTTGTTAAGATCCTGGCATCACTGGCATAATCTTCAATATTAGTAGTCACGTCATTATTAGTGTACCTTCAATCCAAAAAACTTCAGTCATCACAATAATACAATATGATGAATAAGAGAAGAAAAAAAATATATAGCTAAGGAATCATACCCATCTAATGTCCCGCAAAGACCTTTAGTCTTATTCCAATTTGATTCAGCAACTTTAATCTCAACAACATCCTGAATCAAACAAAATCAACAATTTACCACAGCATTTAGTAACAATTATATACATTGAAATCTATACAAATTATAAATTAAATGAATCGATGTACCTTAAAGTTCCAAAGAACTGTAACCCCGACAGCCTGCAATGTTGCCTTAACCATCCCTGCTCCAAGTTCCACTTTCATTCCAGCCAACTGTGCTGGTACGGCCATTGTTTCAGTCCCCTCTTTTACAACAGCCTTCTTGTCACCTGAAATAGAAAAAAAACATTGATGAGCGGAAATTTTTAGAAGTAGATCTTAAAAATAATTTATGAAATTTTAAAAGTGAACTTCTTTGTTTGTGAACTTCTTTCTTGTTTTCTATTCAACCATCAATTTACTAAAGTGAGGTATTTTCTTCTTGAAAATTGATTAAATCACTCATGATTAAAATATAACAAACTTTTGAAGTGATCTCATACCTCATACCTTAAAACAACTTGATCATTCCTTACTAAAACATGAATCGTCAATTAAACATACAAGTTCCATTGAGAAAATAATGAAATATGCTCACTGCCGATATTGAAGAAATTATTGAATCCATACCATTTAAAATTTGGTTTCCAAAAAAAAAAAAAAACAGTATAATTAAAATTAAAACACATTGACTTGATTTTTCTTATTCTTAGATGTCATGTGGTTTTTTAAATTTATTGAGCTCTTCATAGATTGTTTTGAAGTCAATCCTCAACATTACAGCATATTCAATCATGTTACTTTAACTATATATATTTTTTAATGTACATAATTATAATTGTAACTACTGGTATGGGGAAATGGCACTTTGGCATTGCTCTTCTACACATGCTTATTTATTTTTGATATGTTGTGCTGTTTAAATCTTCAAGTGAAAAATAGTATTTGTGATCAAAATATTAACTGTGATTCCCAGAAACTTTAAGGACCCTAACATAATTATAACAATATATCTCTTAATCCTCTACTTCCTGGTTAATGTAATGTCTAACAAAAATTGGTAATTTAACTTTAAGTTTTTTTTTAAATCACTTGAAGGAGTACATGTTATTTTGTGATTGTTTGAGCTTTCTAATAAATTCGTTACAACCTACAAATTAACATTCGTAATAGATGTACTTATATTATCACTTCAAAACCTAGGAGTTTCATCAATTTTTGTGGCAATTTAAATTTATCTGTTCATGATGAGTCATCCTGCATATGATACTTCTTTTAGTTCCATCCATTTACCTCACAGCATGGGAGTGATTTTAGCTATCGGTGCCATGCGTTTTTGTTCAATTCTCCCAAGGTGCAACTTCCTATGGTAGACATGTTCATACACACCTCAATTGCCTCTTCTCTTAGATTTCCGTTACCGTGCGTACATTAAGCTCTTTCCTAATCCTCTCATTCCAATCACAGACCCTCCATGTTCTCCTCACAATTGATCTTGATCTTCATCAATGCTACAATTAGAATGTACCCATTATAGCTGCCAATTAGCTAGGCTCAGCTTCCCGCTACTAGCACTGCCACATGTGCACACTCAAGCATTTTATCTAGTAGTTGTATTTTTATTTCTAATTATTTTAATGTAAAAAAACTGCAGTACAACTCCTAAAATTTTTCTCCTTCCTTCGTAGAGTAATAATAATAGTGGTGAGTAATAGTACACGTTGGTTCACCTCTAAAGCAATTGATCAGTATATTTTATTTATACTTATTTTGGAACCATATCAATCTGACTATATCTTTATTTCATGTTCCTCTAACACTAACTCTTTATCTCTCTTCCATACAAGTCTGGATGCTCATCCATCCATTTGTAGTCCTACGTACCAAGTCTGAAGGCTCATCCCTTCATTGGTATTTCTACCTCCCACAGAGTCTGAAGACTCATCTTCCCATTTGTGGTGTCTGTCCTGCGATGCCTTAATGCTCATCCGTTAACTCGCAGACCAAGAATGATTTGGATGTTCATCTGCCTGACACTTTAGATCATCCTTTCTTAGCCTCTTCCTCATCCATTGAGGCATTTTTACAATTGAACATACTCTGCTGAGGCCTTCTGTCTGTTCACTCTATTTTATCTATCTTGATATCAAATTTAGTTTTTAATTTCTTAGCTATATGCCTTCCTCTCTTTTCTATTGTACGCCCATAATGCGTTAACTAAGAGCCACCACCTAGGTTCTTCTTGAACTTCATCAATTTTTGTGGTAATTTCAATTTATCTGTTCATGGTGAGCCATCCTACATATGATAATATTTCCAATTTATATATTTTTCTCGGAAAATGACAAAATTAGATTTTCATTGTTTAAAAATTGAATGAATCAGATGGCAATATATAATAGCATAAAATAGAATGCTAATTCATAATTGGATTAATTGTTTGTCCAAGGGCATAAAAAGCAAAGTTAATAATACACAATTTATATGAAAATAACTTACTGTTGGTGCTAAGTTGATATTTTTTGTCATTTACATAAACAGTCAAAGCTGCGCATGGTCCACCAGAGACACTACAGTTGGTTTGAAGGATTGGTGTTTGAACATGAAAGCTGTTATCCACATCTGTTGCCAATGTGTAGACACAATCGCTCTTAAAACTGTTGGAAAAAAATTGTAATTAAAATTTATAATTATAAGAACTGTTAGTGGGTAACTATTTTCCATAGAAATGAATACATACAGTAAAACTAACACTACTTTGTCCAAGATAACTATAAATATGGCTAATGTTTGACAAGTTGGTAACTAAAATTTATGGCTAAAATGATATAATTAGTACTTATGATCCTCCTTTAATATTCAAAGTATTTTTTATTTTGAAAAGTTGTAACTTCACTTATACTTTTGCCACTTTAATTTTACTCATGTGGTCTTTAAAAGAATTTTAATTCCATTCTGACAAATTTTATACAAAGTCAGACATAATTTTTTTTAAAACTATTTTCAAAAGCTAAACTACTAATATTTAAATTACTGAGGAAAAAAATGATATATTTTAATAATAACGAAAAAAGTGTTAGCACAATAAATTTTAAAACTCATTTTTCTTAAAATTAAGTTTCAACCAGTTAGAACCTTATCAAACCAAGCAAGTGGTTTATTAACATTAACATCGTCAAAATTAAATGAAAATATGGTTTTCAATGGTTGCCAAACAATGATAGAGAGTAACAAATTAAATATTAAAATAATTATTTAATAATGAATTACAATCGATACTTCTAACCTAATTATTTTTCCATCAAATGTTTTGAAATGTTCTTTTCTCCATGTTAAACATGTTCCAGGCTTAGGTTTCTTCTTTTCTATAACAATTGCTTCAGCTCCAAAACTTGTTGTAGCAGGCTTTGAAATGTAAGTCGATGTTTTATTTGATTCATGAACGGTTTGATATTTTTCTGGCAATTCATCTTCACCATTAAAAATGTAGGTCAATATTTCTTCTTGATCATTTCCTAAAAAATAAAAACATAGTTACTTGTCAAGGCAAACCTGAAATTAGATTAAGGGACATACAATGATTTTTATTTTTTTTTTATTAATATTTTCTTCTATGACAAACAAATAAAGAAGCTATTAATTTAATGAGGAACATTTTACATATTTAACATCCTCTTAAGAGAAATCAAATAGCATAATTTAATTTTCAAAAAACCTATGTGATCATGTTGGAATTCTCTCTAGGAAAATGTAATGTAAATCCAGAACCGTAATGGACCCTCACTTCAGAGCACAGGATCAAGATCAAGCAGTTGTCCCTAGAGATGTGAAAGATTGTACCTGTGGAAGATGGAAGACCAGTTTATACAGGATTCACAATACTACCAACAAAGCCAATCTTGATGTCAAACCAGTGCAAGCCATTCAAGAACACAAATTAAGATGGTTTGGAAACCTACTTCTGATGGATCGGCGTAAAGTCGTAAGAAAGAGATATAACTGCAAGTAAAAAATACAAGAGGAAAACCCAGAATCAACTGGGAAGGAAGTGTGTGAAATGTGTTTCAGAAGGAGAGGGGGATTGGAATGGAACAGGAGACAAGAGCTGGTAGAGGAGAGATTCACACGGTCTAAGCTCTAATGGTAATTGGCATATACAGCAATCTTACACTTATAGATATCAGATAGATAATAAAGAAATATAAGTGAGACCAGAAGATAAATTGCAACCAGGACTAGTAACAATTTTTTTAAGAATAAACGTGTTAGCAAACTTTAAACTTTAAGCGGAATTTTATCAATATTTCTATGGAATAATGGAACTAATTTAATTTCATGATAGCTTACCAAAAACACAGCTGGGAACTGTGGATGGAGAGAAAATACCAGTCTCATATAAACAGCTATAGACTGATGCAGGTGGATTACTAAACTTCATTCCAACAGGGCAAGATAGGTAGCATTTCAATTGTAAGTCATCACCAGAACATTTATAACTTCCGTTGAATCCCAGCTTCCTTGGGTCACAGGCTTCCTTAGCTATTAATAAAATAAATATAAGTTGTATATTATTTATTAAAATTGCATTATTAATAAATGTATACTCTTCAAAACATTTAAGATACATATTTAAGACAAGAAAAATAACAGTAAAAAAAATATATATAATTTATTTATTATATTTAATAAAATCTATATATGAATTTGTATTAATGTATTAATTAACGTCATGTAATAGTTTATATCTAAATTTTATCAATGTGAAAAATAATTTACATTATCTCATGAGGTAGACTTGACTTCAAAAGTAACATGATTTTATTTAAAAATAATAAATTTATTATTTCTCCCAGTATGACTTTGAAATAAGAATTGACAAAGTATTATAAGCTAAAAAAAGATAATAGTACAGTTATTGTAAACAAAAGATCTAAGTTAACGAGAGATTGGTCGGGAGTACAGTCAAAGATATCACACGCATGATAAATGGTACTTATATTTATTTATTACCAAAATTCCAACATAAAAATAAAACAAAAACTTACGAAATTCACAACGGGGGCCACGGAAATCCTGTGGACATTCGCAGAAATTGTGACCAATGCAAATTCCTCCATTCTGACAGGTTGGTGAACAAGTAGCTGTACAAAGTGATAAAATTGACAAGTAATTATTATTATTACAGAATAATAATTTAAATTAAAATTTCATTTAAAAAATGATTAATTTACGTAAACAATCAGGGACAAACAGCCATTCCTTCCTGGCAGGAACCCACTCTCCTTCTTTACAAACTACTGTAGCTACCGAAGATCCATCTTGAAAAGTATGCCCATCAACACAAACCATAGTGCATGAACTAACAATTAAAAAATATATATAATTTTATTTTTCTTCAAATTGTGATAAGTTATACATGGAAACAATAATTTAAAGCAATAAATATAACGCAATATAGAAACTATAAACAAATAAAATAGAATTTAAAAAATAATGATCAAACTAAGGGAAAAAAGTGAGCAACAACAATAATGTTTTTATATGAACAATACTGTTATTCTAAAGGGACCTAGTTCCAGAATAAAGATGATTTTTCTATTTCTAAAAAAAAAAGTATGAAAATTGAGCATAAACTTGGAAGCAGAACTGCTTCAGTATCAATATGTAATCATTTGTTTCTAAGTAAATCTTCACACCAAACAGAATATTGCAAATTGTATTTATAGCTTTATAAGTAATTCAAGAACCTAATGAGATCAATTCTAATCAGACTTTTAATGAAGTGATAACACAAAGATCATCAAATAAATTTATGGTATTACTTATTTTTCTTTCTCTATGACAATAAAAAATTCAGTGATAATGTTCCTTTCAATTCCTAGTTGAAATTAATACACTACATCCATAACTATATTCTTTAATTATTATTTTTTTCTTTTGGATAAAATATCATTTTTGATAATCAAATTTTAATATCATTATAAAAGATGTCAGAGTTAAACATCGATATTTCAATACTTTTCAAACATCCCTTATATCAACCCAACAAAAACAATAATCAGATACATTATAAAGAAAACTTTTTTCTGGTGCTACACTCCAAACGGAACAAGTGATCTGAGGAAAATAGATCACCAGCCATCAAAGGAATACTTTTAAAGAAAATATTATACACAGGTCATTATAAATTTATGATTTTCAAAAAGAAAAAAGAAAACATTCACAAAAGCCAATTGTTCCAAAAATTAAGGAGTTCAAAAAACTTTCAATAATCAGTACTTTTCTATAAATCAGGAAAGTTTGACAAAAGATATACTTACTCTGCAGCACACACTTTGTGAGCATTCATTGGTGTCAACGGAAAATCAAAGCAAGGCTTCTTCTCATACTGACAATAAGGCCCATAGTAGGTTTCTGGGCAAGTACAAGTGTTTGGTGATATACAAGAACCACCATTTTGACATTGTGGAATACACGATGCTAGAAGGAAAAAAAATTGTTATGAAGAACTCTTTCAATTTATGAAGAAATTAAAATAATACAATAAAAATTGTATTAATAAGTATATTTTTTTTTATCACGAGGAAGAGAAAAACCATTGTTCAGAGGGTGAAACAACTGGCCAAATTTAGATGACAGAGCCAAAAGACAACGACAATAAGAGGAAACTGCTGAAGAATCTATGTTATATATCATATCTATAACCACGCTATGAAAGCCAAACAAGGGATCCTCAGATTTTTCTTACAAAATAGTCAAAGAATCAGATCCAACACTTTATATATATAAATATATATATGTGTGTGTGTGTGTGTGTGTGTGTGTGTGTGTGTGTGTGTGTGTGTGTGTGTGTGTATGTGTATTTAGGCATGTATAATATATATTTATATATTACTGCTTTTAAGTGTTTGATCTGATTCTTTGACTATTTTGTAAGAAAAACCAGAGGATCCCTTGTTTGGCATATATATATATATATATATATATATATATATATATATGGAGGCCGGGATAGCCATGCGGGCTAAGGTGCTTGCAATAGGTAATCAAAATTAAGCAACGTCGAGTGTGGTTAGTACTTGGATGGGTGACTGTCCACCAGGAAAAGTCATACTCCCCGAGTCTCTCTCCCTCTCTCCTTGGTATGTGAGGCCCATCAGCCTACTGGAGGCAACTCACACAGACTGGGCGTGGGACTGATGACCCTACCCTGTGTACTTATTTTGGGAATCGGGATATGGTTTGCCAGGATGTTAGTAGCCCCCAAGGTTCGATCCATGGACGGTCTGTTTCGGGGAAAGAAATACAGATCGATCCTTGTGCGTATGATGTCTCTGAGCAGCCATAATCCATGTATCTGGACCGATTTGTCACTGTCCTTGAACTCGAGTGAGTCGGTGGGAAGCAGATTGGCCCCAAAGGGATCGGCTATGGAGCTACGGGTGGCCTGTCGCTGCACCATGGTTTGTAGCAACATGCGGTTGGGTGACCTCCTCCAGACTATCTGTAAGGAGACTACATCTCACGGCGAAAGATCTTCATGGTCTGTAGAGCCAACCGAAAAAAAAAAAATATATATATATAAAACTATCTCTGAATATGATTTTAAATGTTGCCCAACATACTACTTTTTAGAGGGAGAGTACAACCTTTTATCCCATGGATTTAGACAATTTTATACTTTAACATAACATTTGTTAATCACCTAAAAATACATTTATATACAAACAAAATTCCAATGAAAAATACATTTTATTAAAACAAATATATAGTTACGATTGCAGTGGGGAATAGTGCCCCCAACAACGCCTCCAAAATGCCATAAACCTCCTTGACATGCGAAATTCAAACTTGTTTCTCCACTTGGAAATACAAAGTGTTCATAACAGGTAGCAACACAGAATCTATTAAAAGTTAATTAATAACACAGAATTAGTTATGGAAGAAATTATCCATCAATAAGTCAAATTTCAAAACCATGATTTATATATAAAACATACCCTTCAGAACATTTCATTACTGAGTTCATTGGTGGAGATAATTTGCCGCAAGATTCTGAAAATAAATCAAACTAATTGTAGTGAAAAAAAAACAACTATAGTAGTAAAAAATAAATGCCTCAATTAGGTAATTAATTAAGTTACATTAAATTATTTTAATTATCAATAAGACCAGAATGAATAATTGTATAAGTCATAAAGACAATACATAAAGAGCAAAATTAAGCAACTGGCAGATGCATCTTCCAAATGAAACAAGAATAATGTCAGGGCAATTTAAAACAATATGAAAATAAAATATAATAGATGATTCCATTGCAACTTGAAGAGTATAAGAAAAACATCAGAATGCCACTAATTCAGTGCTTGTTTTTTGGATAACATCTTGTTTTTAAAGAATCCTCAAGTTTTTAGGTCCTTCTGCTTTTTCATAGATGCCTGACAATGAAAACAGAGGAAAACTGCAATCTTAGGAGATACAAAATCAAAACAACTTATTGTTATTCATTATGCTCAGATTTTGGAATGGATTTCAGCAATAATCAATTAGGGGTTGATCAGAAATTTCTTAATAAATGAAGAGGTCTAAAACAAATAAATATAGGAGTAATAAGAAAATTGTAAAAATTAATATCAAGTTTAATTAAATTATAAAATATACTTTTGATTGTGTATTTCGATAAACAATTATATAAATTTCATGCATAACGTTCACTGTTAAAGAATTAACAATAGATCATTATAAAAGGAATTACCAAGATAAAAAGGTAATTCTCATAATGAAAATAACTGCTCATTTAAACATTATGTAGTTTTGACATGTAAACTACCGATTCATAAACTATCATAAATTATTAAATAAATTCCTATAATCAAATTAAATATTAGGAACCTACTTGCTTGTATAAAACCATATCCAACTTTTTTACGATGATATCCTGTCTTCCTGTAGCCTCCTCTATCGTATTCGCCGCCGCCACCGTAACCATACCTGAAATCAAATGTAGTTGTTTGCACAAGCTCTGATTAACTTGTCCGAGGTACAGATCCCTTTTTGTCAAATTAATAGCATCTGCCTAAAACTTCGTGAATAGCTTCATCTTATCGTAACCTACAACTATTTTATATGAGAAAATTCTCAGAAATGGGTCGTTTTCTTATTAGATTGATTAATTTAATAAGGTCTTAAAAATGTATGAATACCCACTTACTTCCTACTTGAATCTTAAGATAACATGATAACAAAATTAGGGTAAAACATGATCTACAAAAATATTAGGCGGCTTAGCCTATCTAAACTCGTTATTTTGACAGGTTGTGAGAAGAGGTCATGCCAAGGGGCCCAATATTTTTGTAGGTCACCCTTTTTTCTTGATTTTGTGATCAAATCATCTTACGATTCAAATAGAAAGCAAGTGGGTGTTCATGAGCTTTTAGTACCTCATTACACAAAAGAAGATTACTAATCTCCAGATGGAAAAAGCCCAATTTCTGAGAATTTTCTCATATAAAATAGTTGTAAGTTACGATAAGATGAAGCTATTCACGAAGTTTTAGGTGGATGTTAATAATTTGATAAAAAGAGGTCTTATAACGCGGACTGTGCGTTAGATAATTTAATGTTTGTTTATTCTGGAATCGCATATTTATTGTAAATTATATATTTTTAGGTGCAACTTTCACGGACGGGGTGGCAGAATAGGCTAACGCGTGTGCTGTCCGGCAACCCAATGATATAAAAATATGACCTAGATGATGATATGACCCAAACGATATAAAAATAGTCACCGAGTTCGCGTCCCTGTACCGGGGGAGTCTTGTAAATCCCCGCCCACACCTCCTGGTCAGGGAAAAACTCGTATAGCCTAATAGCGAAGGGGAGGACCCAAAAAACAAAACAAAAAACTTTCAACCGATTCATTACTGCAATTATACATTTATCGCAATCATTAAGGAATGTTTTGTTTTTTTATCTCGCTATATTGACACGAATATCATAAGCACGGTCTATTATATGTTGTTCTTGAGCCATTTATTTATGTAATAAGGCTTTATTAACACTGGTATGCCAATATTTATATTTCAATATTCACCTATTTATTTAATAAGTTATTTTTATAACGAAAGATAATTTTGATTGAAATAAATATTAATTATAGATTAAATGTCAGTTCCAAGAACTTTTAGACATAACACATGCTTATTACCACAGGCGGATCTACGGAGGAAGGGTGGTGCTTTCGGGCTGAAAGATCGTTTAAAATGTCTACAACTTTTGCTAATAATATTCAATTCTATTTACACAAATTTGTTAAAAATGTTAATATCATATGTGTTCATTGCATTGGTTAGTTAACTACTTTTGCAATCGCTATAGGATTGATACACATCGAAGTATGCTAAAAACGTCGATTTTGGGTATTTGTCATGTCAATAAATTTGTTAGAGCCTGATCTTGAGAAGGGCGAAACGAGAAAGAATATCTTGCCCCTCCTAGTAAAAACCCTAGTTCCGGCCATAGGCGCAAACTTTGGAGGGGCGAGGGGAGCGATTTTCCCCCTATACAAATAGAGAGGGCGAGAAAATCGTTTCGTCCTTTTCCCCTTCCCATACTTCCAAAAAATAAAAATAAAATCCAAATTGATAACAAGTAATCTACATGAATGAATAAAATATTTAAACTAATATCAATCAACAAAATATGAAAAGTAAATTAGAAGGCTGAGCTAAGGCCTTGAAGTAGGTTCGCATGTATTTTACCAAGCTATAAGTTCCTATTATTAAAATTTTAATTTTTATTCAAAGATAACATATATCAATATATTCTAGGATTTTATGGTTCATTTATGTGTACCTTTCCATTTTTACGTAAAGATTTTATCACATTTACCGCGAAAAATGTAAAGCATCGGAATTCATCAGACTGCCTTAAACCTTTAAATAAAAATACATAATATATTCAATTGCTTTGTTAACATATTTTTAAATATACCTACAACTTATACCCAACAAAAAAAAAAATATTTATACTTTTTTCACATATTATATTTTATATCATATTATTCGTTTTACAATAATTATGTAGATTATCTTAATTGTCACTCATAATTCTTATACATAATAAAACTTCTGACAGTTTTTTTTTTGGATGGGGTCCATTATTTTAATCTACAATATATTGACCATTATTTAATATGACTTTCTCCCATCTTTCCACTAACTGCATAATTCATTCATAGAATGTCTGGAGTTTATTATTATAAAACTGATCCAAGTGGTTTTTGATGTCCTCTTCCTTTTGGTATTTCTTTCCATTCATGGAGTTCTGCAGAGACCTGAATAAGTGGTAGACACCTGGAGCTAGGTCTGGTGAATAAGATGTGGCAAAATTTCCCATCCAAAGCTCAATAATTTATTGTGAGTGACCAATGAGGTATGGGGTCTAGCGTTGTCTTGGTGGAATATAATACCCTTTCGATTATTCATAACTCTTCAGGATGTTCTCTATATTCGATGTTACTATATCCGTTGGAAAGCTGAATTATTGCTCTTCAAAGCCGTATGAATGTTTTTATTTTTTTATTTAATGACTACATAAGAAATAAATAAACAAAAACTCCTTATAGGTTTATATTTTTTATCTCAATTTGTAGTTGGTTTACGAATGTGCTCTTGGTGTCATTTTGTGTAGTTTACGTGGCCCTAAATTCCTACTAAATTTCTTGTAGATAGCTAAAGTTCTATTGAAGTTATGAAATTTTTTGTGATTTTCGAAAAAAAAAAATCATGTGAGGGACCCAAACATTAAGCTTGGAAACATAGCAGAGCTTGTGCAAATGGTTTTTTACACTTTTGTGCGACACATTTAGGGCCATAGCAATCTCTCGCACTGATTGGATGAGATTTTGATCAACCAGACCGTTGAGCATCATTGATGTAAACATTTCCTGAATGAAATTTGGCAAATCAATTTTGACAGTTGCATTCGGTTAAGGCATCATCCCCATAAACACTGCAAATTTTACTATGAGTTTCTGCAGCACTCTTACCTTTTTTAAAATAATACAACAAAATATGTCGGTAATGAATGATATTTTCTTCCATATTGCACAGTGCAATAGAAAACGCAATACTACGCTAGATCCAACAAGAGTTGACAGATATAGTTGTTGACATATTACGAACAGGATAAACAATCCACCTTAGGGATTAATTCATCGGATGAGAAGTGTATAATAGTTACATAAAAATAAACAGAAAAACCGAAAGAACTTACGAGTATTTACCAACCCAATATATTCCTTGAAGAAAAGACAATACATATAAATATATATATATATGTATATACAATTATTTCGATTTACAAAAAATCGGTTAGGGTTCGATTTGGAAATAAGCGACTCATTTGTAACAAATATACCGATTTCAAAATAAATAATAGACTAACTATTTGTTTTATTTTATTTCTGAGCCTTCTTTATCACGGTTTATCGGGTTCACTCTAGAATAGTTTCCATGATTTATTAGGTCCTGGAAGCTTTCCAGGGATGTTTTTTTTTAATGTCCCATCATTACTAACTAAGTTACTCACTTGGGGTCTGGCTCTGGTTCAGGATCGGCGAATACCCCGGCGGCCAGCACTACCGAAAGGAAGAAGAACGTCGCGAACTCCATCGCGAACAGAACTGAGCCGGCGAGTGGCGCTACAGTTATAGCAGATCTCGGTGGGCGGTCCATCCGGAAGGCCATATCGCAGGAACTAGAGACCGATAATGTTATTATTTACAGAGAAATTGGCAAAATACTCCCCCTGTCTGAGGATGTTATTGAAAAGTGTTCTAACTTGGGCTATCTCATATCGAAGATTATCCTGTTGGGTCAGGTTCTCTTTAATCCGAGAGTCGATAGAACTTGCGAAAATTATACTTATTCATATAAAGCTAACAGGTGGAGTGGAGTACCTAGACCATTTGTGGATCGGGCGAATTTATTTTAGATGTTCCCAAAAAAAAATTCTGGAGCGGTACCGCACGTCACAGCACTTTCATTATCAATCCTACATAGATTATATCCAAACATAGGTAAAAGAAAGTAATGAAGTGTAAGTTATTACAAAATGGTTTATCATTTTCAAATAATACGCAGTGTCCCGTAAGTAGAGAGAAGTATTTAAGCAAGCGATAGTAGAATTAATTAAAAATTGCTTCACTCTACTAGATAAAATTTATTCCAAAGGAAAGTAGAGTTTGTCATTGCTCAAAACATTTAAAGAGGACTTTTGAGCAGATAAACTAAGCTAAGTTATGTTTTGAAAAAATCATAAATTATTCATGATTTATTATTATGTCCCTACAACTAAACTACAGACAACACAACACACTTTTATGAAAACTTCCTTGTTTAATAAGCTTTAAGTCCGTATTAATATTCAACAAATTAAATTAATATTAGTATTCAAATAAGTTGAAGGTTTATGACAAAATAACTTTAGATTCACCTCAAAAATGAAGTGAAAAAATGAAGCGTCTTGATATCTTGTCACCTTTAAGCACGGGCGGATACACGGGGAAGTAGGGCTTTGGAGATGAAGTCCCTACCCCCTAAAATGGTAAAATATAACCGTTTTATGGAAAAAAATATTAAAATATTATCTCTTACAGTATTATCGTTCGTGTAATTACATTTAAATGGACTTTAGGAATCATTTAAACATCATTTCATATAGGTAGTTAGTTTCTTTTATGTTATGGTAGTTATTTTCATGAAAAAAAATCTTTCGGGCTGAGGCCCCGCCCCCCCAAAAAAAATTAAGTCCTGGATCCGCTAGTGCCTTTGAGACTCAAAGTTTGAGTACCCATGTTTTCAGCAAAAATTACTAAATTAATTATTACAAAGCTCTAGTTTAATATTTTTCCATTACCTGGTAGTATTATAATAAAAGTAAACTCATAAATACACTTCTTATTCATTACAAAAAAATGTTAGAAATAATGATTTTTCAAATATTTATCATCTTAAGTAATAAAAAAAATGTGCTTTTTATTAAGATCTCTATAACAGAAATTGATCCGTATTTATACCGTAAGTGACCAACTAATCGTTTCCAATCCTTATATCTACGTGTGAAATAAAGAAGCTTGCTGATTGCTTGAAATATTTTCTTTGGGGGGAGGGATCCATTGCCCAGCCATCTTGGAGAACATCCGGTTGTGCAGTTTCACCTGCCCTTACCCACTGCTTATTTTTACGATTTTTTACTTTTACTTACTTATATATAGTATTATTATATATAGTATTATAATATATAGTATTATTATATAGTATGTAATATATATTATATAGTATGTAATATATATTACTTATATATGTAATATATAGTAAGGGACGTTTGATCGTATTGCGATCGAGAAAATTTTTTAATCTGAGTTTTCAACGGAAATAGACGTTTTGAGGAACCCTGAGTCGAAATGACTAAGTCCCGAAAAATGGTCTGTGTGTTTGTATGTTAGCAGTCTAGCTCAAAAACGAAAAGTCCTACGAAACTGATATTATGTATTTAAGATAGGTATATGCCTTAGATGTGACGGCAACTTTTTCCTTAAAATCGGCTAACCGGAAGTGCCACTTTATATCAACGCTGAAACACATTTTCACAATTTTCTCAAAGACGGCTCTAACGATTTTGATTAAACTCGGTGTATCATTGTATAATTAAGTGGTCTTTAATATCAATTAGGTCTTATCCCCTTTGATGTCACTTTACAGGGCTTAAATGCCCAATGTTCATATACGTCTTCCTCTAAAGTACCTTTAACATTTATTTTTAAAAGTTAATCATTTCACATTATTCAAAGTAATGAAAAAATGGTAAATATAACTTTTAAAAGAATTTGATTAGTTAATAAAGGAGAAAAAAAAAATAAAAATGCAGAAAAACCTGCGTTGCTATAGATTGTAGCGCCTAAACGAATGTACCGATTTCAATGAAACTTCGCTAAAGTCATTTTCTCGACACCACTTAAATTTATCTATATAACATACTTCAACGAAAAGAAGCTGGAAAAAAAGTGACGAGGGATGGTAAAATTAAATTCTGAATAAATCAAAAAGTATACACTTTTTGGAGGATATTGTATTATGGTTTTTTAAAAGTTTATGGAATTTCCTAAAAAAACAAAAAGAAATTGTTAAGATCGGACAACTAGGAGGAAAGAGATATGGTCTCTAGTTTTTTCCCTGAAGAGGCGAAAATTTGGATAAATTATAAATATACTTTTTTAATTGTTGAGACTAAAAAAACCTTTTTTTCTACAGATATTTAATAAATTATCTTTCCTAAGAACATTTTTCATAAGAAATAAGTAGCTAAATTTACACCTTTATTCTCAGTTCTATATTTCAACATTGCAATCACCAACTCCGGAGTCAACTTATTCATATTCTGCATAGATAACTTTTTCAACTAAAAATATCACTAAAATTACATCACTTAAAAATATTGAAATTGGAGTTAGTCATTCTGAAGTTTATAAAAGCAAAGAAAGTTGTGTGGTTTATAAAAGCAGATGGAGTAACTAGATTTTTATTGTCTGCCGTCGATATAGTAAATAGACTTTTTACAATTTTAATGGTGCTAATGATTTTTTATCTGTAAGCTTTAAGCTTTAGCTCCGTTTAAAATGCACTTCAAAAAAATTTATAATAGCCCAGTATTGCCAGAAAATAATTTCTATTCATAGTAGATAGGTAAGTGAAAGTTGTGTGTTGAGCGCACCAGATTTTTTTTAAATATTCACTTTTCGTCATTTGTGATGATTTTTTTTTTCCAGAACCTGTCATCTTGACTCTCCTTTTAAGGCACAAACTTCTTCGGCGCTTAGATTTTTTTTCCCATTAATATTTCAAAAGACCGCTAATCACGATATTTTCTTCTTCTGACACTACGTACGCTTTAAAATAGGCCCCATAAAGCCAAAACAAGTCACAAGGAATCAAATGATTAGTCAAAGTAAACATTAGCATAAATAATAGGAACAAGAGCATTCTTATAGGATTAATTATGAAAGTTAGAATGAAGGGTTGTGTTCATGGACAAGCACTAGCAGATCCAGGATTTAATTTTGGGGGGGGCTTCAGCCCGGAAGCTTTTTTTTCATAAAAATAACGATATTTACTTAGGAAAACAGAAAGAAACTAACTACCTATATGAAATGGTGTTTAAGTGATTCCTTAAGTCCTTTTAAATGTAATTAAACCAACAACAATACTTTAAGAGGTATTTTTTAAAAAAAATGTTCCCATAAAACGTGGTTATGTTTTACCATTTTGGGAGGGGCTTCAGCCCGAAAGCCCCCCCTCCCCCCGTAGATCCGCCCGTGTGGACAAAGACTTTTGTAACAACCTAGTACTACCCAAAGAAGAAATTAAAGGTTTACAATTATTTGTTGTCATAACTGATGGTGGAATATAAAGTCAATATTTTTCCTGAAATCAATAAGCGCTAGGTAGATCGGAACATTGCACTCCTTATTTTTTTTTCTATAATTTGGTTGATTATTAGAAGGTGTTCAATAGTGAAAAATTGAGGTGTAAGCCCGGCTTGTTCATGCGGGTGGTTCTCGTATACGACTGGAATAACTGTTCTTAATAATTGCTGCAAATAATTTAAATATTGGTGAAAAGAGCGTTATTGATCTATAATTATCAATATCTTTTGGATCTCCTTTTTTTATTATTATATAATTATTTTACTGATGTACCATTGCTACAGTACAAACCCTTCCAGTAATATTCTGTTGAATAAGAGTTTGAGTGGTTTATGGAGACATTTCTTCCCTAGAGTTAAGACATCTATCAGTGTATTCGCTGTGACTATTTAAAGATCAATGAAACTTGGTTATTGACATTTTTATTTCTTCTTGGTCGGCGTTTAAGTTTCCTTAGGATATACTAATTTTATGTATCGATTTTCTTTTCAGCTCAATCACCTCTTTGTTTATGATCCTGGTAGATCCTGTGTCTTGCTTCAGAAGAACAGGGAATCGATAGTATCTATTTTAACATAATAAAAAACATATATATGAAAAGCAGATACTATATATGTTATATCATGGTATCACGTATTTAGGACTGGATTTGTTGTTAGCAGGAGGATGGCTCAGTCGGTAATTGACTTCATACCAATCAGTCCAAGAATATGCTCTCCCCTACCCAACAATCCGAAGGAAAAAAAAAATAAACTCAATAATAAATAAGCTAAATGAATAAATAAAATGTGTAAACTAAAATCCATTAAGAAAAGTCGACTAGCTAGCTAGGCTAGGGCTTAGTTGTTGGTATGTAACGATTTTTTTTACTCCTAAATATAATTTTTATTTAAATTGTCATTTATATTTAAAGATAATAATATACAGGATTTTCCGTAAGTAGAGGTACATATTTAAACATATAATAGTAGACCACTAAAGCTATAAAAAACTTCATATAAGCAATAGTCCGATTTTCGGCAGAATAGTAGGCAAATTAAGTTTTGTGTTTTTTTTATGAATAGAAAGCGATAACTAAATCATTAGTTAATATAATTAATTAAAATTGCTTCACTGTAAACTAAACAAAATTTGCTTTAAATGAAAGTAGAGTTTTTTATAGTCAAAACCATATAAAGAGGAATTTTG